CTGCCGCCGCTTCCACCACCGCCAACGGACGACCCCGGGCGCGCTCGGACGGCCAGGTCGACTCGGGCACCGCCACGCCGCGCTCTGGCCGCGCGGCCCTCGAGGGCAAGACGGACAGCGAAAAGGCCCACGAGCGGTCCAAGCAGAAGCGGCGCGCCTTTATGCGCGACCCGCGGTCCAAGGTCTGGCACGCCTACCTCGCCGGCGCCGTCTCTGCGCTCGCCGTCCTGGTCGAGACGCCCGCCAACCGCATCGCCCTGGCGCAGCAGCTCTTTGTCCGCGGGCTCGAGGGCAGCTACAACGTCGCCCACAGCAAGGGCCTCGTCAATGTGCCGCACGGCGCCGTCCTCTGCTTTGGCCTCGCCTGCGGCCAGATCATGCACGCCTGGCTCACTGCGCCCGACTCGCTGCCCGGCTCCTACCGCAACTGGATCACGCGCGCCTCGCAGGTGACGCCCGTCGCCACGACCATCCACCGCGACATCATCCAGCGCGGCACCGCCGACCTCGACCTGGCGCTCAAGCTCTTCCCCAACGGCGAGGTCCCCAAGCCCTACTCGCTCAGCCCGCTGCGCTACCCGCACGTGCCGCCCAACGCCGTCAACCGCCGCGGCATCCACGGCAAGAATGTCAAAAAGATTGTCGAGTGGATGGAGCGCGCGAAAAAGGGCGACGTCGGCCACGTCATCGACTGCGCCCTCGTCCACCCCTGGGAGGCCAGCCACCTGTGGAGCCCTGTGGACCGCTTCTTTGAGGTGACGCGCTGGATCCTGCCTGTCTACCTGACCCTCCACTTTGTCCCGGCCATGTTCCTCCGCCCGGGCTCGTTCCTCAAGGACCCCATGCGCGCCTTCCTCCGGTCGCTGTTTGGCAGCGTGCGCTCGTCGTCGTTCCTCGGCGTGTTTGTCATCATCTACCAGACCATCTTTTGCGCCCTGCACTCGTCCCACGGCTGGCTCGTCAATGTGAGTAGTGCGCCCAGCGCGGCGCGGCGCGGCGCTGCCCCTGCACGATCCAACGCCCGCTGACCCCCCTCCCTTGCTCTGTGCGCTGCGCGCCCCTCTCGGCCAACAGAGCCCGACGCTCAAGGACCGCGTGCCGGCGTGGCTGCTCAAGCTGCTGCTGAGCTCCGAGATGAAGTGGCTGGCCGGCTTCGCCACCTGCGGCTCGCTCTTCATCGAGCACTCGAGGAGGCGCGCCGAGCTGGCGGCCTATGTCCTGCCAAAGGGCATGGAGAGCGCGTGGTCAATCGCACGCAAGCGCGCCTGGGTGCCGTTTGTGCCCGGCGGCGACCTGCTGCTCACGTCGATGGGCATGTCGCTGGTCATGGGCACCTACGCGCAGAACCCAGAGCACCTCTCGGGTCTCGTGAGGCGCGTCGTCTACCAGTTTGTCGGTCGCAACTAGACGGTGTCATGAGGGGCGCGGGCCGTGGCTGGCCCGCCCGCATCTGCTCGGCGCTCTTGCTTTCGCAGCCCTGCCTACGTAGAGAGACGACGACGACGAGGTTCTGCAATACCATACAACTACGGACAGCGATCATCGGCATGGCGGGAGGGAGAGGGGGAAGATACGCGCCGCTGGAAGTGCTTGGGCTGCCTGCGTGCGGGCCCGGTCCGTCCGGGTCGCGTTGAACCCGGTTCCGATCCATCCCGACGACGGGGGGGGCATGCTCATGCATTGGGACGGAGCAGATCCGCAGAACCCTGGCCTGGCCTGTCTTGCCCGTACGCCTGCGCTGTCCCCCGCAAGCAGGGCATGCACGCACTCGGCCTGGAGGAGAGCAAAGGTGTGGGGAAACGAGGGGCCAGGCAGATGACCGGGGGGAGCCCCGGCCGCCGGTCGTTGCCGTGTTCACACTGTCGGGCCTGGTTAGCGACGAGCGGGCCAAAGCCGCGCGATGCCAGGCCCTCATTATCGGCGTCTCGCCGAGCTGCGCTTTGCGACCGGGTAGCTACCGAAGATGTGGTCACGATGAGGATGGGCGAAACGACCCCGGGACGACGACGACGACGATGGTGGTACCCCACCCTGGCCCCCTCGGCCACGATCGCGGATGGTTCCGAGGGATGCACGCGTAGCCGCAGGCCCGTGATAGCGTGGGGCGGACACGCTCGTCGGAAAGATGCGGCGAGCAGCAGCAGCAGAAGAGGAGCTTGATCGCGACGTCACGCTCGTGGTGCAGAGGAAGCGGGAAGCTGCACTCGACGCCCGCCCCGATCCATAGCTGCTTCCAGGGAAGCAAGCAAGGTTGAGGCCAGGCCAGGCCGGGCCTGGTCCGGCTTTGTCGGTGCACGAGCGACCCGAGGCTGGACGAGAGGGTCGGTACGGTTGCCCGAGCTCGCTGAAAGCCCTACCTTGAAGCTTCCCCGCGCCCCCGGGTGGGCCGACCATCGAGACGGGTCTGTGCATCGTCGTGGACGTCGGCCGCTCGAGATGGTGCCAGAGCAAGAGCCTGTCGTGGGTAGCCATAGGCGGGGATCGTGCCGGATGGGACCGTCGTCGTCCCTACTCCTCGTCAATTCATCACCCCACCACCACCATCACCATCTGCCTGAGCCTTTGCACTGCTCCCCGCTCCTCCTTCCCGTAGCATCTCGCGGCCTCCTGCTCTTCAACGCTCTTTGCTCCTCATCACAGCCTTCGACTCGCAACCTTGCCCATCCACGCGGCCGTAGCGCGACGGGTGAGTAGCCCGTGCTGAGCCGTGGGGTCGTCTCTTGCGACAGCGGATCCGAGGATGCGGACCACCATGCGGCATCGGGATGGCATCGGCGCACTACAGCGGGGTCGGATCGAGATTGATTGGAGCGCGCCATGTTGCGCTGCCGTCCAAATCGCTCGACTTATCGTCCAATCATGGGCGGCTGAGCACCTGGGCAGGGCGATGTCATCATCGCCTGCAGCCTCGGTCGCCCGCCCGTCCGCTCGCTCGGCCGCTTTTCTCTCGAGTTCGACCGAGCGAGGCGTGGTGACCGCCGGCGTCTCTGCCTGGCCAGGCAGAGGAGAGCAGATCAGATGGAGCGATGAGCGCCGGATGTCGATGGCAACGGCGACGGAGAGGACGCGGCCGCCGAGGGGCAGCGATCTCGGGACATGGCCGACGCCGCGGCTCAGTCCCACCGTCGAGGGCCGCCTCGCTATGATTTTTCCTTTGATTTCTTCGCCCTACCTGGCTCTGGGCGTGGTGGGGCCAGGTCACGACCGTCGATCCGGCTGGTCGGGCCGCGGTCCCTGGGATCTCGAGCACGTCCTCCACACGTTCTGCGGGCCTGAGCCATGAGATCAGCGAGCCCGAGGCCGAGTCACGAGGCTGGCTGGCTGGCTGGATGCATGGCTGGCCTGCTCGAGGCCCTTGAGCTCGTTGAAAGCCGCCTGGCTTCCTATCGATCCGGGGCGTCTGGTGCAGGGCGAGCTTGAGCTCCTTGCTCAGCTTGACTCGATCTGATGCGGTAGCAGACCGATGGCAGGCCGAGGACGCCGTCGCCGTCGCCAGCGGCGCGGGTTCTCTGGTTGGCCAGTGGGCAGCAGGCCGGCGGGCGGCCCAGCGGGCGCGGGCAAAGGCGCGGGCGCGGGCCACGGCCGACCAGCGAAGGCCAAGGGCGTGGGGACGTGCGAGGGCGCCGCGTCGACCGGCTTTCTTGGCGGACCGATCTGGCGGGCCCCCCTCTCCCCTCTCCCCTCTGGCTTCCCGCATTGAGGGCCGACGGCTTTTGGCCCGCGCCCATCCCTCGCTGCTGCCTGCCAACCCCCGCCCAGTCACCCCGAGCCTTCGCCTCGCCCTCTCACCCTTGCCTCCATCCGCGAGCAACCGCCTTCTGATCAACCCACCGTCGACTTCCATTCTTCTTGATCCCCCCGCTGCTCCTTCTCAACCTTCCCCCTCCCCTCGTCCCGTCTCGTCTGCCATCGCTCCTATCGCACCGCCCCGCGCACAGCACTCCCGCACACCCCTCCGCCAGCCGCCCGTCGCTGCCCGACACCGACTGCTAGGCACAAGCCCTCTCCGCCATGGCTGACGACACCATCGCAGGGCCCAAGGCTCAGCCTCGCACCACCTTCATCGACACGTTCGAGAGCCAGCCGGGAACCCCCGGCGACAGGACCGGCCATGTCTTTCCCTCGATCAACAAGATCCGCTCCGGTCTCGGCGGCGAGGGTCCCGGCCCGCTCAAGAAGCTCATGGTGGCCAACCGCGGCGAGATTGCCATCCGCATCTTCCGCACTGCCCACGAGCTCGCCATGAATACCGTCGCCCTCTACAGCTACGAGGACCGCATGAGCGCCCACCGCTACAAGGCGGACGAGGCCTACCAGGTCGGCGCCGGCCTCGCACCCGTCTCGGCCTACCTGGCCATCGACGACATTGTCAGGATCGCCCTCGAGCACAAGGTCGACATGATCCACCCGGGCTATGGCTTCCTCTCCGAGAACCCCGAGTTTGCGCGCAGGGTTGAGGCGGCGGGCATCGCCTTTATCGGCCCCAGGCCAGAGACGATCGACGGCCTCGGCGACAAGACAAAGGCGCGCGACCTGGCGCGCGACGCCGGCGTCCCCATCGTTCCCGGCACGCCCGGTCCGATCGCCAGCTACGAGGCGGCGAAGCCCTTTGTCGAGGAGGTCGGCTTCCCCGTCATCATCAAGGCCGCCATGGGCGGTGGTGGACGCGGCATGCGCGTCGTCCGAAAGATGGAGGAGTTCCAGGAGGCGTTTGACCGCGCCGTCTCGGAAGCGCGCTCGGCGTTCGGCGACCCGACCGTCTTCATCGAGCGCTTCCTCGACAGGCCCCGCCACATCGAGGTCCAGCTGCTGGCCGATGGCGAGGGCAACGTGGTGCACCTCTTCGAGCGCGACTGCTCCGTCCAGCGAAGGCACCAGAAGGTCGTCGAGGTGGCCCCGGCCTCGAACCTCAAGGACGAGGTGCGCCAGGCCATTCTCAACGACGCCGTCAAGATCGCCCGCACCGCCGGCTACCGCAACGCCGGCACTGCCGAGTTCCTCGTCGACCAGCTCGGCCGCCACTACTTTATCGAGATCAACCCGCGTCTGCAGGTCGAGCACACCATCACCGAGGAGATCACCGGCATCGACATTGTCGGCGCCCAGATCCAGATCGCCGCCGGTGCGACGCTGGCCGACCTCGGGCTGAGCCAGGAGTCGATCCAGAAGCGCGGCTCGGCCATCCAGTGCCGAATCACGACCGAGGACCCGGCCGCCAGCTTCCAGCCCGACACGGGCAGGATCGAGGTGTACCGCTCGGCGGGCGGCAACGGCGTCCGCCTCGACGCCGGCTCGGGCTTCGCGGGCGCCCAGATCACGCCGCACTACGACTCGCTGCTGGTCAAGGTCACCTGCCGCGGCGCCACGTACGAGGTGGCGAGGCGCAAGATGCTGCGCGCGCTCGTCGAGTTCCGCATCCGCGGCGTCAAGACCAACATTCCCTTCCTCTTCCGCCTCCTCACCCACGACTCATTTGCCACCGCCAGCACCTGGACGACGATGATCGACGACACCCCGGAGCTCTTCAACCTGGTCCAGACCAAGAACCGCGCCCAGAAGCTGCTCGCCTACCTCGGAGACATCGCCGTCAACGGCAGCTCGATCAAGGGCCAGATTGGCGAGCCCGGCCTCAAGGACGAGATCCAGATCCCCACCTTCTCGGACCCCAAGGACCCCTCGAAGCGTCTCGACACCAGCCAGCCCTGCACCGAGGGCTGGAGGAACATCATCGTCCGCGAGGGTCCCGAGGCCTTTGCCAAGGCCGTCCGTGCCTACAAGGGCACGCTCATCATGGACACCACCTGGCGCGACGCCCACCAGAGCCTGTTCGCCACCCGCCTCCGCACCATCGACATGGTCAACATCGCCAAGGAGACCAGCCACGTGCTCAAGAACGCCTTCAGCCTCGAGTGCTGGGGCGGCGCCACCTTCGACGTCGCCATGCGCTTTTTGTACGAGGACCCGTGGGAGCGCCTGCGCAAGCTGCGCAAGCTGGTGCCCAACATCCCGTTCCAGGCGCTGGTGCGCGGCGCCAACGCCGTCGGCTACACCGCGTACCCGGACAATGCCATCTACGAGTTCAGCAAAAAGGCCGTCGAGTGCGGCCTCGACATCTTCCGCGTGTTTGACTCGCTCAACTCGCTCGACTCGCTCAAGCTGGGCATCGACGCCGCCAAGAAGGCGGGCGGTGTGGCCGAGGGCACCATCTGCTACACGGGCGACATTGCCAACCCGGCCAAGCATCCCAAGTACACGCTCGAGTACTACCTCGACCTCACCGACGAGCTGGTCAAGACGGGCATCCACATCCTCGGCATCAAGGACATGGCCGGCCTGCTCAAGCCGACGGCGGCCAAGATGCTCGTCGGCGGCATCCGCAAAAAGTACCCGGACCTGCCGATCCACGTGCACTCGCACGACACGGCCGGCATCGCGCTCTCGAGCATGCTGGCGTGCGCCGAGGCGGGCGCCGACGTCGTCGACGTGGCCATCGACAGCATGAGCGGCCTCACCTCGCAGCCCTCGATGGGCGCGCTGGTCAGCGCCCTCGAGCAGACGGGCCTCGGCGCCGGCATCCGCCACGAGGACATCCAGAACCTCAACCTCTACTGGAGCCAGGTGCGACAGCTCTACCAGTGCTTCGAGGCCAACGTCAAGGCGTCCGACTCGAGCGTCTTTGACCACGAGATGCCCGGCGGCCAGTACACCAACCTGATGTTCCAGTCGCAGCAGCTCGGCCTCGGCACCCAGTGGAACGAGATCAAGAACGCCTACATCCAGGCCAACAAGCTGTGCGGCGACATTGTCAAGGTCACGCCCTCGTCCAAGGTCGTCGGCGACTTTGCCCAGTTCATGGTGGCCAACAAGCTCGACGCCAAGGCCGTCGAGGAGCGCGCCGACAAGCTCGACTTCCCCAGCTCGGTCATCGAGTACTTCCAGGGCTTCCTCGGCACCCCGCCCGGCGGCTTCCCCGAGCCGCTGCGCACCAAGATCATCCGCGACAAGAAGCGCGTCGAGGGCAGGCCGGGCGCCTCGATGACCCCCATCGACTTTGCCAAGGTCAAGAAGGACCTCACGGCCAAGTACGGCCGCTCGATGTCGACCACCGACGCCATCAGCTACGTCATGTACCCCAAGGTGTTTGAAGAGTTCCAGGACTTCCTTGAGCAGTACGGCGACCTGAGCAACCTGCCGACGCGTTACTTCCTCGGCAAGGCGCAGCCCGGCGAGGAGATCCACGCCTACATCGACCGCGGCAAGCTGCTCATCGTCAAGCTGCTCGCCGTCGGCGCCCTCAACACGGGCACGGGCCAGCGCGAGGTCTTCTTTGAGCTCAACGCCGAGCCGCGCGCCCTCACCATCGAGGACCGCTCGGCCGCCGTCGAGACCGTCACCCGCGAGAAGGCCTCGTCCGACCCGGGCAGCGTCGGCTCGCCGCTCGCCGGTGTCGTCGTCGAAATCCGCGCCAAGGAGGGCCACCAGATCAAGGCTGGCGACCCGCTCTTCATCATGAGCGCCATGAAGGTGGGTGGTGCCCGGGCACCGGTGCGGCGCGACCGCGGGACCACGCTGATCCAGGTTTCCTTCCCACTTCTTCCTCCGACCAACAGATGGAGACGGTCGTCTCGGCACCCGTCGGCGGCCACGTCAAGCGCGTCACCGTCAGCCAGAACGACTCGGTGTCGCAGGGCGACCTCCTCGCCGAGGTGAGTGCTGCCAAGCGTGCCTGCGCATCCAGTTGAAGAGAGGCTGACTCTTTGCTCGCCTGTCCGCCTCCATCCCTCGATCCCTGACAGATCGAGCACTAGGGACGACGAGACGACTCCGCAAAAGAGAAAAAGAAAGACTTCAGACGAGATTGACCTTGGCCTCGATTCCCCCGACCTCTGTAAACGACCTGGTTAATGATACGATTGCGATCGAAGGTCGCTCTGTGTGGACCGATGGGCGGGCAGCGCTGCCTCGATGGGATATTGCCGGACGAGCGGCTGCGTGGTGGCGGTGGCAGCGGCCAGCAGCAGGGCCGGAATGCGGATGCGATCCGGTCTGCACGCCAGCGGAGCCAACTGCGCGGGTCGACGTGGGCAGCTCAATGAGGGAGGCATGGTGCGGTCTCGATGGCTAACTGGCTTCCTCGACATGGCGTCGAAGGTCGACGTCGAGTGGCGGGTGTGTCTCTGCTTGCGAGTGGGGGAGAGAGTAGGAAGGAAGGTCCGACACCGGCGCAGGAATGTGGATGGCGATCAGGCCAGACGGGACCGGCGGTGACCCGCGTGCGGATGCAGCAGGGACGTGCCTGCCTGCCTGCCGGCCTGCCTGCCTGCGAAGCCGTGTTGGGGGACGCACGCACAGATCAAGCAGCCGGTCCAGGCACGCGGGGTGGGGAGGGCCAAGGCGCCGAAAGAAGCAGCTCAATCAAGCTGCCCTGACTCGACCCCCCGCCTGCGAGCAGCCAGGCTCGGGGGATCAAGCTGATTATCAGCCAGGCCCTTTTTGGGGCATCGAAACGCTCGGTCGCCCCCCCGCACTTTCCTCGAACCGGCCCTCCTGCCTGCTTCTCCTTATCGACAGGCAGCAAGCCAGGGCCTGCCTGGCGGAGAGATCAGACCATCCCGAAGCCCCCTAGGCTGTGCCTGCTGCCCTGGAAGTCGAACTCGGATCGTCCCACGTTGCCTCGACTCGGTGTTCTCCCGCGACTGGAAGCGGAGGGCCAGGTCACCGTAGATCGCCGCCGTCGCTACGTCAGGCCAGGCCAGGTATCCTTCGTCTCCCCACGCCTTCCCCCCCAACAGCGCAAGGCGCATAGCCAAAGTGCGAGTGGACCGGCATGGTGGCGCCTGGCCGGATGGGCTGACCTGGCCTGGCTCGTTCCAGCCTCGCTGGCTGGCTGGGCTGGCGTCGAGAGGCGCACGAGCGAGACGCTGGAACGAGGGCGGACCGCTAGGCCTGCCAGCCAGGGCTGAGCGAGCGAGCGAGCAGCCGGATGGGGTCAGGCAACGCACCGAGTGGCCCGGGGCCCTCTACCGGTCGTGCCGATGGCCTCGCGGAGATTTCACGACGCCCGCGCCCCCCGTCCACATCGCGATGGACTCAAGCTTCCCTACCTCACCGGTGCTGTAGCCAGCCGGCTGCGTCCCGAAGGCTGCGACGACGGACTCTCGGGCCATCCCGCTCGCACTCCCACCGCCCTGCTCGCCTTTCCCCATGCCACGCATATCGGCCTGCCTCTGGGGGTTATAAGATGGGACCTGGCTCTTTGCACGTTCGCTCCTCATCCAACCTTGCTTCATCCCTTCATCGCCAGCTTCGCCTGCTCATTCTACCTTGCCGCCGCACCCTCTTAGCCCCGCCAACCCCTCCGCACTCGACCATCGCCATGATCGCCCAGCTCGCCCGCCGCACGTTTTCCTCGCGCTCCGCCATCCGCGCACCCCCTGCGCCCAGCAGCGTTCCGCTCTCGATGGCTCCCGGCCCCGCTCGCTCGTCCGCCACGACGGGCCGTGTGGCCATGATGCCCCGCGCTGCCGCCGAGAACCAGCAGCTGCCCGGCACCAGCAGCGGTGTCAGCACCTCGGCCGCGCCGGCCTCCAAGGCTGAGTCTCACGAGGACCTCTTCCAGGTCGGCAGGATCTCTTCGCACCGCGACGCCTCGACCGTCTCGCGCCTCGGCGAGACAATGTAGAGGAGCAGCCGCCTTCTTTCACGCTGCAGCAGGTGAGTTGCGATAACCGGAGGGGACGCTCGGGGCGGAGCGAAGCGGTACCACTCGAGCCGCACAGAGGAGCCTGACCGTAATCTTCCGATGGTGTGTTTCTTCTGTTTGACAGCATGCGGGCATGACGTTCCCCCCTTCGCTACGGCAGCAGGCAGGCAGGCAAAGGCCTTGCCAGGGTCGTCGAGGGGTGACGCGCCCTCATTTCCCCGCACCCTCCCGGGTCGCAGGCCAGCCCGGTTGCGGTCGCAAGCACATCCGGCCTGCTTGGCTGCTTTCAGCTGCCTGTCTGTCTCCTTCGCCCCCTTGACTACCCCGCATCTTCTCGCTCGTCCTTTCGTCTCGCTATCAACCTACCCTACCTCGGTCGTCACCGTCGACGGTCCGGCAGCTCCCTAGCTCGGTAGGCCGGCGGCAGGGTGCTGTCCTGGCCCGCAAGCACCCGCTACCATCCGACAGCTGTCGATCCCCTCCCGGTCCCGGCCGACCCCCTCCTGGTCCCTGTAATCCCGCTCCTCTCCTCGCCCTTCTCGCCCTTTCCACATCGCATCCCGCGTCGCCGTCATCGCGATCCGCGCCTCGTCCTTCTGCCCTCGTCGTCTCTGCCTTCCTTCTTGTCCACATGCTTCCCTTCCCACATGTTCCCGCTCCGTCACATCGTCATCCATGCCGTGTACCTGTACCATACCCTCGCTTTCTTGGTCTTTGCAAGCCAGACTGGCACTTTGCTCCTACTTGAAGGTCACAACGGAGGCTCGAGGCACTTGGATGGCAGTGCCCATCTTCGCGGCTTCAGTGCCATGCGTCGCGTATATCTCCGCGTGGTGGACGCCGCCGTTCGCGACAGGGCGACCATCTGCGAACCATCGTGCGCCCTCTCGGTTCCGTTCCCGGCCCTGAAGCCTGGAGCGAGGGGGAGGGTGGAGAGTGACCTACCTTCCTCCGTGCCTCCGCTGATATCGCACAGTCTTCACTTCACGGCAGACCGCGGTGCCGCTGCTCGAGCGTCCCGACAAGCCTTGATTTTCGTATGTAAAATACAGCAACTTTTGGTCGACTGGGCGAGAGTTGGACACACAGTCGGCACGGAATCAGATGTCGGAGGGTGTCCGACCTTCATCGCGAGCGCAGGACGACGACAGTCGGCTCGAGGACCAGGACCGAACGTCCTTGCTGGGTCGGGACAAGGTAGCCACTCGCCGGGCCGTCGAGATATGCATGTACTACGGTGAGTGATACGGATCCGAGAGATACAGCAGCGGCCTGATTGGGGCCGATGGGGCCCGATGTCCATCTGACGGTCCATCGGATGTGGCGGTGCCGCGACGATGGAGGCCGCCACGCCCACCAGCCGGGATCTGGGCCGGACAACGTCGGATGCAGTGCGAGGTTGCATGCCGGATGGCAAGGCAACGTGTCTGGCCCAAGAACCCTGGCAACGTCGCCATAGTACAGTAGGAGCCACCGCGTCCTTCCATCGAGATCTCTTTCCTTCCTCTTCCTTGATCGTGGCCGCAACGCGAGAGGAACATGGCAGGCAGGAACGTGAACCTGAACGATCGAGGTAGGGGGCAGCTCGGGCTGAAAGCGTGGAAGAGGAGGCGAAGCGCGTGCGGTCGTTCGGTTTCGATTCGACGGACCGCGCTGACCGTTGACCGCCCCGCCCCGCCCCGTCCCTGGGCAAGAGGGCGCGATCTCGGAGAAGAGCGCCGATCTGGACGGCACCGCGAGGCTTTGCCCACCGCGCCTAACGCACACGTCTGCGGCGACCAACGTCGATCGAAAGAGAGGCTGAGCGGCCCGCGAGTCGGCCAGGGCACACGGCTCGGGACGTTGCTGTGATTGGGCGGAGCCACAACGACCTAACAAATAGGGCGAGGCTGGGGCCTGGCTTGGCTTGGCCTGGCCTGGCCTGGCCTGCCTTCGCCTGGCAGACGGCCGATGTAGCGAAATTTCATCGTCGCCGCCCGCCGCCTTCCCCGGTCAAGAGACCAGCGTATCAGATGGCCGCTTTATCAAACGCGCGCGGCCACGGCCGATTGGACCGACAAAGTCAAGACCGAGCACCGACGGACCTGCCTAGGATGACGGAATCTCGTACCGGCAGCAGCAAGCAAGCAAGCAAAGCAAGGTCGCGCTCCGATGGCGCTCGCCGTGCTCGTCGTCTGGACGCTCGCGATGCCTGCCTTGAGGACCACGAGCAGTCCAGCTGAGGTGTGACGGCGGGGGTGGCAGCACAGTGGCCCTCGGCCTGCCACCAGCCCACGGCCGCCAGCCAATCAGAAAGGGCGGCTTACTCGCCTCGCTCTGCCTGGCCTTTCCCAGGCTGGCCAGGCAGGGTTCAGAGCGGCTTGTCTGACGCTCGATCGGCCGCCTGACGCGGGCGGCCCTGCTTGATGCGATTAGATTATTTTTTTTTACCGGCATTTCAAATCAACCCCGCCCCGACAAAGGGGGGCTTGCCCAGGCGGCGGCGGCGGCCAGCGGGTGGCAGAGTCAGGCCGGTCGAGCAGGCGCAACCAATACCGTGGACTAGGGATCCCCATTCGACGACGACGGTTGACGATGGCGTCGTCCGGTATCGTATGTCGCCTTGCTCGAAGACGAGGAGCAGGGGCAGGCAGGCTTGGCTCTTTATCTCGTGGGCGAGGGCGGGTTTGCAGCGCTGCGCGCGGATCTCGGCTGGCGACGATGGCCCAGATTGCCCTGCAGGCCCAACCTGTCCGTCTTGCCTGCCTGCCTAGCCTGCCTGCCATGCCGCCTATGCCTCTGATCTGACTGACCGAGGTACGCTGGCCGAACGAAAGCAGCCAGCCAGGCGCGAGGCGTCACACGTACCGCCAAGGGCAGGCCAGCAGGCAGACGGGCAGATGTACGCCAGCCCAACCCAACCCAGCCAGACCAGGCCAGACCAGGCCAGCCAGTTGGCCCAGCCAGTTGGCCCAGAGAGAGAGAGGGCCCTCGCGAACTTTTTGTTGCCGGGCTGCGCGCCGGATCAACCGCCGCCTGCTCCTCGCTCCTCGTCTTTTGGCCTTGTGCCTTTCGCCCTTGGCGCGCGTCCCCCCTCTCTGCCCTTCGTCGACCATCCATCATCCCCCTCCCCGCCCATATCGCATCGCCGCGGTGGCACACTTCGTACCCAGCTCTCACCAGTCCCCCACCACCAACACCACTCACCCAGTCGCTGGCAGCCACACTACCCTCTCGTCGCCCACCGATCCCACCAACGCCACCAGCGCTAGCCTCATCTTTTTCCCCGGACCTTTCGTCCGATCACGCGGCCTATCTCTTATCTTCGGCCCACCACCATCAACACCTGCTGATAGGTAGCACCGCTCTACTGTCGGCTCGCTCATTCCTCGCCTCCTCCCCTATCTCTCCCCGCCTCCACGCCCATCCCGCCTTATCTCGCTCGCCCACGCCCCCCCGCCCTTCTGATAACAAAGTCCCCCCTCGTCGACCGCACCGACCTCAGCCTTCAGCCCCTGCCGCGCGCTTGGGCTACGATCGCAGCCTCTCCGCCTTCACAGCCCCTATCGCTATCTTGCGACTTCGGCTTCGTGCTTTCCGATCCAGCAGCGCCGCTCTCGTGCACCAGCTCATCCGGACGCTGATCGACCCGCGCTCCGCTTCTGCGTCAACCGCCGGCCCCATTCGGCCCAATCATCCACAACACAGCGGCGGCGGCGGCGGCCACGACGGCGACGGCTCGTCCTTGACACGCACACCTCCGATCTGCAGATACGAGGCCGGCGAGAAAGGACCGTCCAGGCTAGCCGCGTGCTGACCTGCGCCAGTGGAGTGCGCCGATTCCGTCGCCGACCAAGCCCTCGTCGCCCGGGCCGACCATCCTCAGCAGCCTCTTATCCGCCTGTAGCAGCCGCAACGCGCCGCTCCCGACCCCGGTCATGACTTTACCTCTCACCTCTGCTGCCGCACAGAGCCAAGCCGTACCCCCGTCCACCACCAGCTCCTTCCAACACCCTGCCAAGGACAACGCCGCCACCAGGAGCAGAGACGACAGGTACTTCCCCGAGCCGTCCGCCCATACCAGCCGCCACGCATCGCCCGCGAACTCGCTCTCTAGACCCTCGTCGCCATCACTGCACCGCCAACTGGCCCCGATCCAACCGCGCGACGCCCACGCCAGCCCAGCCGGCATCGCCTTGGCCCCGCTTCGAGGCTCTCATCTTAGCGGCCTCCATCCCGACTCGACCTCCAACCCACCGTCCAGGTCCAACTCGCCCTTGCCATACGAGAACCGGCCTGGCGCCCAGCGTCACGACTCGCCAGCCTCGGTCCGCCACAGCCCCAGGCCAGCGACCCCTTCGAGTGGACCTCGTACTCAGCAAGGCATCTCGCTGCCTCCCATCTCTGCATTGCAGAGGGGCGTTCCTTCCGCATCGCTGGGCGAATCTTCGCGACTTCCCCCAGTCGGCTCGCCGAACCTTGGCGCGAGCCATCACAACAGGGACCCTCGAGAGGCCACACACCCCTTCATGGGAGCCTCGTTCCGAGCCGGCAGTCCCGCCAACTCGGTCGCTTCATCCTCTCACGCCTTCCACGATCGTTCGAGAGCCTCTAGCATCGCTGGCCTGCGCGACGAAGCTGCAATGATCGACGTTGGCAGACCCGCTCACGACGATCGCGTCCGCATAGTGGCCGAACAGGGGCACGTCGCCTCGCACCGCCGACCGGAGATGCCGTCAATGCAGCACCGCGGCGAAGCGAGTCGCGGCTACCACTCGGCGGCCAAGCCGAATGGCGGAGGACTGTCCTACGACCAGCAGCACCACCTCGACGACGGCGCCGCTCGGTCGCTCTACGCACCGATACGGGCACCACCTGCTCGTTCCGACCGCTCGCCGGGCAGCAATGGCGTTGGCGCAGAGGGACACGAGCATCGCAGTCCAACTACGCCGGCCCAGCTGCCGGTGCCCCAGCGCGGCAACAGGGAATCCTCGCCGAACAAGCTCTCGCCTTCGATGTCGCAGAGCTCGGGCCTGCAGTGCTCAAACTGCGGCGTCACCTCGACGCCGCTGTGGCGCCGGGCTCCCGACGGTAGCACGATCTGCAACGCCTGCGGGCTATACATGAAGTCTCACAGCACGCACAGGGCCGCATCTTTCCGTCGTTCGACGACTGCCGAGTCTCCGCCGCGGACCGGCAGGGCAGCCATGGCGCCTCCCGTTCCGACGGTGCGCCGCGAGGATGATCCCAAGTCTGGTTCGTGCCCCGGTGATGGCTTCTGCAACGGCACAGGCGGTACGGCAAGCTGCAGTGGCTGTCCGGCCTACAACAACAACCTTTCGCATGCCATCAAGGCGAATCATCGCTGTGGCGGTGCCGGCCGCGCACCAGAACAAAGCACCGCGGGCGCTGTTCCAGCCGCCGGTCAGCCAGAAGGCAGCAGGGCACCGACGGCGGCGACCAGCACTGACGTGAAAGCTGCGGCGCCGGAGGATGCCAAGGTCGAGGATCCGTCCGGTGTGGTCGGGGCGTTGCGATGCACCAACTGCCAGACCACCACCACCCCGCTCTGGCGACGCGACGAGGACGGCAACAACATCTGCAACGCGTGCGGTGAGCATCGGGGCAGGGGCCGATCACGCACCCCGTCCTTCTCGCCGAAGTCCGAAAACGCATCGCTGACCTGCTCGTCTCCATCTGCCTTTGCTCTTTGGCGCTGCTCCGCTCATAGGCCTGTACCAAAAACTGCACGGCACTCATCGTCCGATCGGGATGAAGAAGAGCGTCATCAAGCGCCGCAAGCGCGTCCCCGCAAACGCATCTGTCCAGCCCACCGTCGACGGCGACGGCAGCGGCGGCAGCGGGAGTGGTCACCCGGCCATCGCACCGGCCGCGGGCAAGGTGTCTGACCACGCTCCCTCGGCGGCCGAAGCACGACGTGGCAAGAAGGCGCAACCAGCGGGCGAGCAGGCGTTGAGGGAGGCCCGGGACCGGGAAGCCGCCATGGCTCTGATGGAAGTGGGCGCTGGCGGCAGGGCAAACTCATCCCGTCCCTCGGCTCGCCTCAGCCCCGGAAATGATCCACTTCCGAGCTCGGCGGCAGAACAGCTCGCCGCGGACAAGCCCCGATCCGGCACGGGGGAACTGGGCACGCCGAATGCCGGCGCTCGGCCGACGAAGCGGGCGAGGAAATCGCAGCCTACCAACGCCAAGCAGCCGCAGCAGCCAATCCAGGCAGAGGTCTCGGCGGGGCCGCCTCACAGTCTTTCGGAAGGCCAACCTATGGACCTGTACACCAACTCACCTAACCTGCACGCGCCACCTGGCCTTGGCAATCGCTTCCCTCCCTACGAGCAAGCCGGCAACGATACTCGTCAGCGTGCGGGTTCGCCAACGCCCTTCCACGAATATGCCCGCGGGCCTCGCATGCCGCCCCATGCCGAGAGCGGCGCCCGTAATGGGGCCAATGGACCTCATCACCACCATCATGCTCATCATCACCACGCCGTCGCGCACGCCCAGCATGGTGGTCACGGAGCGCACGTAGGCCACCACCACCACCACCACCATCACCCCGTGTCATCGTCGATGATGAGCAACGGCTCAGTAGGGGCTCCTGGTGCAGCTCCTGCCGGCTTCCTGCCGGCTCCCGGCATGGTCAGGATCGCGGATCTCGAACGCCACCGCGACGAGCTGATTCACGAGAGGAAGAGGCTCAATGAGCTGCTGCAGCGGACCGAATCGCTGATCGCGGCAGCGATGCACGGCGTCATCGGTCACGACCAGCCTTTCACTGCACAGCATCACCCCGCTGTGGCGTATACACACGGCGAGAGGCCAAGCCAGCCTTCGCAGCCGGGCACGCCGTCCGATGGCGATCGCAGCAGGGCCGTGAGGATGAAAGACGAAGCCAACGACGTCGCGACACCGAGCGGACCGGCGGCGCAGTCGAGCAGCGCATCAACCTCGAGCGAGAAGGACGAGCTTGAATCGCTCCGGGCGTCGAACTCACCCGGCGCATCGTCCACGCCTGCCCGTCCGGCAGCCTCATCGCGAAGGAACAGCTTCGAGCAGAGGATGGCGTCGCTCCCCGTCCTTCCCGCCGTCCCTCTGAAGCGGGCCTCGGACAGTCAGCTCGACCGGGCCGGGGACGGTGCCGCGATGGCGACACGCCCATCCCTGACCACCCGAAAGAGCCAGACATGGAGCATCGAGGAGAATCAGGCGCAAGCGCAGTCGCAGCGCCTGAAGCGGTCGCGGCGCGACGACGAAGACGGCGATGACAAGTTCAACTGGGAGAATCTGTACGGCAAGGCACGGTTGGAGAAGGCGGGCGACTGGCGAGGCTTCGCGCGCCCCGCAGAGAGGGAGAAGGCGTCGGGCAGCAGCAGCAAGCTGCTCAAGCAAGTCACCCGGCGCGAGAGCGAGCAGGCGGTCCAGAACGGCCTGCAGAGTGCGCAGCCCTCTCCGGCAAGCGCGCATTGAGTCCGTGCCGTCTGCTCTCGACGGTCTCCGATACGCAGCGGTAGGCACCGCCTTCACCGTACCGCTGCCAGGACCGACGACCGCTTTATTAGGGAGTTCCTTGTTGCGCCCGAGCTTGCATGACCTTCCCGTGTGTTGACCATGCAATCCTCACACCATCTAGGCCTCATCGTGCAGCCTAACTGACTCCCCACAAGGGTTATGGCCACGAAAAGACAGACTACTGACTGGCAGGCCGCTCGACGTACGTGCGGGACAGCATGGTGCTCGGGCGACCGCGGGCGGCGTTGGAGGGGATTACCAAAGCCGCCGCAGGTGGTCGGCGCGCGGGGGAGAAAGATTTTCTGAGGCGGAGGCGGGGGCGGGGCGGGGCGGCCCATGTGCGAGACAAAAAAGGGAGGGAGGCCTGGCCTCTGCCAGATCGAGCGTGAAAAAGGGGCCGAGGGGCGAGGCAGCCAGCCAGCTGCTGGCGGCAGCGAGTCGCCCCCTCCAGCCTGGCAGGCCTGGCGCTGCCCTCCGCGCATTGGACTTCGGTCGGTTGATCCGGCTGCCCGTGTGGCCGGAACCACAGGCAGGGCTGCCCTCACCCGCTCGCCTGCCTGGCTGGTTGGCTGGCTGGCTGCCAACTCTCCAGGCCTCGGCGCCCGCCTGACTGGCCAGCGACGCCAAAGCAGGCAGGCCGGGGAAGCATTCGGGCCTCCCGACCCACCACCTTCTCTCTCCTCTCTCCGCAGTGGCACCGTTCCTCTTCACCACCACCCCTTCCACCCCTCTCCTCTCCCAATCTCTCGCCACAACTTTACACCATGTCTTTCCTCGCTCGACGAGTTGCTGCCGGCAGCAGCCGAGCCGTCCTCAACTCCAGCAAGGCGTCGCTGGCCAACGCCACCCGCAGCTTCGCAAGCGCCGCCGAGCACAACGGCGTCTCGTTTGGCCTCAACGAGGACCAGGAGGCATACAGAGGTGCGTGCTGAGCTATCGGCATCGCTGTGAAGCCTTGCGCGCAGGGGTCAGGCTGCATAGAATCCCCCCCTCCCTTTGCTGACCTCGTGACCCTTGTCTCTTGCCCCTGACCCGCCCACGCAGACCTCGCGCGGAAGTTCGCCCGCGAGGAGATCATCCCCGTGGCCAAGCACTATGACCAGACGATGGAGTACCCCGTCCCCGTCCTCAAGAAGGGCTGGGAGCTCGGCCTGATGAACACCCACATCCCCGAGGAGTACGGCGGCCCGGGTCTCGGCCTGGTCGAGTGCGCCCTCATCTCCGAGGAGCTCGCCTATGGCTGCTCTGGCATCCAGACGGCCATGGAGGCCAACGGCCTCGCCGAGGCGCCCCTCATCGTCGCAGCCAGCCACGAGACCAAGCAGAAGTACCTCGGCCGGATGACCGAGGAGCCGCTCATGGCTGCCTACTGTGTCGTGAGTATCCCGTCGCTCTCTACTTTGCGGAACCGACTCACGCCGCTCGCCGCATGGCTGTGGCGCTCTCCCGGCTGACGCATGGACCGCTGTACCCTTGCTCTGCTTCGTTCCGTCGATTCTCTCTCTCTCACACACAGACCGAGCCCGGGGCTGGTTCCGACGTCGCAGGCATCGCGACCAAGGCCGAGAAGCAGGGCGACAAGTGGGTCATCAACGGCACCAAGATGTGGATCACCAACGGCGGCAAGGCCAACTGGTACTTTGTCCTGGCCAAGACTGACCCGAATGCCAAGGCGGCCAAGTCGATGACGGGCTTCGTCGTCGACGCCGACACGCCCGGCATCCACATTGGCAAGAAGGAGATCAACATGGGCCAGCGGTGCTCCGACACGCGCCAGATCACCTTTGAGAATGTCGTCGTGCCCGAGGAAAATGTGCTGGGCAAGCCCGGCGACGGCTTCAAGACGGCCATGGGCGCTTTCGACATCACCCGTCCCCTCGTGGCCGCCGGCGCCGTCGGGTTGGCCCAGCGCGCCCTGTACGAGGCGGCCACGTACGCCCAGGAGCGCAAGACGATGGGCAAGCCCATCATTGAGCACCAGGCCATCTCGTTCCTCCTGGCCGAGATGCAGATGGCCGTCGAGGCGTCGCGCAACATGGTCTGGAAGTCGTGCTGGGCAAAGGACCAGGGCCAGCGCAACTCGTTCTGGGCCTCGATGGCCAAGTGCATGGCCTCCCAGGCCGCCACGGCCAACGCCAACGGCGCCGTCCAGGTCTACGGCGGCATGGGCTTCAACACCGAGTCGCCCGTCGAGAAGCTCCTCCGCGACAGCAGGATCTTTGAGATCTACGAGGGCACCACCCAGATCCAGAAGCTCATCATTGGCAGGCACATCCAGGAGCTCTACAAGGTCTGAGCGCCCCGTGGCGTGGAGCGGCCCGGCCCGCACGATGCAAGCATCTTCCTTGCAGCCTCTTCGCCTCATCCCTGTGACTCCGTAGCATCTTCATCTAGTTTCCACACACATCGTAATGACGTGCGCAGCAGTCGCATCGTACAAATACAGCCGGCGGTGATCGACGGCGTCTGGGTCTAAGTATGTCTTGCGGGTCCGCCCGGCAAGGGGAGGGAGAAGGATGTCATGCGCTGGCGCAGGTGTCGGGGCGCTCGCTGTATCGCCGGCGACGCGCGACGGCTCCTGCTTCAAGCGGCGCTGTCTGTTGCAGCGGTGTCATTGGGGACGGTGGCGGGTGTCTTCTCCTGCTTGCCGTCGTCGCCTCCCGCTGGGGCGGCCTCGAGCTGCCGCGCCTTTGCCTCGGCGCGCAGGCGGGAGCGGTCGTTTCGCAGCCTGGCCTCTTGTTCGGCCAGGGCGATTTCCTCTGCGAAGCTCGACCTGGCGCGGATGGTGGGGCCGTAGTAGTAGAGGACAAAGGGGATGCAGGCGAGCGGGATGCCCACGAAGCCGAGGAGGCTGCTGGCCCACTTGTACCCGAGGTTGTGGTACATGATCTCGGTGGTGAGCGTGACGCTGCCGCTGAGGAGCTCGCGCAGCAGCGACTGGGCCGCCACGGCCGAGGCGGCAAAGCACGAGTAGGACGCCACCGTGTAGTCGGACACGACCAGGAAGAGGATGTGCGACGAGATGCCAAAGATGGCGCCGGCGATGACGGGCACGATCCACGGCACCGGCGGGAACGAGGTCCAGGCGAAAAAGAGGAGCGAGACGGGGAAGAGGACGCCGCCGGGCAGGCCCCACAGGATGCGGTCCTCGGGCGAGGGCTCGCCGCTGCTCCGCCGTCGTCCCGCCCGCGCGTACCACTTCTCCTGGACCGCGTAGAGCGCGAACCCGATGAGGAAACCGACAATGATGCCGATGAAGGCGAGCCCCTGCTCGCCCTGGTTGAAGCCGTAGTCGGCAAAGACGAGCGGGTAGGCCTCGAGGAAGATGTAGATGACTGGAGGAGGCCGACGCGAGCAGGAACGGGGCCGAGGTCTCGGTCAGTGTGAAGGCAAGAGGTGCTGCTGTCGGCGCACACACTCACCGGCATAGTTGACGCCATCAAAAACGGCAAAGCTCGCCACGATGGGCTCCTGCATGCGGAAGGACAGCAACCTTGGTCAGCGTGCGAACGGTACACTGCTACCCCACGGATGCACCGCTGTGCTACTCACGGTGAAGAGCATGACGATCGGCCGTGCGACCATCTCGCGGAAGAGGGCAGACGCAGTGTGCTGCGAACGGATCTTTTCGTGCATCGCATAGTAGCGGTCGTCGCCGGTGCTTTCGCGGAGCCTCTTTGCGCGCGAGGCCAAGAGGACTCCCTGCCGCGTCTCCGGGACGAAGAGCAGGAACGGCACCAATAGGAAGCCGGCGACGATGCCGTTGACGCCAAAGATCCATCTCCACCCGAGGTTGAGGACAAGGTAGCCCGAAAAGACCGGTCCTAGCGCTGCACCCACTTCGGCAAACACTGCAAAGCTGAGCGCATGGCGAAGGGCAATACCGGCACGGCGATCGTCAATAGTCTGACGAGGGGCTATGCACGTGCGCTCTTTTCGAACGGCACGAGTTGCACTCACCAGTTGACGGCCCAGCCCTGCTCGTCCGGGTTCCACATGTCCGAGATGGTGCCGATCGAGTTGAAGGTGGCTGCGGCGAAGAAGCCGGCCAGAAAGCGGAATACGATGAGCAGGCTCAGATGCGAGCCGACGCCGCACGGAATCTGGCACAGGGCGACCAGGAGAAAGCTGCCGCCAATGACGGGGTACCGCCCGTAGTCTTCCGAGGCTGGCGCGAGCACCACGGGTCCTAGAGCGAAACCAAAGAGGTAGACGGCAGCGGGGATGCGGGCGGCCACGTTGCCGATGCCGAGCTCTGCGGCGATGTCGGATGCGCCGAACGCATAAGAGGACGAGATGACGTTGGCCCAGAGCTCGAGAAAGAGCGTGACGAAGGTGATCTGCCACTTGCGCCAGCTTGCAAAGTTGTTGGGGTCTTGTGCATCGTTGTACTGAAGGGTCGAGGCCGCAATAGGCGGTGAAAGGCCTTCGGTCAGATCGCAGCACAGCAGGAAGCCCATCAGCGTCGCCGTGTTGGCGACCTACCTCAAACTCGACCAGGAAAGGGTCGTTCTCGTCCGCGTTGCCGCCCAAGAGGCCGGCGAGCCCCTGCTCCTTGTCAGTCTGACGTTCGACGACAGTGGTGGCGGTCGAGAGGCGGTCGTTGTCGTCGGTGTGCGCGGTGTCGTTCCAGGCCAAGGATGCGCCCTTTGACCTTTGAGTATCCATGGTCTCGCTGAACTTTAGCTGGGGGCCTCCTGGTCTCGTCCCGCCGGGCGTGCCAGTCCCGGACGGTGTCGGGGTTCCCGACGCAGGGATGGGGTCGCTGTCCAGCCTGTCGTGGTTCGATAGATCCGGGGTCATGTTGGATCGAGGGTGAGGGTCTCACGGTGATCACGGTACCGATTTGGAAGGAGAGAAGCGGGAGGATGAAGGTAGGCTCGTCATGAACAGCAAAGGCGGCGAGTGCTGGAAAGAGAGGGAGGGACTGAGGGATGGTGTGGGGAATATGTAGTGGCCGGGTGCATCCGAGCACGTTGAGCAGTCGCAGCAGGTTATACAGGGCCAAGGTCGTCTATGGATAACATCGTTGCGGGTGAGATGGTGGACGAAAGATGAGTACCTGGCAAGAGGCAGGCAGTCAGCGTGGAAGCAGCGTCTCGCAGGCCTGACGGGCCAAGGCCGGGAGGGAAGGGTCCACGCCTGCACCACCGCGCCCGCCGCCTCCCCTCGCCCCCCGGCCCCTCCGAACTGACGAGCGTCCGGCCAGGCCAAAGGCGAAGCTGGGGCGGCAGATGCCGTGACTCCTTAGCCCGCTCGAGCTGAGGGTGCCGATACGGCTTGTCATGGCGGCGTCGGCCGGCTAAGGCCCCATTTTGCAGCGCCCACACCAGGCCCCGCCAAGATGATTCCGGTAGGCATGCAAGGCGCCTCGGGCGTTCCGTCGGCTTTGGTGTGCAGCGGGTCGCCTGTCGTCTGCCTGGGAATCCGGCGAGACGGCTCATCCGAAAGCCCCTCTCTCGCCTGGTTGCTTTTTGTTGGTCTGAAGGCTCTCAGCGCGTGCGGGTTCTGGCCGCCCGATTCGTCTAGACGTGGTCGCCGTCTTGTTTCTTGGCCTGGCCTGATGCTTTTTGCGTTCGTTACGCAGGCGGGCGCTGCCAGAAAGGGACGAGGTTCGGAAAGGGGATCAGCGAGCCTGCATTTGTCAGGCAGCGGCGACGGGTGGAGGTCGAGGGGCAGCTGCGTTTCGCGAAAAGTCAGAGCGAAGGACCGGTTCAACATCGTCGGATCCCGACTGCGGGAGGGCGTGTCGCCCCCACTGTGTGGCGCGCCATCATGACCACACCCGCCACACCACCGGCCAGCCTTGGATGGATCCCTGTCCTTTCGACACAGCGCGAGCAAGTCGACGGTTGCGGGTACTGCATGTAGCCCACACCTCGCTGTTGTGCCTACCAACCCGCCGTGCTCTCTTCCTTGCATCTGCCCTCAACGCTTTCCGGGTCCCGTCGGCCACACCAGTCTGGCGCTGCCGATGTCGCTGCAACCTCAGCCGCCGGCGACAGGCTCATATCTCGGCACTTAGGCACATTATCCATCTTCCGGAGCCGCTATTGCCCTCTGGGTGAGCGTGCCGCTTGACGCTGACAATCCGGGCTTTGTGGGCGGGTGATTGCGCCCCATGGGAAGCGACATCACGGCACGAAATCCGCCTTTGGCACTCGCTCGATGATTCTGCCTTCCGGAGAGCCGGGGCAGTTCGGCATGGCTGAGACCAGCATCTGCAGGAGGCGTGTTCGATGAGCACCGGTAGAACCTGTCAAGCGCCCTGGAGCTTTGTCTCGAGGCTTGCCGGGGGCCCACACCCCTGGCTCCTCTGGCGTCCAACCCTTGACCCTCGTCCGTCAAGCCATCCGCCCCCCCGGCAGTCTAGAGAGGGGTGTCAAGTTCAGCCTGCTTCGCTCCTCGTCCTGAACTCATCCCCGGATGGCCGGCAGCTTGTTGTGAGACCAGTTACACCAGTTCCCGCCCCCTCACACCTCAGGCCGCCGGCCGCTAGTCAGGTCATTGGCGTGCGATATGAAACCGGCAGCGCCTCTCATCCAAACATAGATGGATGGTAGGATCGTGCCAACCGCCGGCCGCCGACCTCCTTCTGCCGAGCACGCAACCAGCTTCGCCCTCAATCGACTGAGCCATCGAGGCAATCCGGGGCTCCAAAGCGCTGGGGACCGACGAGACGGACTCAGCGCTGTAGATACCGCACAGCAGCTTCTGAACACTGCCGATCCGCGGCACCTTTGGAAGTTCGATGCTCGAGACATGCTAATGATTCTTGTGTGGGCCACGGCCAGAATGGGATAAGAGCGGGCTAGTTTACACGTATACGGCGGCATCATAGATGGGCAAGGGGTAGAGGTGAGAGACGATTTGGAGGGGCCATGGACAGCCCGAACCGCTTTGTCTATGCTGGTACGAGAATCTAGGTCGCGGTACGACCGTCGCTCACTGCAGCAGGAGGTCGCGCACGACGGCGCCATCTTCGCCGCCCCCAACCGTGTAGCGCACCTCGGAGCGTCGCAGGCCGTTGAAGGTGGATGCGGCGCAGATAGTGTACGCGCCCATGTTTTCATAGACGAGCCAGTCGCCCACCTCGAGGCCGCGCGGCAGGTGGGCCAGCTCGCGCACGCAGTCGATCGAGTCGCACGTCGGGCCCCAGATGCTGCAAGGCTGCAGCGACCAGGCCTTGCGCTCGGCCTCGTCGGCATCGGCACCAGGCGCCACGATGCCCGGCGAGGGAATCTCGGGACGGTAGACGTACTTGCGGTCGAGCGTCAACACCTTTGGGTAGACGGTGACGTGGTCGAAGATGACGCAGTTGAACGACGCGTAGAGGCCGTCGTTTTGGTAGTACATCACCTCGGGCTTGTCGCGAGCGCCTTCGACGGCGGCCACCTCCTGCGACGAGGGCGCCTCCTCGGCCTCTTCGCCGCGTCGGGCCGCGATGATGTTGGTGGCCAGGACGAACGCCGAGTGGACGTAGTACCTGCCGGGCTCGGCAATGATGCGGAGACCGTTGGGCTTGCCAGGCACCGCCTTGCCTCCAGATGCAAAGTCGGCATCTGGAAAGTAGCGATCGATGGCCGGACCGAGGACCTCGGCCACCGATTCGAAGTTGTCATGTCCAAAGCCTCCGCCGACGTCGAGGAAGTCGAAGGTGAAGCCCGCGTCGCGGCCCATGTCAAAGGCCACGCGAGCGCGGTGCACGGCGTCGCGGAAGGCGTCTGCATCGTAGCAACCAGAACCGACGTGGAAGCTGACGCCGACCACATCGAGGTCGAGCTCCTTGGCCTTTTCCAGCAGGCGCGGGACCGAGTCGAGCGGTGCGCCAAACTTGAGGCCAAGCTGGCACGCGCTCTTGGAGTCGTCGGTGAGGATGCGGACGACGAGCTTGCAGCCCGGGTGGAACTTCTTCATCTTGTAGAGTTCGTCAACGTTGTCAAATGTGGTCAGGCCGACATTGTGGGCCGCGGCGTGGCGGACGAAGCTGGCCGCCTTGCAAGGGTTGGCGTAGATGATGCGCGAAGGCGACACGCCCAGGTTGAGGACGGCTTGGATCTCGCCGTTCGAGGCGCAGTCGAAGCCGGTCCCCATGGCCGCGAGCAGGCGCAGCACATAGGGGTCTGGGTTGCACTTGACCGCGTAGAAGGGCACAACGCGGGGCAGCGCGCGCATCCACCTCAGGTGCTGGCGGTAGATCTCTGCGAGGTTGGCCACGAAAAAGGCATTCTCGCCGTTGGCCTCGCATTCGTCGACGTCGATGTCGGCGAGCACCTTGCGGAGCTGGAGGTCGATTGAGCCCGCGTAGATGGGCGCGTGCCCGCTGACGGGCTTGATCACGTCGAAGTCATCGAGCGGGGGGGTGATGTCGCGGTAGTGCTGCTGGTGCGGCAACGACGCGAGAGGGTAGGCCATCGGCGGGAGACTGGTGAAAGGGCCGTCGAATGGGTCCGACGACGAGCGCTTGAAGTGGAACGAAGGGCCAGCGTCATCGGGGTGGAAGGGTGGTGTGTCGAGAGCACAGCGTGACATTTCGGGCGTTCGCGAGTAGGCGGGTGTTGGGATGGAGAGGCGATACGAGCAGGTCGAGGGGATGCGTAGAGGCGAGGGGAGTTCGGCAGGTCAGTTGTGGGGTCTGGCGAACGCAAAGAATCGTCGCGCCGATCCTTCTTATTTGAAGATCACGTCGAGGAGAGAGGGCGCGCCTCAGACGCCTACTCACAGAAGGAGACGGGCAGGGGAAGGAAGAGGGGCTCTAGAGCGGCCTGTTGTTGACCGGCAGCAGCGCACATCAGTGCAAGGCGGATCAGATGGAGAGCAGGTCAGGGAGGGCGTCCATGTCGACGGTCGGTCGCAAGGATGGCCGGAGCGTCGCCGTCGTGTGATGGATGGGTCGAGGGTAAAGGGTGCAGCACGCAAGACGTGCAAGGGCAAAGGGCGAACCAGGGCGTCGGAAGAAAGGGGGGGGGGGGTGAGGGCAGTTGTCGAAGGGGTGTGAGCGCTCTATTGCTGACGATGGCGTTCTAGCCAGGGCACCGTGTTGACGGGGCCGAAGTGACGGATCGTGGTGGTGGTGGCCGCGGCGAGGACCAGTCGCTTCGACGAGCGAGGCAGAGAGGGTTGAGGGTGGTGACCCGATAATTACGGCCTCGCCACCCTTTTCCCACCGCCCGGATGTCTAGGCGACGGGTCGACTGCGCCGCCGGCACGCCGACGGCCAGATCGGTGAGACACCCAGGACTCGGGTCCACCCTGGAAGGCCTGTCTCCTTCGTCGTCGATCTTCCGACCACCGGGAGTCCCCCTATGTGGTTGCCCCAGCCCCCGAGAGTCTGACAGGTGCGCTCCTTGCCGGCCAGTCGGCGGAAGAAGACGCCGACGCCCCATCCGGCTGTCCTTGGAACTAGCCAGACGAACCAATGGCCGTTGGCGGCGGCGGATAGCGCCGGTTCGAGACGCAGATAGATGCGGAACCGACAAAAGAGTCTGCAGCGAACACCGGCATCACGCCAGGCTTACGACCCATGGCGGCCGGCCGTCCCATGCTCCTCGACGCCGCGCCAGGTCGGATCTGCCGTGTTGGTATAGATCCCGCCACCATCGACACGAACGCACCCGAGGCGACGACAAGACAGACACATGTCCCAAGACTCACCTTGCTGGAGACAGGGCTCAAGACGGGCGTCAAAGGCAAGAGAAGAGGGTGTCCGATACAGGATGGGTCGCCAGCTGTTGAGCCAGGCGGCCTTGTTGTTCAAAGTTGAAGGGGTGTCACCTATGCGCTTGTTGAAGCGATGTTAGGGCGGTCTGCATTGGAGGGAGCAGGTTGGCGGCAAGGCCACATACGGTGAGCTCGCTGGTCAAAGATGCCTTGTCGTCGTTCCTGCACCCTCCGACGATCCCTGGTCCCCACAGCATCGGCCAAACTCTGCGCATCGGACTCGACGATGGCTCGGCCGCCCAAACGGTCGGCATCGGATACGGTTCCCTCGTCCTGGGGGACCATGGTCTTTGCGCCTACGCACCTGAGGTTTCCGGTCAGGAAAGATTTGGCCGCAGCCTTGAGACGGAGATCAAGCACTTGTCGAGGAATTATGGGCGGAGGAGCAGTGAGTCGCTGCACTGCCCCTAGTGACGACGAGCGGTGGTGTTGATGCCTCTTCTTTCCTGTCGCCCGGAGAGAAGGCTGCTGGCTCGCTGTGCAGACGAGAGGTGGGGCGGCGGTGTCGAAAATGTGTCGTTGGTGCTGGCGGTCGAGTGAGTGGTGGTTGTAGGGCGATGGATAGGGGGCTGCAGGGTGGCCAGGCTTGAGAATGTCGATGCTGCCTCGTCGCCGACGTCGTATCTCGTTTTTCCCTTCGGCCTGAGGCGGAGCTCGATGGCGGTGGGCCCCTCTGAGTTTCCAAGATTTCGCCCTGGCCTTCTGGCCCTGGCTGGCCCACACGATCGATCGTCGGCGCATGATGACCGCAAGGCGGATCCGAGATCGAGGCAGCCCGACGACCTCGCTCGGCGAATCGGGCTTCCACGTTTGCAGGTCGAATTCGACACGGCGGATCCGAGGGCAGGCAGCCGCGGAAGCTTCAAAGTTGAGCGGCGAGTCGAGGCCACACACGTGGATTCTCGGCGTCTCGACGCCTGCCTGCTGCCTGCCTGCCTGCCTTTCACGCCCGCCGTGCAGCCCACCTGCGCCCCAACATTTCGGTCCGCCAGGCTGCGCTGGCCTCTAATTTGCCACCTCGCTCTCGGCCGTTTGCTGTCTGGACAGAATCCGCAGCCTACGACGGTACCTAGCCGAGAGCTTAGGCTCGCTCTACCTCATGTCCAGAGGAGCGAGATGCGAAGCTGGTGACGAGGTGGCGGTCGCTGGTGGGCCCAAACGGGGGCAGGCCGAGTGGCAGGCAGGCCTTGACAGGCAGGCCAAGGCGTTTGCCAGCAAGGCGCTCGGGCCAGAACGGGCACGAGGCAGGCTAGCCAAGGTTTGGCCCATTTCCCCTTGCTCGCCGGGCGGGCGGCCCCCGCGGTTAACGCCAGGGAGAGGCGAAATTCTGAAGTCCTAATTGGGGGGTCCGCTGGGCGAGAAAGCAGGCAAGAGGAAAAAAGTTTCACAGCGACCTCCCTGTGAGCTGGCGCCGGGGCTCTGCCTCGACCCGACCCCCCCGCCTCGTTCCCCGCCCGCCACGCAGTGAGCGAGAGGGAGAGAGATGAGGTGAGGAACGGCCTGAGCGGTAGGCCGGGCTTGGGCGGCGAAACAAAGAGGCCTCCATGAGCCCAACGCAGGCAGGGTGGCGAGCAGAGGCCATGCTTCCTCATAAAGGCGCAGCGCCGCGCCGCACTTTCCTCTGCGCAGACTATTCCCACCCCTCCTTCCCCCTCCGCCCATCACCCCCGCCATCCACCCTACCCTCTCTGTGACGACCATACCCGTCCCGTCGCGTCTACACACGACCTAGAAGTCGCCTCCCGCCCGTCGACATCGGCCAACGACATGTCCACCGCGGCTGCGCCCAACGTCACGGCCGCTACCCAGCGTGCCGGCAAGGCGGCCCCCGTTGCTGCTGGCAGCAACGAGGCAGCCAAGCCCACCAAGTACTCGCACAAGCAGGCCCAGCCTTACAACGAGGATGAGCTCGCCAAGTTCAATGTCCCCTCGTTCACCGTCAAGGACCTGCTCTCCGCGATCCCCGCCCACTGCTTCGAGCGCTCGGCGTTCAAGTCGTTCACCTACGTCTTTTACGACCTTGCCATGGTTGCGGCTCTCGGCTACGCTGCCACCTACATCGACCCCTCGGTTGGCTCCTACTTCTCGCAGAACAAGGCCAACGCCCTGACCCCCTACCTCTCGCTCGGCGTCCAGCAGAACCTGGCGCGCTTTGCCCTCTGGTCGGTCTACTGGGTGCTGCAGGGCCTCGTTTTCACCGGCCTCTGGGTTATCGCCCACGAGTGCGGCCACCAGAGCTTCAGCACCAGCAAGACGCTCAACAATGCCGTCGGCTGGGTGCTGCACTCGGCCCTCCTCGTCCCCTACCACTCGTGGAGGATTTCGCACGCCCGTCACCACGCCGCCACCGGTCACCTCACCCGCGACGAGGTCTTCGTGCCCCGCACCCGCTCGCAGAAGGGTCTTCTCCCCCTCAAGCCTGCGGCCAAGGCCGGATCCGACGCCGGCGAGGATGAGGAGGTCGTCTCCGAGGAGGAGACCTGGGGCGAGTGGCTCAAGGAGACGCTCGAGGACGCTCCTGCCTACAACCTCTTCTACATCTTCATCCAGCAGCTCTTCGGCTGGCCCCTCTACCTGATCCAGAACGCCTCGGGACAGCTCCACTACCCCAAGTTCACCAACCACTTCAACCCCGAGGCCATCATCTTTGACAAGCGCCACCGTTCCCAGATCCTCATCTCCGACCTTGGCATTGCCTGCACCCTCGCGGCCATGGCCTTCGGCGCCTCGGTGGCCCCTCGCGGCTTCACCGACGTCTTCCGTTACTACCTCATCCCCTACCTCTGGTGCAACCACTGGCTGGTCATGATCACCTACCTCCAGCACACCGACCCCATGCTTCCCCACTACAAGGCCGAGACCTGGACCTTCCCTCGCGGCGCCCTGTGCACCATCGACAGGCAGTGGCTCGGCCCCGTCGGCCCTTACCTCCTCCACGGCATCTCTGAGACCCACGTTCTGCACCACGTCTCGAGCAAGATCCCGCACTACCACGCTTGGGAGGCCACCGAGGCGCTCAAGGCGCGCCTTGGCGAGCACTACGCCAAGAGCACCGAGAACGTCTTTGTCTCGCTGTGGAAGTCGATCCGCGAGTGCAAGTACATCGAGGAGTCGGACCAGGTCGCCTTTTACCGCAACGGCAAGGGCGTCCCCAAGCGCACCGTCTCGCCCGACAGCGGCTACAACTCGGACTCGGCCATCGCCATGTCCGAGTAAGTGAACTCGCCTCCTCAAGTTCCATCTCCCCCTTCCCTTCTTGTTCCACCCTCCCCTTCCGTCCCCTCTTTTACACTCTCGCTCTCAGAAAACATACATTCCCCGGGTCCCCCATTCCTCCCTTTCCACGCCACCTCACGTCACTGTTCGTAATCAATTCTGCGATGGTCGCTTCGACGTCGCTAGAGAAATAAAAGAAGCATCATCGACTGCATTGCATCGGTTGCGCGCGCAGGACTGCGGGGCTGCACTCGTCGTGGCCGTCGTCTCGAGGACTGAGCTAGCCGGCTTTCCTGCCCGGCCCAAGCAAGTCACCGCCTTGGCCGCATCCAAGTGGGGGCGGAAGACGCACGAGCGGCCAGGGCTCAGGCACACGGTCACCCCTCTGGCGTCAGCCGACGGCATCAGAAGGGTTGTATGAGGAAGCTGAGCGAGGAACGAGCGGTCCGCGTATGCGCGCTCTTCGCCGGGCCTCTTTGTCTCGACCTGCCTAGCACCGCGGCCAAGATGCTCGCATGTATGACTGCACGTCGCCAGTCGCTTTCGGGACCGGGCCAACACGCAGCACGGAGCGCTCTCCGTTCCTACTGTATCCACCTCGAAGCGGGCGAATCAAAAGACGTCGCGCATAGATTGCCTGGATCGGAATATGATATGGATGGCACGGGCCGGCCAGCTCCAAGGATCGAGACGAGGCGGGCCATGCACCGTCCCCGGACACGGAAGCGGCGCATCGATGCCATGCGGTGTTCGTCCCGCATCGAAGCATGGCAGACGTACGACAGAGGAGCACTCTTGCAGCTTCAGACGTAACGAACGGCTTCCAAACTTCACCGTCCCGGCCCCAAGGATGGCGGGTGTGCTCGCAGGAAGAACTGTCAAGGGACAACCAACCAAGTTCGGTGACAACTTCGCCTGGAGGTCCGAACGTTGTCCACCTTCGTGAGAGCTCTTTTGGCGCCGCAATTCAAGCGCAGTGTCGGATAGGCTGCCGACCACCGACCAAGTCCCACGCACCCATCCCGCAGCGCAACATACACGCTATGTATGTAAGCCCATAAGCCTGCTATACGCAGGTAGGAACGAATCCACCCGCTCTACACAACTCTCTGCTACCTGCCATGGCGCCCAAGTTCGCCGTTCGCCCATGCTTGGACCCTCTCGGCTGCCTAGCTCCGTCCGCCCAGGTGGGGTGGCGCAAGGCCGCTGTAGGTGTTGGTGGGCTAGACGGCCTTCGTCGTTGACTCGTTGGCCAGCGAGACGGCCGTCCTCCTGAACGTACAAGACTGCCTGGTGTGGGTCGACCTCGGTGGGGTTCAATCATAGCCTCTTGCCTCCCCTGAACCTACAAAGACTACCTTCGAGACCTTGTACCCTGCAAACGGCGTCACCCTACCCCTTCGCCTCTGAGGCCACACCTGCTCGACTACATCTCGTATCGAAGGAACGATACACGGCGAGAATGGACATCGAGTCGCACAGACGCTTCTCCAACGATAGCGAGGCGAGTTCGACCGCATCCTCGTCGACGAGGAGGAGGATCTCGACCGCCTCGGATACCACCATCTCGCTGGGCTCGAGGTTTGCGAAGGGCAAGGACCAGACATCGAGCAGCCTGCCCCCGACCTCCTCCTCGGCGGTGGACAGGCCGTCCGAGCACGAGGGCCACGCCACAGGGCCCGAAGCTTCGACGAGTCGGCGCTCCTCTGTCGATGCACCGCGGAGTCTGATGGATGGCTCGTCGTCATTCAATGGGTTCGCCACGTCAAGCTTCGCGAACGCGGTGGCTGAGGTCGCCATATCCCCTAGCAGAGTGGACACGCCGCCGCGATCTCTCGCGTCCTGGCTTCGACGAGGCCCAAAGACTCGTACCAGCTCTGACCTGAATGGACAGGCGGACCGCTGTGCATCAGCCCGGCCGAGCTCTGCCACCAAGGGTGCAGGGTCCCAGTTGACATTCGCAAACGCATGGTCCTCCATCGACCGCGCCGCATCCCCTCAGACCGAAGTGATCCGCAGCGCCGGAAACTCAGTGGATGAAGCCTACCTCTCGCCATCCGGCCGCGAGAGGTGGAGCGGCTACGAGCACGAATGGCGCCTCTCCTCATCGAGCGATGCGTCCCGTCCGATTGCGGCGAGTCGACGGTCCTCGCTGCTCGAAGGCAACATGTTCAGCATCGACGATCCCGCCCGTCCCAGCTCGCCAGGGTCACTGAGAGCACGCGATAGCGAGGACGGGACGGGCCCATACGAATCAACGGCTGCGACGCCCAATCAGAGCTTGACGCAGGTGCTCGACTCCTTGGACGTGATCCTCGCTCCCGAGCTCACAGATCCACGCGCGAGGGAATTTCGCCCGACTAGACTGCAAAGGGAGCAAGCCGGCGCCACAGCGGGCCAGCGGACGGGTCCGCACCCCGCCCTCCGCAGTAATGTCGAACGGGATCGGACCATCGGCGAAAAGACGAGGTTCTCACTGCAAGCGGACGGCCCTACGGCAAGGCGGCATGAGCCCAAGAGCGGTTGTCAGGGCCGAGACAAAACCTCCTCCAGGTCGCTGGATGCGATTCGCACGAAGCCCCCGCCCGTCTGGTCTACGAGGGCGCTCGCACGCTCTGGGGCGACGCAGCCAGAGAGGTGGTCGGGTCGGCTGCCCAATCCGATTGCGTACCTCACTCTGCCGGATGAGACTCGTCGCAACCACCGAATGCTCGAGCACAAGGTAGATCTGTACCTCTGGTATCGAGAGCAGGATCGCCAACGCCAGCTGCAGTCTGGTGCTCCGTGAACAGGTCGCATATGATGACAATCGCATCGTCGCAGAGATTTGTGCCGGGGAATGCCAGTCGGTGGAGCGAAGTATCGATCAGAAGAGGTCGGATGCTCTCGGGCGATTTGGGCGCGGCTCGCCTGGCTGTCTAGGTGGTGGCGCTGTGCTCTGCTCAGTTGGCCGCGGAACCCTGTCCGGCCGCTCGACAGCAGTTGCTGTCTCGCCTGGTCCTCCAGCCTTGACCTTGCGTGTGATGGCGCTAGGCATGCTAGCGCCGCTGTCACCCATGTCGTCCTCTCCGTCGAGGTCAAAGGTCAGCATGCCCTTGGCCTTGTTCCGCTTGTCCTTCTTCTGCTTCTTGTCCGCCTTCTTCTTGATCGCTCCGCCGCCTTCATCCGAGCAGCCGCGCGCTTCACCTGCTAGCTCGTCGCCGTGCGCCTTGCGCTTTGACCGCGGCACAAAGGTGGGCCGGAACGAGGTGCTCGGATCGCCGAGCGACTCGTCCGCTTTGTGTTTCTCCTCTCGGTTTGCTGCAGAGGTGTTCCTTTTCGCGCCCAGGGCGTCGTTGTCGTCGTCTGCGTCGCTGTCCTCCTCGTCCGAGGCAAAGATGGCCTTGAAGATGTCGACAGAGGGCTTGACGTACGTCGTCGTGTCCGCGCCCTGCCTCTCGTCGTCGCCCAGGCCGAGCGTCTCGATCGATCTGCTGCTTGCGCCGCCATGTGCTGTGCCGCGTCCGGTCGCGCTTGCGGCTGCGGCTGCGGAAGGCGGCGCTCTTGGCGCGGACGCCTCCCAGGCTTTGGCTTGCGCGAGGTCCTGGATCTGCCGCTTGTTCCGATCCCACATGTCATTGGCTCCGACGTCGGCTTGTGCTCGGTTCCTGGCGCTCGACGATCCACAGAAGGGATCGATTTCTTCTCGACCTCTGCTGGCATCGACAGCCGTATTGTCGTCCTCGGTCCTGCCCGGGTGAGGGTCAGGCACGTTGAAGCGCTTGCAGAGCAGGCGAACAGGGTACCATGGCTCAACGGTCCTCGTCAGGCGGCCAAACATCCCGGCCTTGGCTGCGTGCTGTGCCGGTGTCAGCTCCACTTCCGGTTCTGCAGGGTGGTCCCCTTCGCCTCCCTGTGACTTTGGAGCGGGTCGCGGCTGCGGCTGTCGGAGCCCCGGTGCGGGCGGGGCAGTCTCTTGCGCCGCCGCTTTGCTGCTGGCGCTGGTGAAGCGGCTGGCCATGGCCGTGCTCATTGGCCGGAAGATTGCCGCACTCTTGGCAAATTCCCTCAGCTCGTGCTGGAAGTGGTCGTCGAGCTGGCCGGGCGAACGTTGGACCTGCACGTTGGAGGCGGGATCGGCCTGTGACTGAAGATAGGTGCGGTAACGCGACTGCTTGGCCGGGTCATCCCCGAACGGCATGAAGCCATGCAGCGCAGCTTTTGCGGTGGCCGGATCTGTGGGGGGTATCTCGATGGCGGGCGGAGGCGCGGGTCCAGCCGGTTCTTGAGGAAGAGATGCTCCGGCGGCGGCGGCGGCGAGGCGTTCCCGCGCCTTTGTTGAGAGGAAGTCTGAGAGTGCAGGGGGCGGACCTGGCATGCGTGCTTCGCCAAGGATGGTGCCGCGGGCGGTGGGGTCGAGCGCCTTTGGTGCACTGCCCTCAACCCTGCCGGGTGCGGCGGCCGGCGCCATCGTCGGAGCGTGCGAGTCCCAGATGGCCTGCGGGTTCGGTTTCCAGCCTTTCGGAATGATCGGCGGCGCGAACCAGGGATCCGGAGCCATCGATTTGGACGCTACCCTGAACCCCACGGCAACCTTGCGCCCGTCCAGCCAGGTGTTGACCCCGTCGGCGGTGCGCATCTCCGTCGTCCGTTTCGGCGCATCGATGCTTGTCATGGCAGCCCGGGCGTCCGTTCGACTGCTGCGGACCAGAGTCGACGTGCGAATGTCCGGCTCACCGGCAAAGACGTCGGCCTCGTCGTCGGAGTCCGCGCCTGACGGGGCAAACACAGGACGCCCGGAGGGCTCGCCTGGTCTCTGCCCCGCAGCCTCGGACCTGACCTCGGTCAGGAGCTCGTTGAGCGAGCTGGACCTCTTCCAGCCGAGTCCCGTCCTGTCCTGTCTGCCCTCGAGCTGGACCAGCACTGTGTTGGGCGGCGGGAAGAGGTGCTTGTCCGCCTCTTCATCAGCCTCGTCGCTGGCGGATCCATCCGCTTTGGGTGCTGCGCCAGCCTGCTGCACCCCCATGAGGCGCCGTCGTTTCCTCGCTGTCACTCGGGGGCCCAATCCGTGTCCATCCTTCCAGCCCATCTTCCGAAGTAGTTTGAAGCCGAGCGACGTTGAGGTCGGGCGAACCAAGTCTTGGAGGGCCGCAGCTGCGATTCCTCCATCCTGGTCACCTCGATGACCACCGAACAGCCCCAAGAGCGGATCGTGGGATGGATCGGCAGCATCTTGGAACGTGGAAGACGTCTTGAGACGGGCCGAGTCTCTCAGATCTGCCAGATCCTCCTCGTCCATGAAATCCTCCGGGCGGCTCTGGACAGGAGTCGTCTTGGACTGGCCGCCCTTGGCCTTGTCGGCGCGAGAGGATCGGAACGAGGACGGGGTCCAGCCTTCCTTTGAGCCGACCGTGTTGAAGTAGCCCGCCGAGAATCCGCCGGTGAAGGCGCCGTGGAAGCGCCGCCGCCCCTGCTCATCGCGTGCTTCTTGCTGCCATATCGGCTTGTACTCGTTGGGGTCTCTTTTTCTGTTCTCGAGCGAGGGCAGAGGCGTGCCGATCTGCGGTTGCGATGTCAGACCAGACGAGAGTAGTGACGACGTTCCAGGAGGTCAGTACTGCAAGGCGCCTCACGAGGCGGGCAGCGCCGCCAGCGAAGGAAGGTCCACTCACCTGGCAGAAGTTTTCGGAGAGCCTGGCCAGGGTGGCCGGGTCGGCCTCCTCGAGGCGTCGTCGGAGCCTGTTGGTGGCCATCTCGTGAGCGCCTCAATCTTGATATCGCGCGGCGCGGCTTGCACCTTGTCGCCTGGCTCTCGGCATCTGGCGATGAACGAGTGGACCTTTTCTGCCGGTTTTTGGTGGTGATATTGCAGGTGGCTAAAAGGAGCGTGGGTCAAAACCGCACGGGCTGGAAAGATGGCAGGCAGCCTCTGGCCAGCGACACGAGTCCAAGGTGGAGGAGGGAGGCGCACGTCTCGTCTCGTGCGAGACGCCATTCTGCCCGCGACGCCATGGCCGGCGATTGGCGGCCCGCGGCAGGCCTGCCAGAGCAGGTCCGGGACCCGGGGCGGGCACTAGGGGATCAGCGTAGTTAGTTACATGGTCCCGACAGCTCGGCCTGCGGTTGGCGCGACACAAGGAACCTCGAAATCGGAGAGGCTTTACGCCACACCGACCGGCAGCTGCACCAGGCACAGGCCGCGCAGCCCTCGGCAGTCACTCCAGAGCCTGCTGCTGCCTTCGACCTCCTACCTGTCCGACCCAGAGCCCTCTGTGCGCTGGATCCTTCGGCCATGGAGAAAAGGTCCCGCTTCGCCACTCGATACCGGCCTTCTCTGCCCGGCCGGCGTCGCTTCCGTGTCGCCAGAACAGAGGCACATCGAATCAAAGAAGCGGCACGGGGAAAACGCAGACTTGGCGCCCATGAACTCACCTACCGCACCTCGGCCGCGAACGAGTCCATGCGTAACGCAACCTTGCCTGCGAGCGTGCATCGTGCGACGCCACAAACGGAGGGGCGGGGCCGGCGTCGGCTCCCGAGCTCGTTTTAGGGCGAAAAAGCAAGGGGGCCCAGAAACGCGGACACCCCGTCGCTGTGGTGGCCGACCAAGGCGACGGTTGGGCATGCTGTACATGTACATGTAGGTACCTACAGGCTACAGGCCAGGGAGCCCCGCTAGCGCACCATCCTGTGTTGTCGACGATCGCCATTGCTTGTGCCAGGAGTCCGTACCGGTAGGCAGGGAGCCTCGAGAACTTGCGCCCTCGTTGTGTCGTCGCTCGACAACCGGCTGAGCTGGCCAGCCTCGGGCAGGGCGCGACCAACCCAAGCGCGCTCGCTGCCAGGACCAACACCGTATGCACCTGGCAGGCAAGGTCCTCGGCCTCCCTTCCGTCCAAAGCGTCGCAGCATCGAACGTGGTCAGCCCGGGCTAGGGGCCTTGACTGGCCCAGCTGCAGTTGGCAGATCCTCCTGAAGATCTTTGCCAAACGAGCGGAGGCCCAACCCTTCCTTCTGTCTCCTCCAGCCCGGCGGCGGGCCTCTCCATTCGTGACCTGCAATGGGACACGCACAGATGCGATCTGGTGCCGGACCTCGATCTCGGAGAGCGAGGCCAAACATGTACTGTACAGTATAGGCTCGTGCGTGGTTGCACGGCTTCGACCATGACCTCGGCGAGGGGACCCACGCGAGGCGTGAAGCCAGCGCCGCTACTCGGCACCTGTCCTCGGGGTCTCAGAGGCCACCAAGCAAGCCAGCCAGCCAGCAGGTACCAAGCGGGGTTGTCAGGTTTCACCAAACGCCTGCCTCTGCTCCGAGCGAGGCCCCACGCTCACTCGCCCCCCGAGCGTCGGCTGTTGCAGCCCAGCCACCCTGCCGTCGTCAGCAGTCAGCACCTACGTCCTCCCTCCCTCGTTCGTCCCTCTGTTTGCCTTGCAGTGCGCAGAACGGCCGTCAAAGCACACACAGGCAAGAGCACTGTGAGTCAGTGTACTGTTGCTCAGGCTGCGTGCTGCGTCGCTCGAGTCGAGGGGAACGAGCGAGCATACATAAATTGTATTCCTGCTGCCCGCCGGGACAAACGTCGGATGCTCGTGCAGACAGGCTCACGGATAGCGTCGAAGGCCAAGCGCTCGTCTTCGTGGCCGCATGTGCTGCTAGGGACCTCACACACATACACACATGTTCCACCACTGCGGGTCGTGTCAGGGGGGATAGGGCTGGGCGACGGCATCCCAGGGCGCGTTCTGTATGCGCCTGCCCAGCGACTGCAGGTCCTCGACCTGTTCATACTCAGCGCTGCTGCCATGCAAACCGGTCACCAGCAACGACTGCCTGATCATCATCGTTCTTCTGGTCACTCCCTCTTCCTCGTCCCCGTCATTCTTCGTGGCTCCCTCGTCTCGTCCATCTCTCATCTATCATCTTTCATCTCTCATCTCGACCTCGTTCGCGTCCTTCCCTCCTCTGACCTCGTCCAGCATCGTCACCGATCAAATCGCCATTCATTTGTACCTATACCCCGAATCGTTGGATTTCTGGCGCCGCCGACATTACGAACTCGACCAGCCCGACAGCATCACCAGACCGGCCCTGTCGACCATCTCGCCGCCATACCGCCTCATCTCAATCTTGCCAATCTCACCGGCCCTCGTGTGTGTGCAGGGACCCCACGCACGTCTGCCATTGCTTGCGTCGCAGCGCCCGCATGCCCTCGTCTCGATAAGTGCTGTCCGCGCCGCTTCTAGCGCATCCCGCTCGCCATAGGGTCCTCCAGGGAAGGCATCCCGTACGACTGCGACCGGGCCTCGAGATCTTGCCACGGCCTCCCCGTCCGCCGCGCCCCCTCTAAGGATGGCGCTCAACTTTGCCGATTCGAGTCTCACCACTGCGTTCAGGCAGCTAGAGCAAAGCACTAGCCGCTGGGACCACATAATCCTTGGCTACCGCGATACCGACGACACCCTCTTTCTCTATGAAGCCGCGGCGGGCGGCCTCGACTCGGCCAGGGCCAAGCTGCGCCCAGCAGAGCCTACGTTTGCCCTCATCAAGCACTCGCAGAAGATCCTCCTCGTCCTCCTCGTAGGGCCCGACATCAGGTGAGTCCGGTCGACCGTGCGCACTGCGTCCCGCTATCGTCCTTGACTCTTATCGACTGATGGTTTCCGGGCCCTTGTAGCGGAGTGCGGCGTGCCCGCGCCTTTGTTCATATGAGGTCGCTCACGGGCATGCTGGGCCCCTCGGTTTGCGCCTCGACGACCATCGCCCAGCCCAGCGATCTCACACTTGCGTACGTCAGGTCAAAGCTCGGCCTAGGAGACGGCTCTGGGCTGTTGCAGTCTCCGGCAGTGGTCGCCTCGCCGAGATTCAGCGACTACGGCACATCTCGCCGCGAGGATCAGCTGCGCGCGCTCCTCGCCGATCCGACGCTCGCTGCACCAAAGAGGGCAGTCTCTGAGATTGGGACGGGTGCCTCGGCATCCAGCGGAGCCCGGCCGGACTGGTCGTCGCTCAAGCAGGAGCCGAGGCCAAACTCTGCGAGGGAGCTCAGGATCCTTGCCTGGCGCACCGCCTCGGGCCTGGCAGCACCCATCAGTCTCGACGAGGACGACGCTGCAGGCTCGCGCCCGACCTCTGGACGCCCTTCGATCGGAACAGACAGCGAAGGCTCGTCGACCATCCGCCCTTCGGAGAGTGGCAGCGTGCTGGGCTTCCGGGCTGGCGGGCAGCGCATCGAGTCGCCCGTGGCCTTCCGCCTGTCGGAATCGGACGAGTCGCGGCGACTGGCCCAGGAGCGCAACCGTTCCATTGAGTTTCGGAGGGAGGAGCTGGCTAGACAAGAGGCGCTCCATAGGGACAGGCTCAACGCCGAGAGGGCGCGGGTTCGCGCCGACGAGGCCATCCGCGACGAGGTGATGCGCAAGCTGAGGGCGGAACAGGCCGCCTCGGGGCCTTCAAGCCCACGGCCGCGCTCCAAGCCCCCGGCTGTCCCGCCGCCAGCGTTTGCCCCACCGCCGCCGCCCACCTCGCCGGCACCTCGCAAGGCCCTGCCACAGAGACCACCAGATTCGAGGGTGCTCAAGTCGCCCACCATCCTCGTCGAGAAGCCGATGCCAGACGTGCCCTACTCTCCCGAGTCCAACAACGACTCGGACTGCCGATCCGCCCAGGGCAGGGAGCGCCAGCTCTCGCACGAGCACGACAGCGTCATCAGCTACCGCACCGCCGATCTCTGGAGGGTGGCCAACGAGAATCACCCCGTCGGTCCGCTGCCAGACACACCCATCAGCGTCCGGACCAGTCGGAAGAACTCTGCTCCGCGCTCGCCCATCCTCTCCGACCGCAGCAACGTGATGCAAACCGCGGCGGACCTCTCGCCTAAGATGGTGGGCTTCCGCAAGCTTGCACGTTCTCTCGAGACTGAGGGCCTCGAGGGGCGGACGTGGATCGCCAAACACTCGCGGGAGGCCACCGAGCTGACCCGGTCAGCTTCGCACTACAGCAGCGATGCGCCATCGCTCTTTGACAAGGAGCTCCCACCGCCGCCACCCGAGTCCGAAGCGACAACGGACCTGTCCTCGCCTGTCGACGACGTGGGCGGCTTCGCTGGCGGCAGCAGCGAGATGGATAATCTCAAGGCCAAGGCGCTCGAGGCTCGCCAGCGGGCCCTGACGGCGGAACGAGCGGCGCTGATCGAGATCGAGAAGGCCAGGCAGCAGCAGAGCAGGCTTGAGTGGGAACTGCAGGAGGCGCAAAAGAGGAACCAGGACCTCGCGGAGCAGGAAGGTCTGCGGAGGGCCAAGTGGGCCCGGGAGCAGGCAGAGAGGGACCGGCTCGATGCATTTGAGCGGAGCCAGCTCGAGGCGGCCGAGCGCCGGCGCAGGCAGAAGGAGGAGCTGGCACGCCAGGTGGCGCTCCGCCAGGCCGACGAGGCGAGGAGGGAGAAGCAGAGGCTGGACAAGGAGCAGGAAGAGGCGCGCATCGAGGCCGAGCGGCGGCGTGCTCAGGCCGCCGAACGCGAGGCGAGGATCGCCGCCGAGATGGAGGCGCAGGCCAAGCGCAAGACGGAGCTGGCCGCGAAGCAGCGCAGGCAGCTCGCCGAGCGCGAGATGCTCACCCTCAAGCTCGAGACGCTGGCGAGATACGACAAGGTACTGCTCGAGGGCGTCGTTGCCGTCCAGAACGAAAAGTCCTTGGTGAGTGGGGTGGAACGGCGACGGCTACAGGCATGGCCACGACCCTTGTCCAACGCAGCGCATCGTGGAGATGATTCTGACGAGGCCTTCTCCCGATCGCACCATCGACGCTGCGCTCTTCAAGGTCTGGAGGCGCAGGTACTTTATCCTCCAATGTGGCGGCCTAGACCTTTACAAGAGCAAAGAGGTGAGCCTGCGAGCCCGGACCATTGCGCCGTCCCAGCGTTGCGTGCCAGCAGCTAAGTCAAACTCTCCGCCGTCCTCTCCCATCGCAGGACGCCTCGCTTTCCGAGCCCATTACGACGATCCCGCTGCGGGGACGCCTCAAAGCGGTCTCAGATGCGTTTGAAGAGTGCCAGATGCAGCACAGCCTCAAGGTCGAGATCGCGGCAGAGGTGGCCGCGGTCGACGAGGGCGAGGGCTGCGCAACCGCCCCCGCGGATGCAGGCCGTGCCGCCGAAGACGGCGAGACGTGGTTCCTCAGCTTTGAGACGGACGAGCAGAAGCTGTCGCTCCACTCGGGCATCCATGTCGTCGCGCGCAGCCGGCCACGCAGGTCCACGGGCGCCAGCTGATCCGCCCAGTCTGGCACCCATCGTGTGCAGTGCATGCTCGTCCGTCCCCTCTCGACCCGCTGTCGGCCCCGTAACAGTGTACTTTGTACTGCCATCGCGCGACGGGCATCTCCGGTGTCGGACAGAACGACTGGTGAGAGACAGAGCAGAATTCCGAGTGCAGTGCTAAGGAAGGAAGGAGGGGCCAAGCAAGCACGGCAGCGGCCAGGCCAGCTGAGCCAGGCGCCGAGCCTGTCGCTGAGCCTGGCACGTGATGCCATCGCGCCGCGACGCGACGACGAAGCCGGTCCTGCCATGGCGTAAAGCCGACGCAGATTGCCTCCGCCGACGTCGACTCGGCTGGCTGGCCGGCTGGGATTTTCCACCACGTCCATCGGACCCCTACTCTGGCCTCCTGTTGCTCTGTACTGCAGCCTTCTCGCTCTGATCGACGCCCTTGCCCACACGATGATCTGGTCCGGCCTGTCCTGTCCTGGCAGGCGATGCGATGGAATCATGGCTAGATGATGGCCCACGACCGTGGGCACCTCCTTGCAGTTCGGAGCGGCGTCGGCAGGCGGGCAGGCAGGTCGCATGCCTGTGCTCTGGCATTTTTTAAGACTCGTTCCTGCCTGGCTAGAGTGCTCCTTCCTCATCGGAGCGGCGGCCGATGTCGTCGATCCGTCTTTGAAGCGCGCAGAGTAGGCAGAAGAGCGCGATCGTCGTGTCGGACGCTGAGCGCCAGCATTGCCCGAGGTAGGCGTGCAGTGGCGACGAGGTCGACGGCGACGATGGCTACATGGCAGCGCCGAGCTGAGCACTCCGATCCCAAGCAGGTGGGGTTTGGGTCGGGCGAGGTGGTGAGAGGGAGTTGCAGCCGGCGGCGCCGAGCCAAAGCAAGAGGGCGGCCTGGCAAGCAGGCGGGGTCGGCAGCGAAGCTGGAGCTGGGGCAGCTGACGACGGCGAGCAGCGGGGGCAGGCACGGGCGATGCAAGGTGGGCCAACGACCGCAGCGGCATCAGGTGCGGCCAGCAGGAGGCAAGCAAGATCGAGCAGCGCTGGCCTGCGCAACAGGCAGCAGGGTAGGCAGCTGGGATGGGCTGCTGTGCTCGGTGCAGGGGCTTGCCCCCGGCCCCCGACCGCCGACCGCCGACCGCCGACCTGCTGCTTGCTGCCTCTTTCTTTCACCAGCCGGCTGGACCCTTGCTGCCTGTATGTGCGATCGGGGCGCTCGCTCGGACTAGCTGCCCACCGCGCTTCTGCGCTGTTCGGGCTTCTGGCTGCTGGGCCACCGACGAGCGGCTTGCCCGCCTGTGCCATCCCGGTCGCGGGCCGAGAGAGGGTGGCGGCCAGGTTGCAAGCAAAGGCAGGTGCAGCGGCAGCGACAGAGCATCACCTCGGTGGCGATGGGTGAGACCCGAGGGATCGGCCGCGAAGGCAGCTAGGGGGGAGGTCGCGGCCATCGCCCACCAGCCCAGACCAGCAGGCAGGCAGGCAGGCAGGCAGGCAGGCAGGCATGGCAGCCAAGAAGGCCGCCTCGGGGTTGATGTCAAGGCGCGCGTCGGGCGGACGGGGCGGACATGCTTTGCAGCTGGCCAGGCCTGGCCTGCCAGCCTAGCCTGTCCCACCTGCCTCTCTTTCGCCCGCCTCTGGCCAAGGCCAAGGCTGACGCAAAACTTTGCGAGAGGGCGGGAAATGGGAAAAAGCGGGCCGTTCCCGAGGGGCAGGCTAGGCGGGGACAGGGCTGACCTGGCCTGCGAGCAAGGCCGGGCGTCGCGTTTGCCTCTCTGCCAAACCTGGCCTCTGTCTGTCCGCCCGCCCGCCTGCTCGCCTGCGCATCTGTGCTCGGCCTGTCCTACCTGGCCAGGCCCAGAGCCCTTTTTCCAAAAAGGCAGGCGGGCGCGTCGGCGACACGTTGGTGAGCCCACCTGGCCTGCCTGCCTCGTCCAGCTCCTCTGTCATCCCCTCTCTCATCCGGCCTGTCTCTTGCCTCTCATCTCTGCCTCCCCACCATCTGCGTCCTGATCCCGTCTCCCACCTTCTCTTTCATCCACCCTCCGGTCAGCATCATTTGTGGCGGTAGCGACGACGACGACGACGACGACGACGACCGCAAACATCACCACCACCAGCACCGCCAGCACCACCAGTAGCAACACCTTGGAAACCGTGCACAAGCGCCGCTCACTTCGCCCCAGCTCGACCCGGCCATCGCCCTTGCAAACCCATACGCAGCGCATGCAACGCGCACAACCCACGCCATCGATCAGATAGAGGCGACAACCTCGCCGCAGCTTGGCCCCACCGAGCCAGCCAGCGAGACGCTGCGCCTCTCCGTTTGACGCGTGTACGCGACATTGCCTTACGAACCACTCAGCCCCTGCCTCGTCCACCGGCGCAGCCCGAGATGCCACGTCAGACCGACTCCTCGCCAGCAGGCGCCTCTTCGGTCCACGTCGCCTTCGCCAAGCCCATGACGACTCCATCCAACCCGCGTCTGCTGGGCAGCTCCAACTGGACAAAGGGCTCCTCCGAGTACTCGCCAACGTCCACCAGCACACCATTCGCAACGCCAGCAACGCGCGCCACCAGCATCGCGCCCAGCACCTTTTCCAGATCCGGGCCAGGAAACCGACGCGCAAAGCAGCTCCTCTTGTCGAGCGCCTCGTCGATGGACGGGACGCGCCACGGCGACATCCAGGCGAGCCCGACCCCCATTGGATCCCGAGCAGGCACGCCAGCCTCTCGGGAAGGCTCTGGCTCCGGCAGCGGTGGCGACGCCAACGCCAACAAGACTGCCAACCCGAGGCAGCGTAACCGGCTAGCCCAGCCAGCTCCGGCAAATCCGGCGTCCGACGCCGAGGGGGCATCGACGACACCGGCCTCTACGTCGGCCCAGAGCAAGGAGGCCGACGACTTCTACGCGAAAGCGCAGGCCATGGGCCTCCGCCTGAGCCGCGAAGATATCGAGAGGACGCGGGCCGGCATGGCTGCATTCCTCAAGGCCGAGCGCCTGCCTTCGGGCTCATCTGCGTCCAAGCCCCTGCTGGGCAAGAGCGAGGGAAAGGCGAGCGGCAACGAAGGCAACCGCAACCCGATCGCACAGTCTCCGCAGTCAGCCTCGGCGAGCAGCGGCGAACGTCCATCCGGCATGCTGGGCGCGAGCGCCAGCTTGAAATCCAGCAACCCCCAGCTCGGCCCCAGTGCCATCCGCAGCGCTTCCGGACCGTCGTGGACAAGAAGCACAGGCAGCCCGATGCTCGCCTTCTTCACCGCAGTCGTGTCTCAGGCCGAGTCTCCGAGCTCGTCCCAGGTCAGGGCCAGTCTCGACCAGATCGGTAGCGCCGAGGAGCAGCGTCGGCTCAAGATCAAGAAGGCCAAGCTCCGAGAGCGGCGCAAGGAGCAGAATCTGCGAGGCCTGCAGCACCTGCAGACGCCGGACTGCTCTGCAGCCCTCGAATCCACGCCTGCCGGCCGATCGAGTGGCAGCTTCCAGACTCCACCATCGCTCGGGTCGGGATCGGTCCGATCGAAAGCTTCTGGGAGCGGTCGCAGTCGGGAACGCGTTGGCCTCGGTCTCGACTTTGACGACAGCGACGGAAACGCCAGCCCGCTTCCTTCCACTCCGCCCGAGCCAAGCCGAACATCGTTCAGCGACAGAAGGTCGCGCGGCCGGACCGTCTCGTTCGACACAAGCTCACCAGGCGATGCGCTGCGGCATTGCACCTCTCTCGAGGACCTCAGCAAGCGAGCCTGGGTCAGTCCGCGTGGCAAGCTGCACCTGATGCAGTCGGCCGTGGACCCCGAAGGCGTCTTCCCTACTCCCGAGAGCGACGCCGACGACTCGGGCGTCTTCCTTGAGCACGAGGAGGCGCGCGCGGCCGTAGCCGGCGTCCCCATTGACGGTTGGGGCACCCGGCATCGACGCGAGAGCTCCGGCTACCCGAGCGGCACCGATGCGCTCAACGACGTGATGGGCAGGCTTGGCATCCTCGACCAGGTGATGGCCCAGCAGACCAGCCCTCGCAGGCTGTACAGGGAGGCCAAGCAGCGGGAAAGGGCCGAGAGGGAGCGCCGACAGGCATCGGAGGCCGAGGCGGCAGAGCAAGCGGCACGGCAGGCGCTCGAGCTCGATGCAGAGGCCCGCACGCACTTCGAGGGCGAAGATGCGAAGGTCGACGAGTCGAGCGCTTCCGCGTCCATGTCGGCCGCGGAAGATGGCCGCTCGAGCGTCACGACACCCAACTCGACGCGCCGCAAATGGCTGCCATCGGGCGCCTACGGGACTGCGACGCCCCTGGACGCATCGGCGTCCCGTGGCAAGAGGCTCGTCACGGGTATGACGAGCCCGCAAAATGGCCATACGCGGATGACTACGCGGGAGCACTACGACTTTGTCATGCACGGCATCTCTCCCAGCCAGGCCGCTGCGTTCGATAGCCTCGAGTCGATCTGCAACATTAGCAACACCCCCGGACCGATCACCTTCTCTGCATCATGGGACGCGGAGCCCCTCTCCGCGATCCGACCCGCCGCCGCCACCGCCGACGCTGGCAAGGGCAGCGCCACAAGGGGCTTTCTCACTTCGGCGACGCCCTTCCGGACGAGCATGTTTATCGACGAGGCTCGGCCGGACCTGATCGGCGTCAGCCCCTCGGTCGCCGGGCTCTTCCAGGCGAGGAGCGGTGGTCTGCCGAGCACCCAGTCGAAGCTCCTGCGGTCGGCCTCGGACGGCTTCGCTATCGTATCGCCGCTGTCCGGGCGCCTGCTGCCGAGCGTGCAGTCCCGCATCTCGGATCTCGAGTTCGATGAAGAGCCGCCGGCGGCCGAGGATGCTATCGATGGCCTGCCTGGCATGGGACCGAGCTCCGCATTCAACCCAAAACGAGGCCTCCTCTTCGGTGCAAGCCCTTCCTCGAGTGCCTCGCGCATCGGCGGCGCTCTCGACGCGACTCTGGCGCGGTCTCCCGCCGCCAAAAGCTTCGGGCTAGTGGGCGCTTCTCCGGGGCGTGGCGCCCCGAGCCTGGGTTCGAGACTGGCATTTGCCAGCCCCCGCACCGTGCTTCTACGCGCGCACTCGGGCGGCTCGATCGAGAGCACAGCAATCCGCAAGCTCAACCAGTCCCCGTGCCAGCTCGACTTCCACGCCGGAAGGCGATCGATGTCCGGTCAGGACCTGGCCGGTCACGGCTGGCCGGACAAGGCTTCGTCCGGCTGTCTCGACACTATCAGCCCGGCCGACGTCTTCGGCTCCGCTGTCCCGCGTCTAGGACCGAACGGCAACACCAGCGGCGCCAGCACGTCTAAGAAGCAACCAAGGCCTCCACCGGAACCGGTCAAGGCCGACCGCGGCGGACTGCAGACCAATCTGTCCTCCGACGACGAGACGCTCGGAGCTGGAGCCGAGGTCGATGGGGACTACACCAGCGACGTGGAGCTCTCTTCGAGGAACAAGCACATGGTCGGTCGGCGGGCACGCAGTCACTCGCCTCAGTCACCTCTGAAGCAGGCCGAAGGCTCGACGTCGGTGATCCGGGATGGCCTAGTGTATCCCTCGGCGCGCCTAGACTACGGCATTGTCGAAGATGCTCACACGGGAGGTGCGCTGGCGGCAACGGCTGGATCGAGCAAGTCTCGGAAGCGCGCCAAGCGCGTCGAAAAGGAGGCCTCTGCATCGAACAAGAAGGCAGCGTCGAAGGCCAAGACCGGCTCCGAGGCCGACGGCAACAGCATGGCCGCCGGTGCAGTCTCATCGGTCGCTCGTCCCAGCCGCGATTTCGATCAGCTCGTGACGCAGCCGGCCACGGTCCAGAACGGCGAGACCGTCTGGGACCAGCCCGACGGCAGTCGCGTGGTCAAGCTCGTGTCCGAGGAGCTGCAGGCGGCGCTCGATTCGGGCACCCTCGACCAGGAGCCGCCGGCGCGCTACTACCTGCTCCCGCCCGGCTTCGGTCGGTCGAAGACGAAGCCGCAGCTGGCCTCGTACGCTGGCCTCATCGGCCAGGCCATCAAGGCTTCGTCCGACATGCGTCTTAGCCTTGCCGAGATCTACGCCTGGATCAGCACCACCTACCCATTCTTCGAGCGTGGCGATCGCGGCTGGCAGAACAGCATCCGCCACAACCTCAGCCTCAACAAGAGCTTCATGAAGATCGAGCGAGAGGCTAACATGCCCGGCAAAGGAGGCTGGTGGGGTATCCAGCCCGGCCACGAGGATCGCTTCCAGAACGGCGTCTACAACGCCTCAGGTCCAAAGGCCGAGAGCTCAAAGTCGAAGGCTGCTGCTGCTGCGGCGGCGGCGGCCGCTGCTGCAAGGCGTACGGAAGATGCCGGGACTCCTGCAAACAGCGCGCAGAGCACCCCTGCCGTGACCACCGACATGCCACTGCCCAGTCTCGAAGGTGCGAATAGCGACGCTGCCGCAGTCGCGGGGAAGTCGCAAGCTGGCAAGCTCGGCCGAAAGAAGTCGTCGATCAAGCGCAAGAAGACGTCGCTCGCGGCTGAGCGGATCCAGGGCAGCGCCGATGAGAGCAGCGACGAGAGCGCGGGCGAGGACGTGCCTCTCCGACTGTCGTCGGACCGCCCACAGAAGCGCGCTAGGGTGGGTGGCGTTATGGATGGCACCGCATCGACCGCCAGACTGCCGCTCGCCGAGACGCAGGTCCAGGCCGAGCCGAACCAGAGTCTCGACACGCAGCTCGAGTCAATGACGCCCCTCAGGCCGCCGGGATCCGCCTATGCAAGCAGCGCCGCCGGCAGCCAGCACAGCCGTGGCGCGCCGATGCTGACGGACAGCGCCAGCAGTCCGCCGAGCAGCCCGTTTACCCTGATGCCGCCGCCGACGGTTCAGATGACGGCGGACCACAGCGCGCTGAAGCGCAAGCTGGCATCCTCCCACGGCGAGGGACACTATGGCTACTCGACCGGCTTCTCGCCGACACCCTACAGCATGCACGCTTCGCCGCTCTCGTCAGCGGGCCGCGGTGGCAACCCGTATCGCACGATGCGCAACTCGGCGCTGAGCGGCGCCTTCTCTTTCGCCAGCCAAACACACGGCGACGCGTCGGCAGGCTCGCCCCTTCGCCGCTCCACCAAGGGCTACGTCAACGGTGATGTGCTGTCCAGGTCACCCAACCGATTCCTGTCGATGGGCTCGCCCGTATCGTCGATGCGCGGTTCGGCCAAGGCGGGCCAGGTGTCGGCGTCCCAAGCAGGGGCTGGTCGCGACGAGGCGGACCTGCCGCCGTTCGGCAGCAGCGGAGCATCTACCAAGTCGCCCAACTCGACGGCCAGGATGGCGGCCCTGGCACGCAGCCCGCTGCGGGGCTCGCCGCTCCGACAGGCCAGCTCATCGTTCAACGGCTCGCCCGGCAGGCCGGTGGCCAGCTCGGCCCACCTCCAGATGCATCTCGGCATGGGTGGCGCGGGGATGAGCTCGACGCACGGTCTCGGCATGGGCATGGGCCTGAGCGGGTCCCCCGTTCGCAGGTCGGTCCAGTCGCGTTACGGATCCACGCTCTCGCCGATGCGGCGCTCGCTTATGTCTTCGGCCGCGCTCTCGTCGCATGGTCACTCGATGGCCTCGTCAAAGCAGCTGCAGCAGCACATGGGAGAGCTGGCGCCCAACCCGCTTCTTCACCACCAGTACGCTCCGCACCAGCCGCAGCAAGCGGGGTGGTACTCGGACGATCCCTTTGATGGATCGGCCCACCAGGCCGACCAGTTTTCGCAGGGGTTTGGCTATGGCGGTGCGAGCAACGACGCCGCCTCGGCCTCGGACGGTCCTCAGGCCAGTCCGCTGCGGATGATGTGGAACACGATCCAGGCGGCCGGAGGCGTCGAGGCCTTTACCGGCGGCCACCAGGCTGCCCAGCAGCAGCAGCACTAGACCCTCCAAGCCAACCTCGTCGCGCCATCTTCCCGCCGCTATTCTTTGCTGCACTGCCAGAATGGACCGGACGATGCCCCGCTAATCGACTCGGTTGCTGATCCCTGTACTTGTATCCGGACCACGTAGACCCCTTCTCTCTCTGCCCCTTTCCTCCTCTCACGTCGCTGCTGGTCGTGCGGGCCCCGGACCGATGTCCCTCTGGGGGGCACGGGCGGGCCTTGCTGTTTCGGCGACGACGGGGGGTTCCCCTTTTGCGCCCTCTTTTCTCCAGCCTAGTCTGTATCCATACCTACATGATTCCGCCTCGGCCCCAGCTGTTCTTCAATCTGTATCCAGTCCGCGTTGCACGTCTAGCCTGTTGAGCGCCTAGTGAGGTTTGGTCAGAGAGCCTCTCTCGCCGAGAGCAACACGAGAGTACTAGTACTAGGATGGTCGGCGGGGCCGGGCCCGCCGGCGAAAACATCGGAGGCTGCCGAGGCAAGGAAAAAAAAAGAGGCACACAGGCGGTGCCAGCTGGCAGGCCATGCAGGGAAACGCGGGGGCGGGCCGAGGAGAAAGCAGGTAGGCAAAGTCGCGGCTGGTGCTTTGGCCGATCTGGCCATGGGCTCCAGAAGACCGGCAGCCCCTCGAGCCCCTCCAGCGACGCCACCAGGGAGTCTTGAGTTGAGCCGGCGGCCAAACGTCAGAGGGATGCATGTCTGCCAGGCAGGTGGAGGGCAGGCAGGCAGGTCGGTCGGCAGCTGACCGCCCGTTTCCCCAAACTTCTTGCTTGCTTCTTCGGCGCTCCCAGCTGCTCGCTCGCCCTCGGGCCACGCCCGACGCCGACGGCCTTCCCGACGCCTTTGACTCACCCACCTGCTCCCTCACGCCATCGACGACGGCGGGTAGATCAACCCTTCTCTGCTCCCGACCACCGCACCAATCAGGCACCCACAGGCACACCACCCCCTCTCACCCTCACAAAGCGCCCAGGATGATCAGCAGCTCGGCAGCTATAAGAACCGGCTCCTCCGCCGCCGCCCTGCTCCGCCAGACCAACACTGCCAACCTCGCACTCCTCACCGGCGCCGCCATCCCTTCCTCGTCTTCCTCCCGTGCCACCGACCTTATCCCTCGGACTCTGACCGCCTCGACCCGCCGCTTCTCCCTCTCGACCGCCCGCAAGATGCCCGCGCACCACGTCGACGCCGCCGCTTTCGGCGAGCAGCACATCACAAAGGGCATCGGCAGGCTCTCGAAGCACATCTTCGAAGACGGCAAGGGCACCCTCATCACCACCGACGCCGGCGTCAAGCTGCTCGACATGACGTCGGGCATCGGTGTCTGCAACCTCGGCCACTGCCACCCAAAGGTCACCGAGGCAGCTCAGAAGCAGTGCGCCAAGATCACACACGCTCAGGTGCGTCGCGCCCCGGACCTAGACGCCGCACAGAGGCTCCACAGCAGGCCACGATGCTGACCGCTTCCTCCGCTGCGCCTCTATCCCTGCTGCAGGTCAACATCGGCTTCAGCGCCGCCCAGCTCGAGCTCATCAAGGAGCTCCTGCCCATCATGCCCCACCCTTCCCTCGACACCTTCTTCTTCTGGAACTCGGGCGCCGAGGCCGTCGAGGCGAGCGTCAAGCTGGCCCGCGCAGCAACCAAGAAGCAGAACATCATCGTCATGCAGGGTGAGCCTCGCTCGCCGCTATTGCTGCCGCCATCTCATTGCGGTTGTGTGCGAAACTGGACTGACTGTTCGTGCTCGGACCCTCTGCCCTGGTTTGCAGGCTCGTACCACGGAAGGACCGCCGCCACAGCAGCCATGACTCGCAGCAAGACCATCTACGGCGAGGGACACGGTCCGCTGATGCCCGGCGTCTTCGCCACCGCCTTCCCCTACTACGCCCAGTTCGGACTGCCGGCCGACACGCCCACTTCGGAGCTGGTCCGTCAGTCGCTCCACCAGCTCCGCCTCACGCTGCAGCAGCAGACGGCACCCAGCGACACGGCAGCTGTCATCATCGAGCCAGTCATTGGAGAGGGCGGCTACGTGCCAGCCCCGCCAGAGTTCCTCCACGGCCTGCGCGAGATCTGCGACGAGCACGGCCTGCTGCTCATCTGCGACGAGGTGCAGAGCGGCTTCGGCAGGACGGGCACCATGTTTGCAGTCGAGGAGAGCGGCGTCCGCCCCGACATTCTCATCTACGCAAAGGGCATCGCCAACGGCTTCCCCCTCAGCGGCATCGTCAGCACGCACGAGCTCATGTCGAGGCAGAAGCCCGGCAGCATGGGCGGCACCTATGCCGGCAACGCCGTGTCGTGTGCGGCTGCGACGGCCGTGTGCCAGGTGTTCAAGGAGGAAAAGGTGCTCGACAACGTCGCGGCGCGCTCCAAGCAGCTCGTCGACTTCCTCCAGGACCTTCGCAAGACGCCGTCTGGACGGCTCATCGAGGACGTGCGCGGACGCGGGCTCATGATCGGCGTCCAGTTCAGCGGAACGCCGACGAGCAGCGTCTCGTCCAACGTGCCGGCGGCCGCCAAGGTGCAGATCTCGGGCAAGGTGGTGGCCGAGTGCCTCAAGCGTAACATGCTGCTGCTCAGCACCAGCGTGTTTGACGTGCTGCGGTTCATTCCGCCGCTCACCATCTCCGAGGCCGAGATGGCGCAGGCGTGCAGCATCTTCAAGGAGGCGCTCGACGAGGTCGCCAAGCAAGTCGGCGCGGTCTGAAGCGGGCGCTGTGTGAAGAAAGAAGATCGAGGGAGGGAAGAAGAAGGCCGAGGCCAAGGAGGAGGGCCGCTTGTACGATATCACGACCGTGTCACCCGCGCATCACCCATGACGAGCTCCGCTGCGTCGTTAAAAGTGGCAGGATCTGCTCTCGACATTCCTTGACGCCACCGGCTTGGACAGCGCGACGTCGAGCGGGGCGCTCACGTCAGCGACCGCTGTGGCGCTGCTCCCGACTCGGCCTCGTCGCGTGTGAGCCGCTCGCCCGCTCGTTCCCAGGCTTCAGCGTTCCTACGCCGTACCTGTGCCTGGCCATGTGCAAGGGCGAGAGGCGCAGGAAGCGACGCCGCCGAAGCTGTCTCTTTTGCGGTACGGGATCGGGAGTCTCGCAGCCAGGAGGCCAGGCGTCCCTACTGGTGGGCTATGTCTGGCACACTCCGCCGGTCCAGACGATATGCCCTGGCCCGCACTTCGCGGAAGCAGATCGGATTCGGCGACGGCAACGACGTCTGTAATGTTCACTCACAGGCAGCCGTCTCGCACTTGCTGCTGAGAGTAGGTGGCACCCAAACGACATGGCTGCTTTTCTGCCTCTCGGTTCGAGGATTTGGTGCGGTCTCTTCTGCACCGCTAGCTTCGACGCGGCTCCTCTTGCGCACTTCCATCATGCCATACGACGATGGCCTTCATCCCTTGGGCAGCATGGATCCAGCAAGGCAGGCGATGTCGATGCACCGACCAGGGGATGGCCAAGTCTTGCCTCGGGGCAGGGCCGACGCCTGCTCTCGACCTCTTCGGAGCGGCGTGTCTTGGCTTGCCGCTTGCCACTCGACGACGACGGGGCTGAGACTTGCCCTGCCTGACCCTCCGCTTACCGCTCGCCGACGTACAGCCTCTGTCCCACAGCGAGATGCAACAGGGAGATGGATCCCGAGATGCAAAGGCCGGCGGGCAGAACAGTGAAATGGTTGTATGCGCGCTGGGGTGCCTCTGGCCGTCTCCAGCCCACTACGACAGCGTTGCGTCCACCTACACACGCTGAGCCCGTTGCAGAGGTGCTGCTGATCACCGTACCAGCTGGCTCGGCCTGTTGTACTGGCTGCTGTCCCCTTCTCGACCAGGCGGCTCCACCCGGGGGTGGGAGGCGGGCAGGCGCCGCGCTGCTTGATGTGTCGTTCGTTTGTCGGCGTCGCCGAAGAAGCCACCAGCAGGCCGGCTGGCTGGGAAGTACAAGGTAGCGAGGGAGCGCTTCGCTCGGCTACGACGTGCAGCCAGCGAGCGCCGCGAGACACGCGTACGTACGGTGCGGTCGTCGTTAGCCTCCATCATGCTTGGCGGGCCTGCCGCTTCGCCCCGTTCCGCTCGGTACTCATCCGCCCCTGGGGCCGATATATCAGGCGGTCAGGATGGCCGAGCGGATGATTCGGGTCGTGGTCCACATCCTCCTCCTTTCGACCCGACCCCCATCGCTGTTTGTCCGTCGTTTTCTACCTTCGCCGCCCCGCCATTCGACGACGACGGGAACCTCCCTCTTGCTCCTTGATCTTCCAGTCGATCTTGACTTGACGGTCTCCTCGCTACGCCTGACCACTGTCCAGCGCCAGACTTGCATCGACACCGTCGCGATGCAGCTCACGCTTTCAAAGACGATCGGCCTCGCGACACTGTTCGGCGCGCTCTTGCTATCAGTCGCCCATGCTCAAGGTGGGTACGGTTGGCCTTCTTGGACCATCCAAGAGGCAGCGTGATCTTCAATCTGAGACTCATCCTTCGGTACTGGTCCCACCCTCCTGCGCAGATGTAGGCGGTGCACAGCTCCTAGCGGAACGGGGAGGGATGTGGGGAGCCCAGGCCGGCAACAACGATGCTCCCATGAGATTGGGCGCGGACGGTCTCAGTGAGTAGAACGGCATCCGAGGAGCGGGCGTTCTGTCCTTACTCGGCAGCACCTTCAACTGACCATGGGATCCGGATCTGTGGCGCGCGATCTCTTGAAACTGCAGACCATCCGCAAACATCGAGCTCATCGTGAGTAGCATCGCAGCTATCCAGCCTTCACCACGATCCAGCGTCCTAGCAGGGCGACACGGCTGACTTGTTGGGCGTGTCGCAATCTTGCTTGCTCCTCGCTCGCTGCCAGATCATCCTCGCCGGCTGCTGAGGCCACACAGTCCGCCAGCTCTCGCCAGTCGGCTCCTCCGCAGGACAATGCCAACGCCAACGCCAACGCCGCCGCCTCTGCCGCGCTCCTTCCGCCGGCCCTGTTCGCTGTTCCTCTGCTCGCCATCACTGCTTCTTCTCTCGCCTCTGCCCTCGTCTGACGGCGTCGAGATCAGTCGCCGATATACTGTTCCAAGCATAACCAGACCAGTCCCGCACTCTTGCATACCCCGTGTCGTACCGCATTTTCGCATTCTCAGCCCGGCTGCGTTGCCATCGACGTAGCTCCCTTCGATTCGATGGGTGCGCGTTGCAGGCATCACCTTCTGTATGATTACTTCCCGCTCCTGCGATCGAAAGCATGGGACGGGTTCGGAGGAAGGTAGGGTCCTTCGGTCGGGTGTGCTGTAAGGTGAGAGGATCGGCGGTTGCCTCCCGCATCGCGTCGAGACGAGACGTCTATGAGATGACCTCGAGCATCTCGTCGACGGCTGGGAGGGACCCGAACAGACCAGAGGAGCAATTGCCGTCAGCATGCGCGCTCTCCCTCCTTCTCTGGGACGAGCTGGGAGGCCACCGCACTCACTCAGGATCTTCTCGCGGATCTTGCCCAGCTCCTTTCCTCTGCGGATCTCTTCCTCGTCCAGCCGCTTCCAGTCGGCAAAGCTGACCACGCGCTTCGATTCCTTGGCGAGCCTCGACTCGAGGCCCTCCTCGCCTCCGCCGTTGTTGGCCGCGCCGCTGTTGTAGTCGTGCAGGATGGTGTCGGCCACGGTGTAGGCGTCCATCATGGTCGACGCGATCACCCCAACCGGTCCTCGGGCCAGCCATCCGCTCACGTAGACTCCAGGGATCTGTCCAGCAACGGGGGGGAAGACGAGATGCTGTGAGTGGTCGAGAGCAGACGCGATGAAGCACGGCCAGATACTCACAATGTTGCCGGCGAGGTCGGTGACCCTTCCCCTCTCGTTGGGCACGAGCGACCTTTTGAGGTCGAACGGCAGTTGCTGTAACGGCCGCACCGCGGCAGAGGCCTGCGGCGCCTGAGTCGGTATCGGCGTGACGGTCCCCGCGCCTGACTCTTGCCAGAGGGGCTCGCTGCGGTAGCCGACGCTCGAGACAATCATGTCCGTCGGTGTGTTGACAATCTCTCCGGTCGATCGCAAGCCGGGCGGGGCATTCGTCACCGTGCCCTCAGCACCGGGTGGCGGGGCGGCGTAAGCCTTTCCAGGTTGGTTACCCCACGCTTCTGTCCTCGCAGACGGGCTCGGCGGTTCGTTTGGCTGCGGTGCCGGCGACACTGGAGACGAGGCCTTCGACGAGAGGGACGTGACGTTCCACACGGCTTCTCCCACAGCAGGCAAGCCCTCGGGCGAACGCTTGCCGTCCTTCCTCGACAGGAACTCGGCGGGGCTGCGGAAGAAGTTGATGCCCCATGTCTTGCTCGTCCCTGTCGCCGAGGGGGAGAGCCTGGTCTTGCTGCCCTTCTCGAGCAGCGAGATCAGCCGCTTTTTGACTCGCACCTCGCCCAGCGATGTCGACGCTTCGTTGGCGTCCCTTTCTCCAGACTTGATCTGCTCCTCGAGCTCCTTGCCCGTCTTCTCAATCGAGCGCAGCGCCTCGCCGAGAAGTGACTTGTCGACGCCAGCAAACGCGACACCTTCCAAGGCCATCATCTCTCGCAGCTCCTTGTTGGTGAACGCTAGCTGTGCAGGACCTCGACGTGCCACCAGCTCGACCTGTGAGATCTTGGAAGAGGCCAGCTGCGCCAGCACCGGTTCGGGCACATCCGTCTCGGCCAACGATGCGAGACCAGGGGCCTTTACCGACGTCGGGCGAGAAGCCGTGCCGGAAGGCTCCAGGAAGGGCGTCGATGATCGGAGGACGATCCGAGCCACATCGAGGGCAACGTTTCCCGCGCCGACGACGGTGAGATGCCGCTTGTCGCCTGCGACATCGACGCCGAGCGTGGATCTCCCGCGCTGCGCTTGCAGGATGCGAGGATCGTGGGCGGCGGGATGTCCATTGTACCAGTTGACAAAGTCGAGCGCCGAGTGCACGCCCGAGAGCTCGCCAGGAGCGGATCCGGGAATGCCGAGGGGTCGGCCCTGAGAGGCGCCGTACGAGAAGAGTATGTGGGTGTAGAACGTGCTCAGCACAGACAGAGGCAGCTGGATGGCATGTGGGTACGGCGACCTCGCGCTGTCTGCTGCCGCCGACGGCGACTGGACGACGTTGACGTTGCCAAAGAAGCTGAGCCTCGGATCCTGCGCGACCTGCTCAAACTTGTGCTCTACGTTCTTGACGTCCGGATGATCCGGGGCCACGCCGTACCTGACCAAACCGTGAGGGGTAGGGAGACGGTCAAAGACGTCGACGCGGACCTCGTCGGTACCTCTCGACTGCTGGCTGGCAGGAAAGGCGTTGAGGATCCTCGAGGCGGCGTAGAACCCCGACGGACCGGCGCCGACGATGGCCAGGCGCAGTCGCGGCGTAGCACGCGCTATCGACGAGACCCGCATGCTTCTCTGTTGGAGACTTCGGTACGGGCCGAAGTGGGAGGTAGACGAGACTCGGCGTTTATCGGGGGTGGTATGGCGGCAATCAAGAGGGAAGCTGGCATGTCCTGACCCCCCTTGGAGTCACCACCAACTTTCGGACGATCCGGGACCTCGGAAAAAGTGGAGGCTGCGACCCAAAGTCGAGCTGGCCTGAGCGGCGGACGCTTGCCTCCGAAAGCGGGCGTCGGCCCTTTGGGGTCGGTTGGGGTCGCGCCTGCTCTGCTTTTGCCCAGGCCAGGCCCGCCCGCCGCTCTTTTTCCTTTCTTCGCTGCACGGGGCTGCACGTTGCAGAGGGCCGCTGCCGCCGCTTTCACTTTCTCGCTTTCTCCGCCTCGTCGCTGCCGCAAATGGCGCGTCGTCATCCCAAGCAGGGGTCGACCAGAAAGTGAGGCTGAATAGACCGTCGGCATCCATCCACTTCTCACGCTGTTCCTCCTCACCACCATCACCATAGAACTCCCCGCCAAAGACGGGCCATCGCGTGCAGCCAGCCAGCCATGTTCGACTACATCCCCGCAGCCCGGAGGCAGAACCTCCATCTGTACAAGTACAGCGGCACGGACAAGTCGCTCGTCTCAAAGTACGTCCTCGGCCCCTGGTGGAACTGGCTGGTCACCCTCTTCCCGCTCTCGGTGGCCCCCAACACCATCACCCTCTCTGGACTGGCCCTTGTCGCCATCAACTTTGGCACCCTCGCCTACATCGACCCGGCGCTTCAGTGCGCGACCCAGCTCAAGCTAGACTCGACCGCCCACACCCTCGCCCTCCGCGAGGCCTACCCGCACGACGCGCTGCCCGTCCGCAACCTCTTCAGCAACTTTGCCATCCCGCAGCCTGTGCAGAAGGTCGACTTCGCTCCCAGCTCCCACTCGGCCACCTGCCTGCCCCCCTGGATCTTCTACACGTGGGCCATCTGCCTGTTCGCCTACCAGAGCCTGGACAGCATTGATGGAAAGCAGGCCAGGAGGACTGGAATGGCCGGCCCCCTCGGCGAACTTTTTGACCATGGCTGCGATGCGATCAACACCACGCTCGAGTGTGTCCTCTGCGCGGCCGCCCTCAACCTCGGCAGGTCGTGGTGGGCCCCTGCATCCCTCGTCGCAACGCTGGCCAACTTCTACCTGACCACCTGGGAGGAGTATCACACGGGCACCCTCTACCTCTCGGCCTTTTCCGGTCCGGTCGAGGGCATCCTCATGATCGTCTTCATCTACGCGCTCACCGGCTTTGCCGGCGGTCCCCTCTTCTGGGACCGCGGCATCCTCAACGTGACTGGTCTGGCCTCGATCAATGCGGTCCGGGAACGCTTTGCATGGCTCAACCTGCCGCTCAATGACGCGTTCCTGACCTTTGGAGCCATCGGACTCGGCCTCAACGTGGTCGCCAGCTATTCCAACGTAGTTGCAGCTCGGCGCGAGCGCAAGCAGTCGGTTATTGCGCCTCTCAGCGGCCTCTTTCCTCTGGTGCTGCAGATCGCCGCCAACCTGGTCTGGATGGCGGCAAACCGCTCCTTCATCCTGGCCGACACCCACGCCTTCCTGCCCTTTGTCGGTTTCTGGGGCATCACTTTCGCCTACAACGTCGGCCTCCTGATCGTGGCCCACGTCACCAAGGCGCCCTTCCCGTACTGGAACGTGGCCACCGCCTGGAGCATTGTCGGTGCCCTCGACGCCATCCTGCCGCACTCGATCGTCCAGCGCGACCCGGAATCGACGCGAATGGTCGTCTACGTCTCGCTGGGCTTTGCCGCGGTGCTCTACCTGCACTTCTGCCACAACGTCATCACCACCATCACCACCGAGATGGGCATGGCCTGCTTCGTCGTCAAGACCAAGAAGGACGCCGACACGATGCCCCTGACCAACACGTCGCCGCGCGTCGAAGACAGCACGGGTGCGGGCGGCAGCCGGCTGGGCATCCCGGGAAGGAAGCGCGGCCACAGCGATGCCAGGAAGCGTTTCTGAGGGCGTGCACCGGGCGATGGGCCAGGAGGAGCTGGGGACGATAGATGGAGTTGTAGATGTAGATAGATAGACGACCTGTTCGGCGCTCCGTCTTTGTGAATGACCATAGAAGACAAGGCCTTCGACGATGCCGTTCGGCGTGGTGAGGCCAGCAAGAAGCTCAGGCTGGGCTGGTGCATGGCATGCGAAAGGAATCCGGAATCCGGTCGAGAACCTGACGCAGGGAGGCGCCAGGCATCTTCCACACTCGCCTCCACCGCATTTTTCTCGCCGCGAGTAGCCGCCCCTCTCCTTTCCTTTGCCCTTCATCCCCCACCCACCTCTTTCCTCGACCGCTTCGGAAGCACCCAGCAGCACATCCGGCTCTCTCGACCGCAAAGCAGCGCCCAGATCGTGCCGTGTAGCGCCACAGGCGGACTTTTGATGCGACATCGGATCAAGGTCGAGGTCGCACAGGGAGCGGTCGCTGGGGATTGAGACAGAGAGTCGGCCTTTGTGGGCGGCACCCCGTCCAGCTACCGAGGACAAAGCGACCAGAGGGCGCGCACCACCTTGCAGCGACAAGTCGGCACCGTCGTACATCAAAAGCGTGGCTGCCTTTGCCGCCTTCAGGCACTCCGGCTCCGGTCCTTCGTCGTCAACTGGGGATACTCTCGCGAAGTGCGCGGCCGCATCCTGCGCGGCACGGCCACCTCCGACCATGGCTTCGACTTTCCCAGGCCTGCCTTTGGAGGTCATGACGGCCATCTTTTCGCAGCTGATCCCCCACGGCGAAGACCAGCAGCTGCGAAGCGCGAATCGCTTGGCGCTCTACAACCTGTGCCTCGTCTCTCGCCAGGTCCGGGACATTGCGCTGCCCATGCTCTACCACCGCGTCGAGCTGCAGTGGGACGACGGGCTCCGCGCCTTCCTCCGCACGATCTCGGAGACCAATCACGGCCTCCTCACTCGACATTTCGACCTGGCCCATCCCGGCAGTCGTCACATCCCCCAGTCGCCCGAGCTTGCCCGGCAGATGGCGGGCCTTCCGCGCACCTTGCCCCACCTCAAGAGCTTTGCAGTGAGGGGCCTCCCCCGCGATCTGGTGGGCTATCCCAGGGGGACTATCCACCTCGCCCGGAACTACCTCTCTGATGGCTACTCGGCATGGTGGGAGAGCCTCGAGACGCTGGACCTCTCCTACTCAGTGCTCAGGCCGTTCCTTGGGCCCAAGCTAAACCTGTTTGAATCCGTCACTCTGATCGGCAGCAACATGCCACCACGGGCCCTGACCACGCTCAATCTGGAGCGAACAGACGTCGACGACGCCACGATCGAGGCGATCCTCCTCGACCCGTCGTTTGCCAACCTCAAGTCGCTCAACCTCGCATCGTGCTCCTTCCTCCGCAACGTCGGGCACCTCCTCCACAAGGCCTTTACCGGACAGGACCCCGCTCCTCTCCCAGACGGCCACGACGACGGGGAGAAGATGGGGCGCGTCGTCCCGCGCCTGACGTCGCTCGTCCTCAGCCATACCTACCTCCTCGACACCGACGGCATCGGCGAGGACTGGGAGACCGAAGAGGACGAAGAATGGACCGAAGACGACGACGACATGGATCAGGATGCAGGCTCCAGTGAAGACGAGCCGGAAGAGGATCATGAATGACGGTTCGTCGCAGAAGAAAGACGTTTGCGGTCTTCGCCCAAGGACCGATCTGAGCAGCATTCCATGTGACCATACCCTAGCAGCTTTCTTCTTTCACCTGGTGACACCAGCTTCTCATCTAGAACAAGGGTTTATTTGGAGTACTTGATCTCAGCTTTCCATCTGCGGCCATAGGACCCTGAAAGCACTGCATCCCGTCCGATCTGCAAAGTTAAGCAGGGTACCGCCTAGCTAGTACTGCGGTGGGGGACCACGCGGGAATCCTAGGTGCTGCAGTTAATCTTTTTGCTGCTTGGACCTATCTTTCTTTGGCTCTAGTGAGCTGTTTGGACAGGCTGATCAGAAGGCAGGCAGGCAGGCAGGCAGCCACGGGCAAAGGAGGAAGGGAAACAGGAGGTTGGTATTGGTCCACGTCACTGTAGAGCGGATGATGGGAGGAGGGGGTAGCGACCGTAGAGGAGCAACATGAGCGAGTGGCGCCAAAAGGGGGCCCTTGGCAGTTGAGAGACGAGCAGAGGGGAAGGAAGAAAGAGGGAGGAAAAAGGTAGCCGTGGCGAGCCGTGTGGGGGCAGCTCTGTCGGGCATAGCAAGAAGGGAGGCCGCGCGGCGGACCACCGGGTGTCGAAGTGGGAAGAGCGCAAGGCAGAGAGAGAGAGCAGGGATCGAATCGATGTAGCGGTGGTGGTAGTGGGTGGCAAGGGAGGGTATCTTGAGCATGGGTGTGACTGACGGGCGGTTCCGTTGCGGATGCGGCGTTCAGGCGGTTGTTGCGCCGTGTGGCTGAAGGCCAGGGCTGGGCCCCGTGGCGGAATGGCCTAGGGCCAGCGGCGAAGGAGCGCGGGCTTGCGACCGGCCGAACAGATCGAGGCTGACCTCTCCGTTCAATGCCGGCGGACCGGCACCTCAACCTCGTCGCCCGTGGGCGTGGTCGTCGTCGATGTCGCCTGGGGCGGACCCTGTCGCGGATCGGCGTGGTGCATGTCTCCGGCCGCCATCCCGCCGCCGGCTCCGATGCCCGCCCAGTCTTCTTCCTTTTCGCGGTAGCTCAGCCTCCTCCCCTCGAGGCCGAGGAGCCTCTCGGCCTGCGACTCGCGGTATTGCAGGCTGTTGCGCTTGCTCCTCGCTTTGCTGGCATGCCCCTGCTGCGACGAGTGGGCCGCACTGGCGTTCTCCAGGCTGCTGCCCGTGTCGGCCACCGTCCCTTCCTCCGAGTAGCCGAGCTCGGACGCGTCGGGCGCCAGGATGTCTTCCTCGATGACGCGCGCGGCCGGCTCGCCCTTGGCGTCGGTGAAGAAGACGTTGTCGAACTCGGTCAAGAAGAGGGCGAAGATCCCGGCACCTGCGTGCGGAGGTGCAGAGAGAGCCAGATCGGGTGTCAGCGATCAGCCTTCGTAATGGTTACCAGGTCGGGTCCGGGTCTTTTGCTTACCGATTGCCAGCGTTGGACTGAAGACGATGCCGACGTTGCGCATCGTCATCTTGTTGACATCGGCGTGCTCGATGATCTTGATGAGGCTGTGGGCGGGTAGACCGGATCGAGGATGAAAGGCTGAGTGAGCGACAGGCCTCGCAATCCAGCACGCCGACAAAAGGGGCCACTCACTGGCTGCAGAGGGTCCGGAGCAGGGAATAGTTGGCCAGCGGCAGCATCGACACGAGATGGCCGAGCTCATTGAGCTTTTCCGTGCGATCCTCGATCTCTGTGGGCGGGGGGGAGAGGAACCGATGAGCCAGGCCGATTGACGACGTCAGCAGATGCAGTTGAGCTCCGAACCCGCAGCGGACGGACCACTCACCATTGAGCCTCATAAAGTCGAGGTGGAGCTCTCGCGTAAGGACGCTGGTGGGGAGCTCCCGGAGGAATGTCTTGAGCAGGCCGGCGATCGCATGGGGGTCATAGTACTGCTCGCCCGCCAAGAGGTCGACATCGCCCTCGGCGTTGAAGCGGTCCTTGAGCGTCTTGATGACGGCCGAGCTGCCGCTCAACCGGTAGATGCCCTCCTCCATGGCGGCGTTTGTCTTCTCGAGGTACTCGATGCAGCGATACACGACCGACGGCAGCTCCAAACCCTCGTGGATGCTCGAGATGGCGATCGACTCGGCCAGCGGCACGCCAAAGACGGGCCGGGGCTCGCGCGGCGAATGCTTGTCGTTGTGGCCGAAGCCGCGGAAGCCCTGCCAGAAGCGCTTACGGTCGTCCTTTTTGCCGTCGTGCGGGGCCGAGACGGCCTCGTCCTTGGCCCCAAACTTGTAGCCGGTTGGGATCGGTGCGCCGTTCATCGGCCCACTGATGGCCGGCTTGCTGCGGGGCAGTGCCTCGTGCTTGGATCCTGGGGATCCGGGGATATCTTGGCTTTCGCGCGCCAGACCGGTGCGAGTGACCGGACTACGGGGCTCGCCGAGGGTGCGGCTCGAGGCCGACGACGGGAGCGACGGGTTGACCGACAGGCCATGGGGCCCCTGGCCGGAGCCAGGCGCGCTGTAGGCGCTGTCGGCATATCCGCCGAGGTCTCGCCTCGACGTCGACGCGCGGCTCTGGTTCGAGCTCTGAACGCCGTCGCGAGGGCTGAGCGGCTGCTCGTCGCGGTCGCCCCGCCTTGCGTGGCCGTAGGGCGTGGACTCGTGAGAGGCGGAGCCGCCAGCGTCCTCGTGTCGATCCCGCGGCGACGTGGGATCACGCAAACTGCCGCCAGTCTGGCTCGAAAGCCCCGCAGAGCTAGGCTGCGACGTCGCCTTTGTCGCCTCGCCGTTGGCGATGCTCTCCATCTCTGCGATGGCGCGGACCAAGACGTCGACCCATTCATCCCGCTCCTCGTCGCTCTCTGCGCAGAGCACGTGTCGGGCAATGTGCGGGGGCTCGTGGCTGTTTCCCGCCCGCTTCTCGAGGATGAGAAAGGCGTGTCGGTATGACGTCTCGTCGGACTCGCTAGCAGACGACGTCTTCTGCTGACGGCCAATCTGTGCTTCCTTGATGTTGATCGATCCGATCTGGGCACCGCCGCGCTGAGGCAGGAAGGTAGCCGAACCGCACGCAGAGGAAGAACAGGCAACGGGTCAGTTCATGCCGGTAGGGGTGCGCACATTGTGCAGAAGAGCTAAGACACACGATACTCACCGTTTCGTAGTAGTTGAGGACCGAGTGGCGAAGTACGTAGAACCGGGTGACCCATCTGCCGAGGTTCTGACCCTTCTTGGTCAGGAATCCCTCCTTGCTGGTCGTGTACGGATCGGTGGCGCGGTCGGGCACCACGTCCGTGCAGAGGAAGGTGCAAACGTCATCCTTGTCGGGCAGCTCCAGGACCAGCAGAGCCTGGAGGTAGATCTCCAGGAGCGCCTTTCTCTGGTCGACCTTGGCAGGCGCATGATCCTTGAAGAGGTTCTTGTCGGGAAGGGGGGCCAGCCGCTGGGCGGTCTTCTTGCCGTACTTTTGGCGTAGGCGAGCATCGAGGCCGAGGATGTCGCTGTAGTTCTTCTCGAGCGTCCAGAATAAGGGCGGCGTCGCCTCAGTGGGGGGCGCATTGGCCCAGGCGGCAGGCGGCTGCAGGATCTCGATGGTGATGAGGAAGGAGATCGCCTCCTTGCCTCGGTCGCCGAGCTTGTAGTTGGTTGCCACAATCCTGAGACCCACCACCCTGAGCAGTGAGGCGTCCAGCCGCGGCGAGAGCACCAGCTTGCGGCCGCCCTCTTTCCCACGAACGGAGCGAATGCTTGGCGTGGTTCGGTCGTCGGTCGCGGCCCTGGACGCAAACGACCTGCGCTCTGGCGCAGCCGAAGTCGCCGAGGCGCTCATCTGGGACATAGAGCGACTCGGCGACGGAGGAACGCGGCTCGATCCATCGGCGTACCGAGAGCCCGATTGTTGCTGCTGCTCCGGGATCGACCTGATGCCGCCTCCGTTGACATGCGCGGAGGGCGAGGTCGAATCCGCGTGGGTCCGATCCGAGAGCGTAGGCCCTCCTACCGATCCCTCGTCGGTGCCCGAAACTGAGCTGCGGTCGACTGCCTCAAAATCGCCGCTTTCCCCGCTTCCCAGGGAGTCCCCGTTGTTGCCGTGCATGACCCGGGCCAGCGACTGTGCCTTGGCTGCGGCGCGCTGCTGCATGATCGACGACTGCTGCGTCGGCGAGACGGGCGATGCCAGCGCGCTCTGGTCAAAGTTGGTGCTTGGGCCATCGAGTGGATCCCGAGCCTGACCCGAAGATGTCCTTTGTCCAGGCCGAGGTGCGTTCGACGGCACTGCCGATGTGCTGGTCTGATCCTGCTGCTGCTGAGCGAATGCCTGTCCATAGGCGGAGTTGGAAGCCGACATCTGGCCACTGGATGCGCTGTTGCCCCTGCCTCCGCCATCCGCTTCATCCGGGGGCGCTGGAGATCTCAGGGGCTTTGGAGAGTTCAGGGGGCTCCCCGCGCGCTCCGTCTCCCACGTTCCGGGCAGTCTACGACGGGCAGACGCTGGAGACGCTGGCGAGATGACGGCAGCGGGTGCGAGCGGCGAGCCCCGATTGGTGGAGCCGGCGGACGAGCCTCGTTCGAGCTCGAGGACTTTGGCCTTCATCGCCTCGTTCTCCTTCCTGATCCGACCCATGAGGTTCCAGATGCGCACGTTTTCGGAGTTGAGCTTGGTCGCGTCGAGAGCCAGCTTGTTCCGCTCGGCCAGAACGCTGTCGAGAGCGGCGGCATAGTCGTTGCCGGACCGTGCGAGGGCGTCTGCGAGGGACAGGGGGCCCGGAGTGTTGCTCGAAGAACCTGATCGGCTGATGGAGCTGCTGCCGCCGCGAGAGGCTGACGCATGGGAGTTGGCCGAAGCGCCATCCGCCAGAGCAGCGTGGTTGTCTGCGCTCTCTACCGTGTCTCTATGAGACCGAGAAGACACGGCCGCCATCTTCTGGAACGAGATCGCCGCTCAGCGTCGAGGTAGGCTCGGTTTCCTTGCAGCGCTGATCTAGCTTGAACGCCTAGATCGAGGAGGCTCGCTGGAGGTACTCTGGTCAAGCAGTGCAGCGACTTCCGCTGAGGCTGCGAGAAGGAAGCCGGGTCGGCTGGATAGAGCTCTAGTCGTTCTTGGATCTGGCCGCTCTTCGGGCTGGGCGAGGTAGATCAGGCGATGAGCTCGGTGCCAGCTGAGACGGATGTCGGGCGAGGTTCGGATGGTGGTGGCTTGCAAGATCCGCCAAGCGAAGGGCGAGGGGCGATCCTTTGTCCTGCGTTCAGCGGACGATTGCAGTGGTGAAGACCAGTCCCGACGGTATGCAATCGAGGATTAGAGGTTGGACTTTGGTAGCGTCTGGAAGACTGGCTGCAGGTGGCAAGCGGGGTCCGTCTGATCGAAGAGGCAGATGCTCCGAGGCGACGAAAGAGAGGGGTAGGCCGGCGGTAGGACGATGCAGTAGTGCGCGGGGTGTGATCGAGGCAGATGGCGGGCTGGCTGTGCGAGGATTCTGTGCCGTAAGAGCTGAGAAGATGACTGGCCCCGTGCGTGGCGGGGGTCGCAAAGTCTTGCAAGGTCGCGAGGTGGTGCCGACGTCGAAGAGGAAGGGCTGGATGTTTTCCGCGGCAGAGGAGGTGGGCAGCGACGGCGACGACAACAAGCACTCGGTGGAAAGGAGAGAGACGGGACGACGATGAGATGGAGGAAGAGTCGTCGATGTTCGGGTTGGGACGTGGCAGGCGCCCGCTCGCCCACCCGCCCGCTCGCCCGCTCGGCCGTCCTTTGGCTGCATCCAGGCGTCTCGATGCACCAGCACCAGAGCAGCCAGACGCCCCCGGACCCACTCAGCAAGCAGCATCATCGGCAGGCCACACACGCAAGCCTGAGTTTGGAAAAATGCCGCCCGCCCGTCCGCCCAGCGACCCACCCACGCCGGGCTTGCTGCTGCCTGCCGGCCTGTTCTTTCCCTGTCGCCTCGCCTGCGCAGGCCGACCGCCCGCTTGTCTGCCTGGCCTGCCACGCCGCGTCTTCTCAGCATCTCACAGCGACAACAGCCTGCCTGCACCTCCTCGTGTGGGTCGAGCAGAGAAAGACGAGCTTGCCTGCCTGCCTATAGCAAGCAAGCAGGCAGCATCGGTATCGCCCGAGGGCGGGCTCGCGAGTCCGACCCGCCAGCCGCCAGCAAGCGGGCCCTGACCCGGCCTCTCTCCCTTCCTGACCGCTTTCAAATCAGAATCGCCGTCCGAAAGGACCGACGGAGCGCAACGCAATTCTATATATTTGACACGATCTGAAACGCTGTTCAACGGCTCGAAATTGGATTCGAGTCGAAGTCGAGGAGAAGGAGAGAGAGACAGAGAGCCTGCCTGCCTGCTTGCAGACGCTGCCGCTGTCACCGTCGCCGCCGCCGCCACCGCGCGAAGAAGGCCACCTGGTCAGCATGCGGCTAGCGGTACAGCCAGCCGCACGTCGATCCATAGCATGGGCTTGACCCTTCGCTTCATGACAGCGGCAAACGCGCTGAGCTGTTGATGGCCCGCCAACTATGTAGGAGAGATCAGCGACGCGGCGTCGATCCGGCGCACCACGCTGCGCACGAACCTCATAGGGACGCGGCGTCGTGCTCCGAGGTCATCGGTATTGTCCGTCGACCAAGAGTCGTCAGGAATCATCAGAGCATTTGTCCGACGCCACGGACCAGGGCGAGAAGCACAAAGGGCCGCTCGCTCGGCCCAGATGAAGCAGGGGGGCGGGCAGACGTCAAAGCAAGCAGGAGCTGAGCCGGCCCCAGATGGGCTCCTTGCTTGGTTGGTTGGTTGGTTGGTTGATGGGCAGCCCGCCTCGGCCAGTCGACGCGCACGCATGCCCCAGCCTGCCTGCTGGGCGTCGGTCGACTTTTCTCTCTTCCGCCCGGGCGCAGCCTCCCGCCTCCCTGCATCGCCCTGGCCTCGCTTCGTCGTCCCTAGCCGGCCGCCTGTGTATGGGCGGTGAGCCTGCTGGCCTGGCCTGCCTGCCAGCGCCCTCGTACCTGAATCACCTGTCACGCTCGACCCGGCCCAGCCTGTCGCGTTGCCCAAGCACAGCGACGGCTGGCCTAGCCTCTGCGGTCCGATGCTGGCAGCCCTGACTCCAGCTTACGGCCGAAGACGGCCAGTCCGAGGAGTGCGTAGCGCCAGGTATGACCATGACCACAGCCGCTCTGCTCCTCGAGGGTCAGGTATGGGTCAGTTCTGATCGAGTAGCGTCCACTTCCACTGTCGATGTCGCCCGATACATACGTGTTCACTTCGGCTAGTGCAGAGAAGCCTGGTCGAACGAGGCTGTCAAAGATAGGCCGGGAGATCTCGTCCCAGCTTCTCAGCTCGGCGGTAGCCCCTTGCAGCAATCGACTCCCGCCTCATCTAGAATCCGCGCATGGGCCCGCCACCCCGGGCCATCATGCAAAGACAAACGGTCCAGATGGCCGGCCGACCGAATCGCCTGCTTGCTTGATCTGCAAGCCAAGACGTGTCCAGGCTCAGCCACAAGCAGATCCACCCCCTTAGACGAGACAGACCGACCCATGACCTCTGCTGGCAACGTCGCGGGTGCACGCCAAGACGTGCGTGCCCGGCCCCACACTTTTCGCAGGCTCATTCGTAGATTCTACAGCTCCGTCCACACCTCGGCCGTTGCAGGGGGGCAGACGCCGTCTAGACACCGCCAAAGACGCTGAACTTGCGGACCTGCATTGGGGTTCACAGGCGACAAGGGCAAGCAAGAAAGCACACAGACGAGGAGTCGTCAGCACCTCTTCGGAGTCGAGCAGGATGTGATCGGATCGACTGAGCAGCGCGGCCGGGTCCACTCACGATGCTGGGGCCGTGCTCCTCGTAGTCCTGCTTGTTGTAGCAGTACGAGTAAAAGTCGGGCAGCGAACCGAGGAGCGAACCGCCGTACCACACCGCGTACCGCTGCATCTTGTGCGAAATGACATCTGCGGAGCGGCAGCACGCCAGAAACGGATCGAGCGATTGGTCAGTTGGCACTGCACCCACTTGCGACCAGCAGGCCTTCTTATGCCGAAGCGGCTAGGATCGATCATGCGCCACTCACTGACGTCCATGCCCGAGCTGCGCATGTGACTTCCGCTCGCCAGCTCCGAAGCCGCAAGCCTCTGGTCGACGATCGATCGGAGGTCCTTCTTGAGACGCTGGCCAAAGTGTTGGAACATGGTCGATCCACCGGACAGGACAATGTTCTGCAGTCGAGATGGAGGGAGTCGAGATGAGGCAACATGTCAGTCACGCCAGAACGCCGCGACGCTCTCGCAAGCATCCAAGTGACACGCACCTTGTAGAGACCTCTTCGGACGTCGATGGGGCTCTGCTGGATCACGTTGTCGACCACCTCGGGCAGCGGGGTGAGGAAGTCTGACGACGCAATCTCCGGGTTGAAGAAGATCTCGGGTGCCAAGAAGCGTTCGTAGCCAACATCGACCGAGTATTTCTGCGAGTCGCCCAACGGCACCGAGGGTGTGCACTGTGCGTCAGCATAGGACCGCCTGCAGCCAGCTTTTGCGTCGACCGGGCCAGACTCACCCTGCCGGTCACAGTGTGCTCGCCCTCGAACCTCTCAAAGTACTTGTAGGGATCCTCGTCGTACCTGCGGAACTCGCGCACAATGTCCTGGCAGACGTACGAGTAGTCCTCCTTGATCTTCTCGGCCACCCTCCGGCTGTCCTCTGGCGGGATGTTGGCGGCCTCGCCGCGCTCCCTCAGCAGCTGCTGGACAAAGTAGGTGATGTCGCGACCGGCGATGGGGATGTGCTTGATGGCGCTGCCAATGACGTAGCCCTCAGCGACGGGGATGACGTGGGTGACACCATCACCGCTGTCGATGACGGTTCCGGTGAGCGTGCGGTCGGTGACCTTGTTGCTGGTCCAGCTGGCTGCCAGCGCCAGCACCGCCTGGACGGCGATGTAGAGGCCCTTGATGTTGAACGACTCGAACATGATCTCGGCCGTGTTCTCTCGGTTCTCTGGGGGATTCAGCGGCGGTTCGGTCTGTTCGGGGCAGTCGTAGAAGGACAAAGCAGCCGGAACGGCGTCAGCAAGTCGTCTTGAGATGGGCTCAATCGGGATGGGTAGTCGCGCACTGGCGTCGGACGACGCTCACCAGCATAAAGTAGTGGTCCTCTGGCTCGGCGCGGAGGTACTTGAAGATGCACTGCTCCCAAAAGCGCTCCATGTGGTCCCAGTTCTCGATGAGGCCGTGCTTGATGGGCTGGTCGACCTGGTAGGTCTTTGCGTTGGCATAGGCCTCGTCGCCGATGTAGAAGTCGAGGTCCTCGATGCCGCGCTTGGATGCGAGGTTGGAGCTTGACGACAGTCCTCCGGGCTTGGACGGGACCGAGGGCCGGGAGCCGCCCGAGCCCGAGCCGCCGGCCGACGTGGTCCGGGTCGCGATGGCAGTCGGGAAGACGAAAGATGGGTCCGAGTTGCCGGCGAAACTGAGAGGTAGGGACAGCGGCAAGGAAACCTGCGGGTCAGCGGCTTGTCCGAGCTCGTCGGTCGGCATCGTAGCGAGCACTCACCCCATCTTGGTGTAGCCCGTGCCATTGTCACTGTGGAACGATCAAGCAGAGAACGAGATCGGGGAGAGTCGAGCCCGGTCAGTTGTGGATTGCAGCAGGCCACCGCGACGTCAACGACAAGTGAGCACGACCGAAGACCACTCACAGGACGATGACGTTGGATCGTGACATGGTGCCGGTCCGGTGGGCAGGCTAGATTGGCTTGGCTGGCAGACTGGCGGTGAGTGGATGGATGCAATCTGGGTCGCAGAGATGGCAAGGGCGACGTTCAAACCGCCACAGGATGAAGGAAGTGGCCGCGGTAGAGTGGTATGGGACGAAGCAGCAGAGGTGGAGGCGCTCGACTTGCTCGCTGATGGTGGATGCGGGGGTTGGCCACCGGCGTCGATGTCGTCGTCGATGGCCGCTTCCGTCGCTCACGCGGGCGGAGATGCGGGTAGCCCGTGCGCAAGGCCCCCAGGCCAGCCTGTCCGGTCCCCTGGCTGTGAGGGCCAGGCCTGTCCACCCCTCGGCTCCGAAATTCAACATCTGCCGGGCCAGCCCTGCCGCCACGACCCCGCCACCCTGCCCGCTGTGGTCACTCACGGCGCCTCTCCGAGACCAACAATGCGCCTGCCCAACGGCTGCCCCGAAGAGGCTCGAGCGTCAGCATCGTGCGTGATCTTATGAGGGGCCAACGGCGGGTCAGCCGACGCTTGAAATGGCGCGCATCCAACGACGAGAACAAAGGGGACCTCGGACGGGCCGTCTACGGGACATGCGTCGGATGCTTCCCGACCCTCATCAATCCCCGAGCTCGTCCTCCCCGAGGGCAAGAACACTGCGCCGCGAGAAAGTCTGGCCTGCGAACGCATGTGCAACCTAATCTGGACAATGCGGCCAGGAGACGTCAGGCCGAGGAAACGGCCGACGGGGGTTGCGATGGATGAGGGTCGCGATAGACGAGGTTTGAGATCGTCCTCCTCAGAGCGAGTCGGTTCTCCCGAGGCCGAGCGGTCATTGCGCAACTTCGACCATCAGCATCAACCCCCTTGACGCTACCATCGCCGCGCTGCCCTTGACGAGATCTGCGATAGGTGCCTTCCCGCTACGGCCCTTCCGACCCCTCGTCATTCCCGACATTGCTCCAAGATGAGGGAGCTCTCCTCCTCGACGTATAAGACGGGCGCCTCTTCGGTGCCTCCAGTCTCGACCTCTCATCAGCTCACCATCCAGACATATTCTCATCCAGACCCATCCATCCCCTCGATCTTTGACCCACCCTAGCGACCAACGCGATGAGCCTGCTTGCCGCCACCTCCTACCACCCAGCCATGTTTGAGCCGCATGGCTCCGCTGCGGACCTCACGCTCCGACGCGATCCCGAGGTCTCGATCTCCTCGCCGCCCATCCATCTGGACCGAGATCAGATCGACCAGCTGCGCACCTTCGACATCGACTCCTGCCGCTCCTCGCCGTCGTCGTCACAGGGTAGCGCCGACTTTTCACTCTTCTCGCTCGAACCGGCCCCTCCGAAAAGGCAGACGAGGACAAGGGCTCTTGCCAAGAAGCTCTCAACCCGCTTCGGCTTCAGAAGAGACGAGGAGCACGCCGGCGTCGTCGAGGTAGGTTTGATCGGCTTTGGCGCTCGATTGGTCGTATCGAGCTGAGTGACTAACGCCTATCCCCTCCCGCCCTCTGCGTCGACCGCTTCCAGGCTCAAGAAGCCGAAGAGAAGTCGCCATGCACCCCGGCGCAGACCCTGCAAGAGCTTCCGACCCTGACGCCCCCTCCAGCTCCGATCAAGGCCAAGCCAGCGCGCCGCGTGCTGCGACTCGAGCGCGCCATCCCCTTTGCTCTCTCGCCCAAGTCGGCCTCGCTCGCAAGGGCCGCTTCGACTATGACCTCCCCACCTGCTTCGCCACCGAGCTACCGGGAAGCGGAGCTGCAGCAGTCCTGGGCCGCCATCGGCATCGACATCCACGACCCCAAATCCGGCCCCAAGCCCCACTGCACCCCGCAGCAGCTCGTCTCGGCCATGGACGACTTCTTCGGCGTCTCCCCTTGCCCTCCGGTCAAGGAGAAGAAGAGAAAGGACGATGGGCGGCAGAGCAAGGTCGACAAGATCCGGTCCCAGGGCTGGAGCTAGCCGGCGCCTTCTTGACACATTGTCGTAGTGTCACCGCCTCTTTGTTTGCCGAAGGATCAGAGACTTGAATGGAGACCGAGTCGTAGCTCATCGACCTGTCAGGCTTGGACTGTGATGCGCGGCAGCTTCGTCAAACCTTTGCGCCGTGAGACCCCAAGCAGCGCAGCGCCGCTGGCTCCGAGCTGTATTCCAGGCGTCTTGATGTTTGTCTACGAATCGATAGCGTCTTTGTCGTACCCCAGTCGTCGATCTGACATGGATCCTTAGAGCTTGCGTTTCGTGCCTTTGGCAGCTCCAGCCCGCAAGGCATCAGCGTGCAACCTTGACTTTGAAGAGAGCTCGAGAAGAGTGCCCTTCGCCTCTCGAAGCGCCGAAAGGATGCAGGGCCCGCCTTGTCGGTCCAGGGCACTGAGGAACCTGCTCTTTGCCATCCTGGCAGCCTGACCTCCTTTGCATCGAGCGACGTGGTTTTCGAGAGCGAGCGACTTTGCAGTGAGCCGCGCGAGTCCCTCGAGATGAGAAATCCACTGCGAGATCCGTTGGAGGCGGACTTTGACGTCAGGCTCCCGGACATGGCTCGGCTGACCCGCAAAGACGAAAGATCGAGTTTCGACGTCGAGTCAATCAGACCGCACCATGACAGGCCTCGAAGGAATGGAGGAAGAGCTCACAAAGTGTTGCCGCGTGCCGTCGGCCAAGCGAACGGCCGTATGCGTCATCTCAGCCGCCTGTTGTGAGCTCGGGTCGAAGATCGCGTATACCAGAGCACCCTCCCAGTCTCTATCCCATCGTCGTGTTGGCGCACCCTCTTGCGGCGGTGGCTGGACGTCATTGCCCGGAACGGTACCCTGCTGGATGCCACGCTCTGTGAATGAAGAGAATCGGAGCGCCTCATCAGCGGGGTCTCTCTGAGTGCAACATGCACATTCGCGGAGACGTGGAGCTTACTGTAAGCTCGATGGTCCGATTCCGCTTTTTCGAGCGCTGCCTTCTTGTCCTTGCGACTGATTCTCCTGCTGGCCTTGAGCACGAGCTCATCGGTAAGCAGCTCGTCTCCCAAAGAGCTGTCGATCGAAAAAGGAGCCCCGAGAACGATGTCGATGACCATGTAGTCGGAGGGAGCTCTTCCGAGCCACGCGAGCAGCTTCCAGTGGCTCAGATCGAAGCATAGCGAGTGTGGCTTGGTGATCAAGCGCGTGACCAGCTCATGGCTCTCGTTGATGAGCGCATGAGAGAGGATGACGTTGGAGGCGCGGGAGCGACCCAGAATCTCGACGCATTCCGACGATTGGCTGTTCGTGAAGTAGCCCTTTGGGAAGCCGTACTGCTTTGACCGGGGATTGTATGCAAGGAGCGAACGAGAACGACCAGCATTCATCCGCATGTGCTGTTCGACTTCTTCGTAGTAAAGGTTCGAGATCGAGGAAGGTGCCTCCTCCACAGCGTCGATGCCGAACAAGGGCGTCCCTCGGATCTTGCCGTCATCAATCGTGCTGTCTTCTCCGCCCGCCGACTTGTGGCCGGGAGCCTGGCGACCGTTGAGCCGCCAAAAGTCGGTGAAAAAACCTTCGCACAGGGACGATGCCTCGATGTTCTCAGAGGAAGAACCGTCGTAGGATAGGATGCTGCGAAGGTGGCCCCTATGATGGAAGGCTGTGTGCTCCTGCCGTGATTCGACGGGCTCCTCGAGGCCGAACACCTGGCTTCGTACAGAAGGGTACCTCGTCGGAGCGTCGAGCTGAGAGATTTCGAAATCTGTACCTCAAACGATGACGTTCGGGTATCAAGGGCTCTGCATCATGGCGGGCGAGGGCGACAACAAGACTTACCTTGCGCCAGTACGGCATCCCCGAGCATGACTGCGAAGTTGGCGACGCTTGAATGCAGCGAGAGAAGGATCCCGCGCCTCCAGGGCTGGCAAAGGATCTTTGGCAGCGTGTCTCGGATCAGCGCAGCGACTTCATCCTCAGACATCCGCGAACGAGCGACTTCGAGCAGGAAGTCGACGTTAGCAACGGCGGCCGAGAGAAGTACGTTGGACACGGTCGTCTTTGAGATGTCGATGGAGGAGAGCCTCCTCATCCCTTCGCTCGTTGGTCTGCCGTATTTGGCGGAGTAGCGGCAGGCGGAATGCAGGATCGGTGTCGTCAAGATGTCGCCGAGTCGAGGAAAATCGTCGGCAAGCCGCAGCAAGATGTTGCACGAGGCCGCTTCCCAGCGGCGCTTCCATACGACACGCATGACCGATTTCACCACCTCCTCGAGGTCGATTCCGAGCTGACCTTCTCGGTGGAGCTTCACGATGGCGACGTATCCGTTGAGGACCTCGACTTGGCCCCGAAAGCCTTGGACCAACTCGCCGGGTCCCCTCTTTTTGGACAGCATTTTCTCGATCAAGTCGCAGGCGACCTTGACGCTCACTTTGAGGTCGGCGGAGTAGGCTCGTGCCTGCGTCAATTCCTTGACGATGGCATCGGGTTGGTGCGACGTATGTTCGGTGCCAAGGAGCAGCTGCCGAACGACTTCATTCCCCTCGGATTGAGAGCCAGCTCGCCAACCGTTTTGCAGGGCCAGCGTCAGAAGCGGTGGGTATCTGCCTATAGCCCCCGTCAAGGAATCGGGATCAGACGCAAGGTATCTTGGCGGCGGAAAGTAGCGGCCTCGCTCGAAGACCTCGAGGATCATCGCGATTTCGCTTTGCGATGCCTCCAACTGCAAGAGACTTGAGAAGAAAGAGACCTTTGACTCGTCGGAACGGACGCGCCTGGAATCGATTGTGTCCCCGAACTGAGCTCGAAAGTGCCATGCAGAACGAGGAAAACAGGAGGATCCGTCAGCGGCGAAGACGACCTCAGCGGCTGATAATATACCGGATGTCACCGCGTCTCACCCGTTCCTGGCCTTTCCTGAAAACAGCTAAGCAACTGCCAGCCGGGATCCGGGCACCCCAGGCTACTATCCCTCCGCTCGGTAAACCGAGATGGAAATGCGCTCGAACGAGCTTCTGCACCAGGTCGCGAGAGAGCGGCGCGCCACCTTTGAGGAGGTACTCGAACACCTCGACCGTGAAGACGTGCGGAAAGCCGATGGCGCGGTAGATGGAGTGGGGCCACTGGGCTCGAAGAAAGAAAGCGGCGACCGAGAAGGCATCTTTGGAGATGGCTGCTCGGTCGAAACGGATGGGAGCGAATTAGCCCTGAGCCGCTCTCGCCTTGCATGCCGCGTGTTGGTGGCCGGTCCGACTCCTTCACTCACCGCGAAAGCGTTTGCAGGTCATCGAGAAGCTCCGGAGGTCCTTGATGTCGAGCCTGCACCAGATCTCCTGCAGAACCTCCGTAGGAAGCTACTTGCTCGACAGTCGGTGCTGCACAGCGGACGCTGGCTGAACGCTGGAAGCCATGACGACGTCGGTAGTCGGTGGGCGAGATCGAGAGCGCCGAGGGAGGAGTGGTGCGTCGACACGAGGTGTGTAGCCCGACTTTGGTCCGCACCGTGCAAAGAGAGGAAGAGAGGGAGGCTTGGAGTGTCAAGCGTTTGTGTGAGTTGGCCGTGGTGCAGCTGGTGGTGGTAGTGGTGGTGGAGATGGCGGAGGAGAAAGAGGATCTCACCAAGACACAGGGCCCAGCTCATAGGCCCGCTGCGCTCTTCCGCCAAACGGTGGCTAGGCCAGGTGCAGGTCTTTCCGCTCCGTACCCGCTCCGGGCGGACGCGGAACGATGATCCTGCCAACGCCAAACATGTTTCCGCAGCTGACATCTTGGCTCGGCCCGGCCCGGCCCTTGCGCTCTCGAGTCAAGCCGCACGGCGCGCACTGTCCGCTCCCGCCATCCGCGAGCTGCACAAGCAAGCGCTGGGCGGCAAATCGAAAGAGATGAGAGCGGTGATGCACTTTGCTCATTCCATCGACGACAGCGGACAAGGAGCCGGGGTGGAAGCGGTCTGTGCCGCTTCATGGCCGATGAGGCAGCCGAGCTGGGCACGGTCCGTGTGGACCTGGGATGCGTGCTGGCCATGGCAAGCGTGGTGGCCGTGGCCACGCGAGCGGAACCGATGAGCCTGCGGTGGCGGGGAAGACGGGGACGAGCGGCTCAAGGTTTCACGAGGGGCAAGATTCTGCCGCTAGTCGATCGTTACTGTCGATCCTTTCGTGGCCTTAATGGCGGGGACTTGGCGGGTGACCTGGACCAGTTGCGGTCAGGGACGCCTGGCTTGATGCAATGCAGAGGCTGGCAAGACGGGAGTGGCAGGGGCGAAGCGGAAGCGGGCATCGACAGCACGGATCGTTGCGGAAGTAGAGATGCGATGCGAGGACAGAGCGCTGCGATTCAGAAAGGCCGTCGTGTTGGCAAGGTCCGCCGATGCTTTGGCCGAGGTGCGGCGCGTGTCGGTGATGATGGACCTCAGCTGGCCGGAGGACTGACATCGTCGTCGCCGCTCTTGTTGGTGGTGGCTTCATCGGCGGGGCGGCTCGCTTCGGAAATGCCCGCCGTCACCACCAAGGTCCGACTGCTGCTACTGGTCGCGCGCCTGGAGCGTCCACGTCGGCTGGCCGTGACCGTCTTGCGTCCCCTCGAAGGACCAGGCGCCATTGACCCGACGATGAAGTCCTCGTCGTCGTCATCGTCGCCATCGTCGTAGAGGTCGCTGTCGTCGCTGTCGTCGTCGTCGTCTTCGCCGTCCCTTCCCAGGACGGCAGCGTCCCCGTCGACGCCGTCGCTGTCGCCGATGTCGACGATGCCACCCTCGTCTTCTTCTTCGTCATCGTCCTCTTCTCCGTCGCTCGACCACTGCTCGGGATCAAAGTCCTCGTCCTCGACCTCGTCGTACTTGTCGTCCTCGGCAGATCGGACCCTCTTGGACTTCCTGCCGCCTTTGGCTTTGCCGGTGCATTGGCGCTTGAGGTTGCGCGGGTAAGGGCCGCCTTCGCGGGCGGGAGGCATCTCCTCGTCGTGCTCCTTGAACTCCGCGGCGAGCTCGGCGAGCTCTGCTGTCAACACCGCCTTGGACGCCTCAGCGGCTGCACGCTGCTTGAACTCGCGCAGGGCCTTGCGGAGCGTCTCCTCGACCGACTTGAGCATGCCGAGGCTCGGATAGATCGGCTTCTTCTCGAGGAACCTGACAAACTCGGTCTTGAGGATGTTGGCCTGCGTCTTCTTGCGCGTCCTGGCAACGTAGCGCTCGAGCGTGTAGAGCTTCCTCGCGAGGTTGAGCAGACCCTCGATGTGGGCGTTCCACTGATGGATGCTTTCGACGCGACGCTTGATCTCGGCCTCGGTGAGGTAGAGCTTCTTCTGGCAGGCAAACCCAGTTTGGCAGGCGCGACTGTCAGGAACAAGCCGATCGCGTCCCGGCAGGCCGGCAGATGGAGTGCAGCGCGCTTGCAACTTACGTGGCAGATCGAGTTCTGGATGCAGACCTCGATCTGGGCGTCCGACTTCTTCTCACCGTAGGAGTAGTGTTCGGAGCCCATAAATGGAGCGGCCCAGGCCATCACTCCAGTCTTTGCGGCGGCGAGCTGCTCTGTCTGGTTTCGCCAGTCCCGCATCGCGTTGAACTTTGGCGACACGTCTTCCTCGTCCTGTTCCTGCTCCTTCTGTCCGGCTGCAGGCAGTCAAGCGGGTCAAGTGCGAAGGGCCCGGTCAGATCTCTGTGGCGGACTTGACCGTGCTTGTTGGTCATCGCGGACGCCATGCTGGACACGGCACTCACCGGGCTTGACTCGCTCAGGCTCGGCCTGCACCAATGCCATGTCCTTGTCCGTCTTTGTCGCCTGGCGCCGAGCACTAACCACGTAGACGTCTGAACGCGGCTTCTTGGCGAGGGTGCCGTCGACGGAGAAGGGTGCGCCAAAGACGATGGAGTCGTACAGGGCCACGGGTGGTGCCTTGCCCAGCCACGCGAGCAGCTTCCAGTGGCCAAAGTCGAAGCTGAGGGGTCGCATGGCCGTGAGGAGCGAGTCGAGGACATTGGTGCTCCCGTTGATGAGTGCATGCGAGAGCACGACGCTGGATCCGGGCGAAGGGCCGAGGATGCGGACGCACTCGATCGACTGGCGGTTGTCGATGTTGTACCGCGGAAAACCGGACTCGGTGCCCTCGCACGAGACCTGGATGCCACCCTCTCCGGCCCGCAGCGGAAAGGCGCGCGTCGAGAGCTGCGCTGTCAGGGCCTTCGGCTGAGCCGCGGCAGGACCGTTCTCATCAGTCGGCTCCAGGCCAAAGAGGGGCGCGCCCCTCACCCTCCCAAACGCATCGTCCTTGTACTTAGCCGTGCTTCCCGGTGCCGCGCGGCCGTTGAATCTCCAAAAGTTGGTGAAGACCGCGTCAAAGGACGAGGATGGGCGGTAGTGGTAGCGCCTGCTCGATCCCCAGGCGTTGCCGTGCTCGTAGGGCGGCGTGCCTTCAAAGGAGAGGATGCTGAAGATCGAGGCCTTGTCGCCGGACGTGTACGGGTCCGACGTGAGCTGGTCGCACTCGCCGAGACGGAACAGGTGACTACGAAGCGGAGGGTACTTCGACGGCGTGTGCAGCTGGGTGATGTGGAAGTCTGCGCGGTGATGGACGGGCGAAGGAGGTGTGTTGGGAGGGGAGGGTGGATACGAGCCCATGCGACGGTCAGCAGGCGCGTCTGAAAGGCGAAGCTACACTGGCACAATTCACCTTGCGCCAGCAGGGCCTCCTCGAGCATACCGGGGAAGCCCGGAAGCTTGGCGTTGAGGGAAGTCAAGATGTCGCCCCTCCAGGGCTGGCACAGGATCTGAGGCAGCTTCGCGCGCACCAGCTCCGCGAGGTCAGCCTGATCGCCGAGGCGGGCCTCTGCGACCTCGAAGAGGAAGGTGACATCGGAGATGCTGGTCGCGATCAGCATGTTGGAGATGGTCGTGGTGGTGATGTCGACGCAGGCGAGCTCGGCGATCACGTCGGAGGAGGGCTTCCCGTGGGTCTTGACGTAGCCGCACAGCGATAGCAGCAGGGGCGTCGCCATGACTTGTCCCAGGCCTGGGAAGTCGGTAGCGAGCTGTTGGAGGTTCTTGAACAGATCGGCCGAAAACGACTTCTTCCACGTCTTGCGCAGGGTGGCCTCGACGACGGCCCTCAAGTCGAAGTCGAGAAGCCCTTTGCGCTCGAGCGCCATCAGGGCTTCGTAGCCGCAGGGCAGCTCGGCCTGCTGCAGGAAGCCGTCGGTGCGCGGCTCCGAACCGCTCCAGTACTTCTCGTCGAGCAACGTGTTGATGACTTCCGACGCCACCTTGACACTGACGCGGTAGGCGTTCGAGTGCTGGTGGAGCTGCTCGAACTTCTCGACGATCTTGGTCGAGACCTGGCTGCTTGGCATGAGCCTGCCGCTCATCAGCATCTGGCGCACCGCCTCGTCGCACTCCTCGGCCGTGCTGACCGACCAGCCGTTGCGCAGCGCCAGCGGCAGCAGGTCCGGCTGCCTCGCCACAATCTTGGCCATGTGGACGGCGCTCGTGCTCTGGCCGCGGTAGCTCGACAGCGGTACGAACCAGCCCTTGTCAAACACCTCGCGGATCGGAGCCGACGGCGCCGACCACGCGGTCCAGATCGACTGGTTCGCAAAGGCGCCGACCTTTTCCTCGTCCGATCCAGCTCGCGTGAACGTGATCCCCTTGCCGAACTTCCCAAGCGGCATCGACAGCATCGAGGACGGTGGATTCGACGGCGGAACACGAGGCGGCGGGAAGAGAAAGCGCGGACAGGTCAGCGAGGTCCCGGAGGTGGTGCCACAGCTCCGCTTCGCGGCGCTGCGCAGGTGTCAAGGAACCCACCAGCTTGATTCCTCTCTTCATGACGGCGAGGCAGCTGTCGAGGGGGATCTTGGTGCCCCAGTTGGTCCGCACCTCGTTTCGATTGTAGTAGCTGTAGTTGGGGTTGTGGCTGCCTCCAAAGCGGGCCCGGCCGAGTTCCTGGACCAGGTTGCGGGACAGGGGTGCGCCGCCGTTCATGAGGTGCTCGAGAACCTTGACGTTGAACACCTTGTAGAAGGCGATGGCGCGGAAGATGGAATGCGGGAAGTGGTTACGGAGGAAGTAGGCGGCGACGAAGTAGGGGTCCTTGGAGATCGCTGCTCGGCGGCAGGCGTGAGGGGGTTAGAGGGACAGGCAGAGGGATAACGACGCTGTCAGCTTCGAAGCTCTGGAGAGGCAGTCCAAAAAGAGGGCCATTTCTCTGACCATGGAAGGCCTTGCAGACCTGGCCGAAGTACCTCAGATCATAGTCGTCCAGGCAGCACCAGATCTCGAGGAGGATCTCGGTCGGGAGCTGCTGGATCGACGAGGAGATGAGCGGCTTCTGGTCGACGGTGGCGTCGACCCCCGCCTCGACGGCCTTCATGTCGACATCGGCGTCCATCTTGCTGCGGGCGAGATGGATGCCCGCAGAGCGGCGCGGACGAGGGGTCGGGCCGGTGCTTGGTTTGAGAGGATCAAGAGGCAGGCTGGATGGCGGTGGCGAGGAATCGAGGGCAGGTGAATCTTCGAGCCGGCCCGGACTGTTGACGGCGGCAAGGCGGCGACGAGTGCCGGGAGCGAGGCAGAAGAGGGACGGTGGTGGCGGAAAGACAAGTGAGCCGAAACCAGCGCTCGGACCTTAAGTAGGCTGGGCATGGCTGGGGAGGCGGCAAGCGCATGCGCCCGTAGGCTCTTGGGCGGCGGCGGAGGACGCGCTGGAGAGGGGAGCGACAGGACCTCAGCTGGCCGGCTGTCCGCCTAGCCTGCCTGCCTGGGTTTCTGATGGCTTGCCACACCGCGACACGCACCAGAGGGAAGATCGAGTGCTCAGTCACGGCCTGGCCGCTTCCCCACCGGGCTGCCTAGGCAGCGCCAGGCCAGCCAGGCAAGCAGGCTGTCCGCTCGCCAGCCTCGCCCAGCTTTTCCTGCGCCCGCATGCATGCCCTTTTGGCTCCGGCCGGCCTCCCTCTTTTTCGGTTTCGCCTCACGGCGGACGGCACTGTGCGGCCATGCTCGCAGCCCGCTCGGACTGGCCAGCAGATCGAGGCCCGTGCGGATGGCCGACCTGGCTTGCTTGGCCTGGCCTGCGAGCTTGGTTGGTTGCTTGTTGGGCGGCTACAGAGGCGGGAGGCTCGAGCTCACCTTGACCGTCCCCACCATCCCGACCCAACGGCCCCTCTGGTCGAGCCGCGCCTCTGCCAGTCTGCTTGCATGCATGCATGCACTTCCGCCTCTGAGGGGGGGTGCCTCGTCTGCGCTCGTCCGCCTGTCGAGTGCATCGTGAAGCAGCCTGGCCTGCTGGGAGCCGGCTCTTCGAGCTCACGCCGACCAGCGAAAACGCGACGATGAGGCAGGATGGCTTGGTAGACACCTCAACCTCGGCCGCTCTCACTATTCTCGCCTCACAACAGCCAGTCTCAACCCTTCCCACCTTCCCAGAGGCTCAGTCCCGGACCGGTCCTGCACAAACCTCTCCGCGCGGCAGATCCTCTCGCAGACCCAGTTCGACGAGTAAGGACCCTCCTCTCCCTCTGAGATCGACACGCTGCAGTGGAGAATGAGGGAAAGCGGTTCCGCCCCGCATCGATGCATGAGGCAGAGGCGTGGTAGAGTACAGGAGGGCGCCTTGGGCTTGGCGCCGTGCAATTTTTTTTTTTTCGCTGCGGTGCGATGCTGTTCTGCGTTCGGTGGTTGCGAGCTGATTTGCTTTGCCCTCCTTCTTCTCGTCTTCACCCTTCCCTTCGAAGCCCGCGTGCGGAGCCGTGGTGCAGTGCTGCTGGTTGCCTTGTTTTCGTGTGGGCCGACGTGCTTGGAGGCGCTGTGGTTGTGCTCGTGTGTGGATCTCTTTGCTGTGGTGGGCGCTAGTCGCTTGGCGACAGGGCCCCTCTGGCCGGCCTTGTTGGCATCAGGCGTTGGCTCATCGTCATTTTGTCACTGCAAAGGCCATGCCATTCACTCTTCGACGTCCTCGTCGTCGATGTCGCCGTCGCTGGAGTCGTCTGCGCTGTCATCGTCGCCGGGCTCTAAGCAGGATCCAGAACCTCCGGATGCGGCGTCAGGGGCGAGGTCGGCGTCGCCCTCGACGGCGGCAGTCGCGGCAGCTCGCTTGGACCTGACTCGCTCCCTGCGGGCCCGCATCTTCCTCAGCCTCTCCCTTGCGAGCTCCCTGTCGATGTCGAACGTCTCGTCGGCGCTGTCCTCGTACCTGTCGTCCTCGGCCATCCTGACGCGCTTCGACTGCCTGCGGCCCGGCTTGGCATCGACGCAGCGGCGCTTGGCGGCGTGCGGCTTCGAGCCGTCGGGGTTGAGTGCAGGCATGGCCTCGTGGTGCTTCTCAAAGTCTTCCTCGAGCGCCGCCAGCTCGAGCGTCAGCGCCGCGCCGAAGTCGCCTGCGTCGGCGCGCTTGGCCAGGGCATGCTTTTCAAACTGGTCGACCGTCCGCTGCAGCTCCCGCTGGGTGCCTCGCAGCATGGGCAGGGGGGCGCCGGCGTACTTGCGCTCGAGCTCACGGAGGAAGGCCGTCTTCTCGACTGCACGCGCCTCGCCGCTTTCCGCGGCGAGGAAGACCTCGAGGCTGTGGAGCTTGAGCTCGAGGCGAAGGAGGCCCTCGAGGTGGTCGATCCACTCGGTGATCGACTTGAGGCGGCGTCGCGTCTCGTCCTCCGAGAGGTAGACGACGCTCTGGCGTTTGTCGCGTCGCGAGCAGGTCGAGCTTGGTTTGGTCAGCGTACACTCGTCCTTCTTTGGCCAGTTGTCCGTGCAAGCAGCACTTATGACTATAGCGGCTCGATGCTTACCCTGCCGAAGCCGATACGGACCGGCCTGTGGTCCTCGGAGGGCTTGGTGTACGCCGCAGTCCTGTCTTCGGCCGTCTTGGGCGGGTAATGGGCGTCCCAGCTGGCCGCAGCCTTGCCCTCGGCCTCGAGCAGCGCCAGCTTGGTCTCCTTGCCCTTCAAGTCCCGAGCTGCATTGAACCTCGGAGGCGTGCGGGCGGCGGCGGCGGCGGCGGCGCTGGACCCTGCACAAGACGCTGGAAAATGCGCAAGCAGGTAGATGGAAGCAATCATAAAATGACGTCAGCCACTGCTTCGGTCTCGGTGGCCGCGACGACGTCTCGTCTGCCGCTGCAGAGCAGGTCCGCGTGCCCTCGCTCACCGTCGCCTTCGGCCCCGGCGATCTTTCGCGCGAGGGCCTTCTCGCCCTTGGCGATCCTGCGCTTGGTGTTGAGCAGGTGCATGTCGTAGCGCGGGATGTCGCAGGGGTTGCCGTCGGTCGAAAAGGGGGCGCCGTAGGCGATGGCGTCGACCATCACCTGCGGCGGGGCCTGTCCGAGCCAGGCGAGCAGTTTCCAGTGGCCCAGGTCGAACGACAGCGGCTTCATGGCGGTGACCAGGGCGCTCATGAGTTCCGAGCCGGCTCCGTTGATGAGTGCGTGGGAGAGGACCAGCGAAGCCGCCGGCGAGCGACCGAGGATCTGAACGCACTCGACCGACTGCTTGTTGTGGAAGTGCCCAGGGAAGATGAAGTGCGATGCTTCGGGCTCGACCGTGGGCTGCTGCTCGCGCGCGCCGTGGCTAGGGGCTGTCGAGGGTCCCGCGGTTGAGGAGGACTGGCCGGAGGCATCGCTGTCAGCAGGCTGTGCAGGCTCCGCCGGGAAGGACGGCGTCAGGCCGAAGATGTTGGGGCCTGGGATCAGGTCGTCCTGTGCGGCGCCGTCGGCACCCGGCGCGGTGTGGCCGTTGAGCTTCCAGAAGTTGGTGAAAAAGGACTTGTACTTGCAGTTGAGCGCTCGCGTGCTGAACCAGTCGTGGCGGGAGTACGACCTGTAGGCTGTCTCGAACGAGAGGATGCTGCGCATGCCGGGCGCGTCCCCTGCAGCTCGGGGGGCAGGCGAAGCGGCGGGCTGGCCGAACTTGTAGAAGTGGCAGCGAAGCTTTGGATGATTGGTGGCCGCGGTCAGCTCCTGGATGTGGAAGTCTACCACCGGCAAGCAAAGGGCAGAGGGAGGCACGAGGAGCCATCCAAGCGATCGCAGTCAGCGCGACGCAATTCCTTGGTCGTGTTGGAGATGCAAGGGCTCGCGCGCGTTCGGTGCCCACCTTGAACCATCAGGGCCTCCTCGAGCATGCCAGCGAAGTCAGGCCGCCTGCGGTGCAGAGCCAGAAGGATCCCCTCCCTGAAGGGCTGGCAGAGCAGTTTGGGCAGCGTCGAGCGAACGAGGGCACCCTCGTCAAAGTCGGGGATGACCTCGGCGGCGATGTCGAGGACGAGATCGACATTCGTGATGCTCCTCGACAGCAGTGTGTTGGCGATCGACACGTCGGTGATGCGGACACACTCGAGCTCTGTGCCGAAGTTGATAGCGCCCCTGCCATGCTTCTGGATGTACTGGCACAGCGCAAGCAGCACCGGCGTCGCCATCAGCAACGAGTTGGACGGAAAGTCCCGGGCAGCCTTTTGCAGAGCCTTGAACGACGACAGCGGCCATTCCCGGGTCCAGTCCTTGCGGACTGCGGCGTCGACGACCGACGCGAGCTTGAAGTCCAGCGCGCCCTTTTCGTCGAGTTGGAGCAGGGCACGGTAGCCGTCCCGCACCTTGACCTGTTTCTCGAACCCGTCGATCGAGGCCGCGCGGAGCGGGCGCAGGTTGTCGGCGTCAAGAGAGTCCCGGACGACGTCGCTTGCAAGCTCGAAGGTGAGGTCGAAGCCCGGATACTGGCGGAGCTGCTCGGCCTTTTCGAGGATCTTGGCACAAGCGTCGATGCCTTCGGGCTGGTCCAGGCACATGAAGACGGTCGACAGGGCTTGGCGTCGCTGCTCGCCGGTAGGTTCCCATTGGCAGGGGCCCAGGGCGAGCGGAACGACGTCGGGGAACTTTGCCATGATCCTCGAGATGAAAGTCTCGCCGCGAGTCAGGCCCTCGTGCCGCGGAAGGGGCAGGTAGCGTCCCTGCTCCATCAGCTCGCGAAGGGAAGTGCTGTCTCTCGACCACGCGGACCACAGCGTCCCCTCGGTCAGCGTGGCGACCGTCTCCTCGTCCGACTGCAAGTGCTCGAAGCGAACGCCGTCGCCGTACTGCCGGATGCCGAGCGAGAAGAAGTCAAACCACGCCAGACAGGCAAGGGGAGCAGGGTCAGCAGACGAGCTGCGCCCGCCTCGACGGCCCTCGTCCCGTCCTACTCACCATCTCTTCGCCCTTCTTCATCACGGCGAGGCACGCGCTGAACTTGAGCTTGAGGCCCCAGGAGGTGGGGTAGTAGGGGAAGTCGTGGAACTCCTCGTCGTAGTACCTGTAGCGGCTCGAGGGGCACGCGCCGAAGCGGCCTCGGCCGAGCTCCTGGACCAGGCTGCGCGAAAGCGGCGCGCCCCTTTTGATGAGGTTATCGAAGACTTCGGCGGTGAAGGTGCGAGAGTAGCTGATGGCTCGGAAGATCGAGTGCGGGTAGTGCTGCTGGATGAAGTGCTCGGCGATGCAGTGCGGGTCCTCGGTGACGGCTGGAGGCATGCATGGGGGACCGTGGGTAAGGAAGGATCCCATATCGTTTGTCAGAAAGGAGCTGTCCTCGTGCACCGCCTTGGTGCCGGTGACTTGGACCGGCACGGACGTCACTCACCCCTGAAGGCCTTGCTGACACGCGAAAAGGCAAGGACCTGACTCGTCTCGAGCGAGTAGAAGATCTTCATGATGATCTCGATCGGCAGCTGCGGGATGTATGCGGGCGGGGCATCGCCGCTCTCTCCGCCACCGACCGGAGCGGGCGCCAGCGGGGGCAGCCGGAGGGCGATGGCGGCGTCGTCAACATCGCTGTCCTCGTCCATGAGCACGGGCTCCCTCTCGACGAGGACGATGCGAGCTACCAGCTCGCCGTCGAGGTACACGGCCATACTGTCCCCGCTCGTCTGCAGTGCGTACGAGACGAGCTCGAACCGCTGGCCAGCTACTTCGAGCCGACGTCGAAGAGCGGCGGGAAAGTGGACAGTGAGCACCAGGGTGGCGTCGGCAGCAGTTTGGAACTAGCGCCTGGCGCAGTGAGGGGGAGCGGACAGTGGCGGCGGTGGCCACAGGGCCAGGCGTTGCGGTGGCGATGGGGGTGGCTAGCGTAGTGTAGGCAGCGGCGGCAGCCTCAACTAACTGGTGCAAAAAGGGATGAAGATGGTGGACGAGAGGGAAGGCGATGTGGGCAAGCCAGAGAGGCGGGGGGGTCCGTCAGACAGGAAGAAGAGGCCAGCCAGGCGGGAGGCGCTCAGCCACCGTCGCGTCCCCACCGGCACCGCATCGTTTTATCGAGGAGCAGGCGGCCAGGCTCGCCCGCTGGCCCGGACCGCTCGCTGGATGCTCTGGCCTGCAGGCCCCACGCAGTTGGGCAAGCAGGCCAGCTTGGGCGGCTGGCGAGCGGCACGTACGTCCCCACCAGCCTGCGTTTCGAGCTGTGAAGGAGGACCGAGCGCCAGGAAGAAGCAGCACACCGCGGGCAGGCTGAGTAGGCAGGCAGGCAGGCAAGCTGGCTGCGCACGGTGGCGTAGACCGCGTCTGAGCCCGCCTGCCCACCTGCCCGCCTGCCCACCTGCCCGCCGGCCTGATTGCCTGTTGGCCTTGCGTCGAGAGAGGTTGATCCAGGCTGGCAAGCACAAGCAAGCAAGCAGGCAATCAAGGCGAGCAGCCGGCCTCTTTAGATGTGAGGGGAGAGAGAGAGGCGCTGTGAAAGGTGACAGGCGGGACGCTTCCGTCTGGCGGGCGCCGGGCCATCCGAACGAGGGCGCAGCGGGCGTTGGTGGAGGCTGCCGGGGCCAGACCGAACCTGCGCCGCGCCAGGCCAGGTCAGGCTGTCAGACAGCCAGGCAGCCAAGCCCAACATACACCTGCCCGCCAGCCCAACCGGCCAACCCCGAGAGCCGAGGCTTTCTTCTCGACTCTGCGCCCGACCGACCGACCGACCGACCCTCAGCCCTACCTGCACCGCACCATCTCTCGCGCCCACCGGAGCGTGCCGACACGATCATGGCCGCCGTAGCATCCTCTTCAACGACTCCGTCCGACCCGTCCAGCAGCTCCTGGCCAGCGCCGCCCATGACCTACGAGCCGCGGCCGCCAGCGCCCGTGCGAGCGCTGCTGCCCAAGCGCATCGACGTGGCCGACCTGACGCCCAACAACCTCGGCCAGCTGCGCAAGCTCAACAGCGTCCTCTTCCCCGTCAGCTACTCGGAGCGCTTCTACAAGGACGTCCTCGATCCCGACGTCGCCAGCATCTGCAAGCTCGGTGAGTGGCGGAGCAGTCCGCTGAACCACAACCTCTTGAACGAGCCCTCCCTGACTCTCATCCTCTTTCCCCGGGGACCCAACAGGCCTCTTCAACGACATCGCCGTGTCCAACGTCTGCTGCCGCTTCGAGGCCGACGGCAACGACGCCGTCAAGGTCTACATCGCAACCCTGGGCGTGCTCGCACCCTACCGCCGCCTCGGCCTCGCAACCGCCCTGATCCAGCATGTGCTCAAGGCCGCCGGCCCCGGCTCAACCGTCGAGCTGACCGACAAGGACGCGCCCCAACCAGCGCCCAAAAAGGACAAGAACGGCAAGGAGATCAAGCCCGAGGCCGTCAAGGTGCAAAAGAAGGTCTCGGCAGTCTACCTACACGTCCAGACCAGCAACGACGAGGCCAGGGCCTTCTACGAGAAGCTCGGCTTCAAGGTCACTCAGACCATCGACAGCTACTACCGCCGCATCCAGCCTGCCAGCGCATGGGTGCTCGAGCTCAGCGCGTAGGCCGCAATCCCTCGCGGCAGCGGCCATGACCTTTCAATCGCATCGCATCGGCACTAGTCGGAGCTCCGAGCAGCCGCTACAAAGGGCTGCTGCGCCCCATAGCGCATCAGCAGTCAGTCTCGCCCGCACAGCTGCGGTCCAGCTATCGGGGTCTCAGGTCGGCTTGACTGCTGCCTGCTCGCATTCGCACTCAAAGTCACAGCGACCACAGCGAGGGCCGGCTGCAAAGCCAGCACCACCGCAGGGGATGGGGAACCAGAGTCGATTGATCTGCTTCGCGGCCGGCTGCTAATGTTACAAGGCTTCGTGTGGCTGTCGATCCGGAAGTCGATGTGGAATCGCGACGATGCTATAAAACAGTGGAGAGGTTGCGACCGAGAAGCCCAAACAAGATGATTTCGAGTGCGACAGAGTGCCAAAAGGGAAGCGTCTGCCCGATACGAGGTAAGGGCCAGGATAGACGAGGCATCGCGCGGTGATGGGCCAGGAATGCGGATGATACGAAGCGGTTGCTTGCTGAGCGGCCGATGTGCGGCTCTTTTGGGGGTCTGGATGCGTCCAGGTGCTAGAGAGCTGTTGAGCGTGCCGTTGCTGGAATGCTGCTACTGGGTCTGCGCCGGCGATAGATGTACAAGTGTGAGGTCCGGTTCGCGACTTGGCGATGTCTGATGGCGTCTTGATGCTAGATGTAGTTGTGCGTCGAGCGCGCGCCTGTGATCCACGTACAGAGGCGGCTACCTGGGCCGCGGCTTGACGGCTGGGCGATGTCTGGATACGTTCCGATGCCGGTGTAGAGTCGAGCGCGTCTGCGCGTTCCGATGCCGGTGTAGAGTCGAGCGATTGGATGTATCCGGCGGCAACAGCTGCTGCTGATGCGCTTGCGCCTTGGTAAGGTATCGATGATGATGGGTATGGATGAGGGTTGCGTCGGCCTCAGGGGCGAGCCGAGGCAGAAGCAACGGCGGCCTTCTTGCGAAGTGCCTTCTCGCGCTCGCGCTTGCGCTCGAGCTCTTCCTCGCGCTTGTCTTCCTCTCGAGCCTGCCTCGCGCTGTGCGGTCGTGACCACCCCAGGGAAGGGAAGAGAGGGGATCGACGTGAGTCTCCCTCTCTTATCGCGTACAAGCCTGCGACCCCAGGAGCTAGGCGCAAACACCGCGCTGCGTGGCACTCACCTGCGAAGCTCCTCCTGCAGGACGGCCGAAGCGTCGGCCTCCATGTCGTCGTCGCTGTCGACCACACGGCTGGCGTACCTGTCGAGCGAGAGCGGTGAGGACAGGAACGGCTGGTCAGCGAAGCGAACGAAACGCCAGTCCGGGGCCCGGTGGCGGACGACACTTACTGCTTCCGGTCCTTGCCAAAGAGCTTCCAGATCTCGTCTCGAAGGTTGGGATCGCCGCCGCGACCACCCGTGCTGCGGTCCGAGCCGCTCTCCGAGTCTGCGACGAACGAGTCCGCCTCGCTCTCTTCGCTCTCGTTAGAGGAGGAGCGGCGATGGTGACGGAGGTCCCTGTCCGAAGCGCGGTGTCCCTTGGGGCGCGCGTCTGCGGCGATCTCGCCGCGTGCCTTGGCGGCCTTCTTCTCTTCCTGCTCGCGAATGAAGCGGTCACGCTCCGTCTCGCGGCGCATCGGCGCAGGGCTGGAAGCGGCAGAGTCCTTGTCGCGGGCGACCTTGGCCTTCTTGGTGGCCACGACCCCTGCGGCGGTGGCGGCGTCGTCGTCGGCAGGGCTCCTGCTGCGCTTGGACGGGGTCGAGCGCTGGTCGATCGCGGATGCCTTGTTCCGGGCCACCTCGGCCAGGCGCTGCCTGGCCTCCGCGCGGAGCGGAGCTCCAGGCAGGAAGTCGGCCGGGTTGATGCCGCCGCGCCTCGGGATAGGCGGTGAGTTGCGGATGGTGTCACGCGGGCGAACGGCGGCGGACGAAGAGATCGAAGAGCCCGCAGGCGCACGCGGCGTCTTGCTGGCGAGGGTAGCGGCGCCGGTGCCTGTGGCGGTTGTGGTGGTGTTGGTGGTGGTGGTGGAGGGCGCGGGAGCGCTCGAGGCCGCGGTCTTGGTCTTCTTGCTGGCCGGCTTGTCCTTTGCGTCGGACTCGTCGCCGGATCCGAAGAGGTCGTCGTCGTTGTCGTCGTTGTCGTCATCATCGCCACCGCTGTCCCTCTTCCTCTTGGCCATCTCGCGAGCCTCGAGCTCGGTGCGTCGGCGCTCCTCCATCGCTTTCTGGCGTCGGAGCATGGTCGCTTCCCTCTCGAGCTCGACTTGCGACTTGCCGGATTCCGACTTGCCCTCTCGAAGACGTCGGAGGTCCCTCTCGATCTCGTCGATGCTCCTCATGTCCCGCTTCTTGGTGCCGAGCGCGACCAAGCCCTCACTCGGAGCCGGCTTGGAGCGCGCGTTGGAGCCCGAACGAACTGCCAGTGGCGACGAGGACGACGAAGACGACGAGGTGCGAGCAGGTCCGACTGCCGCGCTCGACTTCAGCGGCGGCGAACGGCGCACCGGGAGGGTGCCGAACTCGCGGGCCAGCTTGATCTGCTTCTTCTCCTCGCGCGTAAGCGGCACCGAGCGACGCTTGGGCGTGGACTTGGTCGAGGAGGCGGTTGCCGACGACGAGGGCTTTGACGGGGAGGCCTTGCCCATGAGGCGGTCGGCACGGTTGCCGACGAAGTCGTCCTCGTCGTTCTTGGACTTGCGCCGGCGGGTCGAGGAAGTCGAGGCGCTGCTCGATCGGTTCGAGCTCTTGATGCCGATGCCGAGGAGCTTGCGCTTGACGGCGTCGCTGGCGGACTTGACAATGGAAGGACCGCCGCTGGCCTCCTCGCGCTCGGCCTTGGCCTTGGCCTGCTGCCTGGCGCGCTCTTTGGCCGCCTCCTCCTTCTCCATCTGGAGTCGCTTGATGAGGAGCCTGCGTTCGGCCTCGCGCTGCGCCTTCTCCTTGGCCTCTTGCTTGGCTCGGCGCTCGGCAGCCTCCTTTTGCTGAATCTTGAGCTCGGCGGCCAGCTTCTCGTCGCTCTCCCGCGTCTTCCTGAGGGCCATCTCCTTGAGCTCTTGGTACTTGAGCATCTTGAAAAGAGGTCGGCTTGGCGGTCGAGGGAGAGGGAGAGGGGCCGTGCGAGTGGGGATGAGGACTAGGCGCGTGGTGACGAGGACCAGGCGCGTGGTGACAAGGACTAGGCGCGATGGACCGGCCGTTGTGGTTCGTTGACGATGGCCGGACGGCCGGGGGTCGGTCTTCGAACGAGGTCCGTAGACAATGCCGGTGAAGGGTGCCTGTCGGAAGGTGATGCGAATGGTCGGGGGAGTAGGGGATAGGGGTTCCAGAGGGGAAGAGATGGAGGACGGGCGCGGCGAATCGGCGCGCTGAACAGGTAGACGGCCAGAGGCTGGTAGTCGTTGCGAGACGGCGCGAAGTGAAGAGGGGTGGCCGCTGAATGGTGGTCGTGGCGAGGAAAGAAGGGGCCGTCTCCACCTCAAGCCTTAAATCGTCTTTGTGGTCGCGGGACTCGGGCAGACGGGCGGGTCAACCAGCAGGGCGCGTAGCTCTCGCCCCCTGCCTGCCTGCCTGCCTGCCTGCCTGCCCGCTAGCCTGGCCAGGCAGGCAGGCAGGCCTGGCCTTGCACCTGTGTCGCGGCCACGTCGTGTGCCAAGGGTTCAGGCGGGCGGGCTGGACCGGGGTCAGGGTCAGGCTGGCGCCTGCCTGCCGCTCGAGACAGAAGAAAAAAAGGCGGGCAGAGCAGCCAGGCGACCAGCGCGCCAGCCAGCCAGCCAGCCAGGAGGGAGCGGCAGCAGCAGAGATCCACATCCAGGGTGCAGCCCAGCCCAGCCATGCCCAACCGCCAGCCCAGCCCGCACCCCCGACGGCCGGCCAGACCTCACGCGAACAACACCGACCAACACCAGCTCGACGCCCGCTTTTGGCCTGGCGCACCGTCCGCGACCAGCCTCCACCCACCGACCGCTCCTTCTCGTTCGACCAGTCCCGCCATCTCCTTCTTCTTCTTCCTCTTTGTTCTCGTCTCGAGTCGCTGCTTAGCCCTCGCACTCTGCACTCTGCTTCTGCAAAAGGCAGTCGCCTCGCCGCCTCGTCACTGGACACCAAGGTAGCATCTTCTCCCCTTTTCGAACCCGACACCGCCGACGTTCTCGGGCGGGACGCGATTGGCTCCGGCGACGCGCTACGCCATCCCCCGCGGCTGTTCCGAGGGGCCCCTAACCTTTGGTTCTGCATCAATGGACGCCAGCGCTGCATCATCATCGGCTCAGCCGGCGGAGCTTCCGCTGCCCAACGGCCAGCAGAGCGAGCGCCAGCCGCTGGCGCTCGGGCTGCACGTCCCCACCTCGGTCCTCTCGTTTTCCCCGTCGACCGCCCAGGCCCCGTCGCCGCCGCTAGGGACCAATGCTCACCGCCGCTCGCACGTCCAGCCCCCAGGCGGGGCGCTACCGACGCTCATCGAGGCTTCTCACGCCAACGCACTCCACGCCGCCACGGGACCTTCGCCTGCCGCGCTGGGCCTCGACGCTGATCTGGATGCTGCTTCAGCGGCGGCGCTCGCCGGCCTCGGCCCGGTGCAGAGGACGCTGTCGCTCTCGAGGTCGCAGGGCTACGACCTCCTAGTGCTGGAGCTGGCCAACGAGAGGTGGAAGGAGCGCTGGGAGCGTCTGTGCCTCGCCGACCCCAACCAGGCCTCGCCGAGGGCGCCCGTCTCGATCGCTATTGGCTCGCCCTCGAACGTGTCGGCGTGGGGCAACGGCGGCACCGCCATTCACGATCGCGGCATGGCGCGCAGCAGCAGCCGGCACGGGCTCGCATCGGGGATGGGCCCGGGCAAGCTGGCGCCTTCGCCTGGATTCCGGCCGGCTGAGGCGACGTTTATGGACACGGCGCGCGAGGCCGAAGAGTGGCGGCGTGCTCCCGCGTTCCGGAGGGGCGAGGTGACCGTCACCAAGCTCGAGGAGACCGAGGGCCTCGTGGCGCTGGCGAGCCCGTGGATCGAGCTCGACTCGCTCGACGAGGGCGTCCGCCTCGACTCGGAGATTGCGCTGCGGCAGGAGCTGGCGTACGCCGCCTACCTGGGCATCTCCAACGTCGTCCTGCCTCCGCCCTCGAGCGAACCGGCGCGGCGCCCCTTTCTGCCCGACTACGCCCGCGCCATCAACTCGTGCCTCTCTAGCGGCGGCACCGAGGCGGCGCCGGCGGGGCAGTGGATGAACCTGTCGATCAAGCTGCCCATCTCGTCGCCCTACGGCCTGGCCAAGGTGCTGGCCGCCCAGGCATCCAGGGGCCACGGCCTCGGCGCGTCCGGATCCGCAGCTTCCAATGTGTCTGCGGCCGCACCTTCGGCGGCCGCTGCCCTGCTGCGCGCCGACGACGACTGGGCGTGGGAGACGTGGGAGCACGTCCGGCAGCTCTGCTCGTACAGCACCCGCCTTCACGTCGCCCTCGACTTTGGCTACCCGCTCCCCTCGCCCAATGTGCTCGGTCGCTGGATCGCCGAGCCCGTCAGCATGCTCTGGCTGCCCAGCGTCGCCTACCTCGCCAACGCCAAGGGCTTCCCCGTGCTGTCCAAGGCGTCGCAGACGTTTATCAAGTCGCTCATCAAAAAGGCGCCCACCGTCATCCTCTCGGGCGTCCAGACGCCTCCGCCCACCCACACCCGCGGCGGACCGCTGGCGTACATGCAGTACGTCAAGCACATGGAGAAGACGGCGCCGCCAGAGAGCGCCGTCGACGCGTTCGCTCGCGGCTACACCGACTGGCTCCAGGCACCCCTGCAGCCGCTGATGGACAACCTCGAGGGCACCACGTACGAGGTCTTTGAGCGCGACCCGGTCAAGTACGCCCTGTACGAGGAGGCCGTCTACAAGGCGCTCCTCGACAAGCCCGCGGGATCCACGACGTCGATCTGGGTCTGCGGCGCCGGGCGCGGACCGCTCGTCGACCGCTGCCTCAACGCTTCTCGCCGCGCAGGGCGGGCCGTCCGCATGACGGCCCTCGAAAAGAACCCAAACGCCCTCGTGACGCTCCAGGAGAGGCAGGCCCTCGACTGGGGCGACCTCGTCGACGTCCGCTACGGCGACATGCGCACCCATCCCGTGCCCCACAGCCTCCACGAGCGGCCCGACATTGTCGTCAGCGAGCTCCTCGGCAGCTTCGGAGACAATGAGCTCAGCCCGGAATGCCTCGACGGCGCCATGCGCTTCCTCAAACGTGAGTGCCGAGTGCGGATCGTGCCAAGGGGGCGCTGCAACAGATCAGACGGAGCTGACCTCACCATGGCGCCTGACGCCACCATTCCGTTTCGCCCACCCTCGACCGACAGCCGACGGCATCTCGATCCCCTCTTCGTACACGGCCTACCTCTCGCCGCTGACGTCGTCGAAGCTGCACACCGAGGTCATGTCCGGCTCCGCCTCGTCGTCTGGCCAGGCGCTCCGAAAGGCCGCCGAGACGCCCTACGTCGTCCTGTTCCAGAACGTCGCCCTGCTCGCCGCGGCAGGCGGGCGGCACGCGTGGGACCAGGTGCAGGAGAGCTGGTCGTTTGAGCACCGCCCCGCCGCCGTCACCGCCCTCGTGTACGACGCCAACGGCCTGCCCCTCACCAATGGACACAATGTCCGCTCCGCCACCCACACCTTCCACATCCCGCAGCCGGGCACCTGCCACGGCCTCGCCGGCTACTTTGAGGCTCACCTCTACGGCGACGTCGCCATGAGCATCCACCCGGACCCCATGCGCGGATCCAAGGACATGCTCAGCTGGTTCCCCATCTACTTTCCGTTCAAGGTGCGTGACGCAGCGCGCCTGCCACCCCAACGCCGGGCGACCCGCGCTGACATTATCCAACCCTGATCCCGCCCTGCCCTTTTGTCTGGCCCCCCTGTCTGCCTTGCCCGCCTCCTAGGACCCGCTCTACCTGCCGCCCAACTCGGAGCTCGACGTGCACATGTGGCGCCAGTCGGGCAACGGCCGCGTCTGGTACGAGTGGTGCGCCGAGTCCTTCATGCCCCTGCCCGGCGACGCGGTGCGCGCGATCCAGGCCACCGCCAACGCCACGGGGCACAGCACCACGGCCATCTCGGCGGCCCAGTCCGGTGGCGCCGCCGCGACCTTGGGCGCCGCAGCCGCAGAGGGGCCAAACAACTTTGCAAACGCCCCCGCCACCCCGCGGATCCCGTCCGGCCCGGCACCGCCGCCCGCCGACGCCACCGCCACCGGCCCCGTCCTGCTCTCGAGTCCGCTCAGCAGCCTGTCGAGCGGAGGTGGCGGCGGCGTCGTCCGCGTAAAGACGGGCATGACGGCCTTGCACAACCCGGGCGGCCGCAGCTCCTGGATCGGCCTGTAGTCGACGGTCTTGTCACATGAATAGACACCCGTGCCGAGAAGTGACCCCGTCTTGACCCGCAGTTGCAACATCGCCACGGCCGACACGGTGAGCGGTCGAGATCGTGGAACAACTGTGCCGCTGCGCAGCTGAACGAGACTCTCGTCGACTCTGGCACCATTTCGGAGGACGTGTCCGTCTCTCAGCGAAACGTCGCACCCAAGCGAAGCGATGCTGTACCCGCGAGGACGGGTAGCAAGTTCGGTGCCGTATCGTTTTGGCGCGTAACCGTGCTCCTCTTGGTCGCGCACCGACGGGCGTGCCCGACGCTTGGCAAGACGATGCCCTCTGTACCGCCTCTGCGTTCGTGGTCGCTGCATCGCAGCAGCCTACTTCCCGACCGAAGAAGACCTGTGCCTGTTCTCTCTCGCACCCAGAGGGTGGCGCATGTCATGGCAGCCGTTGTCGTGTGCCGCGGTGACGGACCGAAACGGTCCTCGATCTGGCGCTCTCGCGGGAAGGCTAGTCGGGGCAAAGAGATGGATGAGGTGCCGAGGAAGCTGGCACGTGCGATAGTCTGATGCCCGACACCGAAGATGTGCCACGTCGCTCGTCTGCGAGGACCGCCGGTCCTCCGGTCGGGCGGCACTCGTCTCAGCCGCGTCGGTGCGACGGCCACTCTGCCTCCCGCACGCATACGAGCATCGGGCCTCCGTGCAGACCGTTCAGGGCAGTACCGTAGCCACAATCTTCCTCTTGTGCGCCATCCGCCTGAACTCGCACAGGTACTGCGTGGAAAAGGGCGGTAGGAGAGCGGGGAGCAAGGAGATTTTGCGTCAGCAGGTTGAGGGCGCACCTCATTGTACGTGCAGGGGTGCACCGACTCACGATGCCCTGCCAGGTGCCCGTGTTGAGACGGCCGTCTGTTATAGGGATGCTAATCGACGGCCCGATTAGGCTCGTCTTGGTGTGCGAGGCCGAGTCGTCCGGTCCCTCGTCGGTGTGCCTCCAAGGCAGCGATTCGGGGACGATGTGGTCGAGGGCCTGACAGTCGTCATAGCAGCGACGTCGAGGGGTCCGATGTCGCCCGCGAGGCGCAGGAAGCCGGTCCGTGATTGGGTCAAATGCTCAGCGACAGCACTCTGATGTTTCTTCGGGGCATCCTGGGTCGCCATGTAAACGTACCATATCAAGATCCTTTCTGACGTCGGAGTCGAAATTCTCCTGAGTCGTAAGGGCGGCGCTGGTGTGCTGGATGAAGAGGGTGAGCATGCCGATCTTGACGCCCTTGATGCCCTCTTCGATCTGGGGCAAAACCTCGTTGGTGACGAGGTGACAGCCCTTGGTGCGGGATGAAAGCGTGATGGTCTTTTGCCAGGGCATCCTTGTCGTCTGCTTCAACGAAGGGGAGGAGGAGGAGGAGGAAAAGGGGTGGAGGAGGAGGTCGAGGGGCAAGAACCAGTATACGAGAGCGCAGGCGAGGATGAGGAGGGTGGTGTAGGTCGGGTCGGTGTAGTGTCCCGCTCGGTGGGCGCGGCGGAGACGGCGGCGCGCCTCTTTTCCGTCGATGCGGGCGTGCGGCGAGGCGGCGTAGAGGGTCGGGTCGGACGAGGAAGGTGACGTCATGGGGCGGGGCCGATCACGCACGGGGGCTAAAGTGGGGCGGGCGAGAGGGGTGCGTCGACGAGGATGGACTGGCACGCACGAGGAGCGGGACTGCGGTGCGCCTGTGGTCAGATAGAGTGGCACAGAGGGCTTGCGCTGTCGTTGGATCCGGTCGTGGCGACGGTGATGGCGGCGGCGGCGGTGGTGGTGGCAAGCAGCAACGATGGGGCGGCGGCGCTGCGCCAAGGCACAGAGAGAGAAGCTGGAGCAGAGAGGCGGTGCAGCGCCGAAGACACCAAAAAGGGCCGCCCCCCGGTGTGGAGGGAGGCCTGGTTGCGGGTGGACCGTGCCACTTTGAATTCGGCGAAAAAGGGCGAGGAAAAGGGGGACCGCGGCGACGTCGGACGCCTGCTTGCTTGCTGGCTTGCTTGGCCTCCAGCCCCGGACGCCGTCAAACGGACAAGCAGACAAGCTGGCCAGCAGTGCACAGATTGAGGCCGAAAGCGAGCCAACGACCGCCCACGCCCGAACACGCTGCCAACCAGCGAGCGATGCAAGGCGACGACCAGGCTGTGCCACCTCGTCCTTCCTTGTCGCCCTCCTCCTACCCTGCCCTCGTGGCCCCTCTCCATCCATCCCTAGTCACCTCCCGCCCCGCCTAGCAAAGACGCCTGCGCTTGACGTCCACCTCGCGATCAAAACCGCCTTCCTCGCCACCGCCACCGCCGAACATGGCGCAGCAGCGGCAGTGGGGCCACAGAAACTCGCACACCTCCCAGCGCTCCAGCGCCTCGGCCTGCGCATAGACGCCCGAGAGCCACTTGGCGTCGTCGAGCAGGTGGCGGTCCCGGCCCTCGAGGCGATCGCGCAGCTGCGCCCAGATGCGCACCTCGAACCCCCAGCACTCGTACCGCGCGAACCGCTCCATGAGAAACACGGTGTCGCGCGCGTCGAGCCGGCTGATGCGGCTGCCGGGCCGGGCCAGGGCGGACACAGAGATGACAGATGTGAGGATGGAAGACACAGGCAGCATCGGGCGAGGAAGAGCAAAAGAGGTGACGTTGGGATGGCCATCAGGATGCGCTCTTCGTACCCGGCGGCCCGTCGGGCGACACGCGACCCCACCTCATCACAGACACGCGACCCCTCCTCTGCCTGAACGCTACTCGCGCCACTCACTCGTAGACCTCTTCCTGGCTCGACACGTCGTTGGAACGGGCGAGGAGCACGGTCTCGATTTCATCCGAAGAGTCGGTCACGGTGGCGATGCGGACGCCGGGCTCGGGGCCGGGCGCGGCCGTGGCGAGGAGCTCGGTGCGGACGGCGTGGCTAAAGAGGGCGCTGTCGACGAGGTGCAGACCGCCGTCGCGGCTGACGAGGCAGAGGTCGACCTGCTCGTCTGGCGGCGACGAGGCGTGCTGGCGCGTGTAGCGCCGCAGTTGGGACAGCAGCGGCGCCAGTTGGGTCGTGTCGATGGGCTGCATGGTGGGTTCCTCTCGCTTTGCTTTGCTTTGCTGGCTTGCTGGTTTGCTGGTTTGCCAGGATGCGGTGGCGGGGTTTGCGAGTTGCGGCGGTGCTGATGGTGGAGCAGAGGGATGTTAGGGGCTGCGACGGGACGTTGTTGGCCATCTCACTTGTTGTTGCTGGAGCGAGCGGGAGAGCGGGAGAGCGGGAGAGCGGGAGAGCGGGCGAGCGGGAAAGGTGGAAGCGCGGCAGCAGAGGGAGGGTCGCGTGGGGTGTCGGCCAGCCTGGGGCGACAAGAGGCCCGGGCGCGCTCGTCGGTCCTGCGCTGCGCTGCCCCGCCCTGCCCTGCCCTGGACTGGTCGAGCCTGCCCCAGCCCTGGACTGCCCCAGCCAGGCCCTACGCCCGCCCTAGCCAGCCTCGCTCTGCCCGCTGCCCCGCCCCAGTCCAGCTGCTGCGCGCCCGCCCCTCTTAGCCGTCCAGAGTGGGTCAGGTAGAGGTAGATAGATCGAGGGCCGACTCGCGAGCGACTCAGTCGGACCACCAGGCTAGACAGGATGTCCTGACCAGCGCAACACACTACTCGCACAAGTCTGCCCGATGCTGCTGCTGGACCGCTGGCACAGGCAGACACAAAATGCCCTGCCTCTAGCTTGCCATCGTGCCTGGCTGCCTGCTTGCGCCGCCGTCGCCTTTCCGGCCTCAAAACGGATGCGCATGCGGGCGCCTGCCCCTCGTCCCCAGGCCTCGCCTGACCGCCTGGCTCAGAGTCAGATGAAATCACATGCCTGCTTTGGCCTCTCTCCCGGGCAAGGGTAAAAGGATCAACGACAGAGCGACATGGCCGCCATCGCCACCGCCACCGCCACCGCCACTGCTCGAGCTAGGAGCGGGACCCGCAGTAAATGACAGATAGGGGTGCATCGTGGCGATGCGTGGGCAAAACAAAGACGGGCGCGCCGTCGCCGCCGCCCTACTCCCACACGCGCAGGCAGCCCGCGCGATCGCCCGCCACGATGCACCGGAACGGGTGCTCGATGACGGCCAGCGCCGTAATGGCATCCTTGTGCACCCGGCTCAGCGCGTTGGCCGCCTGCGTCTGCGGGTGCGCCAGCAGCGGGCTGCGCATCTGCGCCCGCGCCGAGCCGCCCACGTACAGGTGGTGAATGTGCCTCGTCGGACCCGCCGCCGCCGCCGTCGTCATCGTCGTCGTCGTCGCCACGCCCGCAGACACGACCTCGTCCCTTTGAGCGTCCGCCGCCGTCGCCGTTTCATCCTCGGCCTCGGCCTCGGTCCTGGCTGCGCCTCGCCCTTGTGCCCTGCCTCCGCCTGCAAACGACCGAAACTCGCTCTTCTCGTCGACAGTGCCGATGCACACGCCCTTCTCGACCTTGCCCAGATCCCAGAATCGGATCTTGCGATCTTCGCCAGCGGTCAGCATGTAGCCCGCCACACCGCCACCGCCGCTGCCCTGTGACGGCGCGTTGGCGTGCGCATCGTCCGCTTCCGCCGCCAGCTTGCCCGCATCCAGCCATCCCCCGGCCAGCTGCGCGTTGCCCGCCGTCGAGGTCGCCGATGCCATCGACGACGAGACGTAGCCGTCCAGGCTCACGTACAGGCCCCGCACCGGGCAGCTCGATGCAGCGGGCGGACGAAGAATCTCGCGCATCCGCGCGCCCGTCCGCATCTCGGGCCGCGATGCCAGCAAGTCGTCGCGGAGATCGTCGTCGTCGTCGTCGTCGTCGTCGCTCGTCGAGCCGGAGCCGCTGTTGACCCGTTCGCCATCAGCTCCTGGACTTGGAGATGGGGCCACGGAGCTGGCAAGCATGGCCCTCTGCTGCTGTATGAGCTGCTCGATGGCCGCCGCTGCGCCAAGAGTGTTGCCCACGGCTGCCGCCGCCGAAAGCGCCGATGGTGGGGCGGCGCCTTCTGTCGATAGAGCAGCGGCCGAGGCGGGTGCCAGCATCGTCGGCCGGGCTTCGCTCGCGACGCCCGTCGAAGGAAACGGCCCCGCCTCGAACGTCTCGACGCGAAGGCCTCGGTCAATGTCCCAGGTTTCGATCAACACCTCGGTCGAGTCGGCGCGCGGATGCCGCTGCCGCTGGGCCTCAGTACGACCGTCCGCTGGGCTCGACGCGTCGTCATGCTGGCTGCTCCCACGCGACCGCGCCGCTGGCGACTCCGGCAAGCGCTCCGATGCGACCAACACATAGCGTCCTGCCCCCTTGCTGGGATGCAGTGCGATCCCGTTGACGCGAAAGAGCCCGGCGCCGCCCGACTTGGCCTCCGCGCCGTCGGCGGTGGCGCCCACGTCCCAGCTCTTGAGCAAGAGCCCGAACCGAAGATCCCACAGCGACACCTTGCCGCCCAGCGTGCCCACCAGCAGCCAGGCCTTTTTCTGGTCGATGCAGAGGCACGAGATGGGCCCGTGCTCGACCGGATTGCGCAGCGTCTTGAGCACCTGCATCGTCCGCAGGTCGAGCACCGTCAGGCGGCTGTGCGTGGTTCCGAGGATGAGGATCGACGCAGCGTCCGACACGCTCTCGACCAGGCACGTGGCGTACTCGCGAGGCGTGCTCAGCTGGAAGTTGCTGATCAGCTTTGGCTTGGCGTACCGCGGGATCGACGAGCTCTGGCTCACGTCGATGCGCCACACGTGCAGGCTGCCGTCGGTCGCCGTGCTGGCGACGCAGTGGCTGCCCTCGATGGCGATGACCGCCGTGATGCTGCCCTTCTGCGCGCTATAGGTGGCACGCGACCGCGACGTCACGTTCTTCTCCAGCCGCGCCGTGTCCCACACCTTGAGGGTGCCGTCCTCGGATCCCGAGACAAAAAAGAGGTGGTCCGGCGACACGGCGAGCGACGTAACGGGCGCCGTGTGCTCGGTAAAGTAGGCGATCAGGTTGCCTTCGGGCCGTCGGTTGCTGCTCGACGAGCTCGTCCGCGAGCCCGAAGGCAGCGCGGCGCGGGCGCTCCGGCGCCTCGGCGGTCCCTTGGCGACCTTGGGGCCGAACTCGGGCCGATCGCGGAAGTTCTTGAGGTACACGACCTCGAGATGTGCCCGGATGTACGGATCGTTGCCGTCGTAGGTGCTGGAAAACGTCGACCCCTCGGCGACGTGAGCCTCGCCGCCTGCTCCCGCTGCTCCTCCGCCGCGGATCGTCGGAGTGGCCGAGTCGGCCGGAGTGGCCCGGCTGGAACCGGCGTGCTGCGATCCGACCTCGAGGTTCCGCAGGCGCGACGCCAGGTCGCTCATGGTGCCCGTGGCCGTAAAAGGGCTCGGCGCCACGGCTGGCGACGCCTTGCCTGGCCCGAGCCGGGTGTGCGTCTGCGATGGCGATGGACTGGCTGGACCTGGGCGGATCGGCGACATGCTGCTGCCCGGAACCGCCTTTGTCGCGAAGGTGGTCGTGCTGATGGGCTCGACGGGTCCCGGCGTGGCAGGCATCGCGATGGCCGATGCGGATCGAGAAGCCTGGTCGTGGATCAGCCGGCGTCGGATCTCGTGCATCGGACTGAGCAGCGACCCGTCCGAAGGGGTACGCTGGCCGATGAGCCTGCGCTTGGCCACCTTCGCGGTGAAAGACCCATCGTCCTGCGAACGGAACGTGCCAGTCATCAACGACGCGTTGTCGCGCAGCGGGGCCTGCAGGGCGGCACTGGCCGATGAGCCGGGGTTGGGACTGAAAAAGATCGTCTGCGGCGTGACACCCTCGAGCGGCTGGACCTCGACTGCCGGTCGGATCCGGCCCAGGCCTTCGCCGGATTCCGCCGGCGAGAGTACCTCGGCCCAGTCGGCGACCGCCTTGCTGCCTGCCTTGGAGAGCGACGGCGAAGACTGCCTCGACACCCTGCGGATGTAGTCGCGCAGCGCCACCAGCTTGATCTCGTCGTCGTCGCTCATCCCCGCGGCGCGGAGCTTGTCCAGCTGAGCCTCGTCCTCGTCGGTGCGATGGATGGGCGCATGGACGACGTCCTTGCCCTCGCGGCCGAGCAGCAGCCCCACACCCTCGGTCGCCAGGCCGTTCTGCAGTCCGGCCGCGTCACGGCTCTCGGGGCTCGACTTCCAAAACAGGGTCTTGTTGGCCTTCGAGGCCCATGAGATGGCGGCCTGCAGGATGGACCGAGGCAGCGGCTCCTTGATGCTGTCAAGCAGGACGGGCTCTGTGAACTCGTGGATGTCGGAGCGCAGCAGGGGTCGGACGGACGGGTAGACGACGGCCCACAGCTCGGTCGGATCGAGCTTGGCAGCCGCTGCGGCGATGAGGCCGGCGCATGCCTCGCGCAGCCAGATATTCGGGTGGCACAGGAAGCCGACGGTCATGGCGAGGACGCGCAGGATCTTGTCCTTGGCGAAGAGGTCGTGCTCGACGAGGCCGCGGAAGCTGTTGAGCACCTTGGCGACGACGTGCTCCTCGGAGTCGGATAGCGCCTGGGTCGTCAGGGGGAGGATGTACTCCTCCAGGCTGCGGTTGCCGGCCGCCTGGGCGACGCCGACGATGGCCTCGAAAAAGGCTTCGCGCAGAAGCCAGTTGCGGTCGTTGAGGTAGGTGATCATGTGGCTGAGAAGCACGTCGTTGGTCTTGGCCGCGCCAAAGAAGCGGCACAACGGCTCGATGTCGGCCAGCAGCGCACGCTTGACCGAGGCCGAGGGGTCGGTCAGCAGCGTCGTCACCTGCTCCTGGACCAGGTTCTGCAGCACCACGAGCTGGGCGTCGTAGCTGGCCTCGTCCGGCTGGCTGTCGAGGAAGTCGCCAGAGAGGTCGCGCTCGATGGCAAAGACGCCCTCGGCGCGCATGGCCTGGGCCATTTGCAGGAAGCGCTCGCCTGTGTCCGCCAAGGGCAGGACGCAGGACGCAAAGACGCAGCGCACCGCAGTCGACGGGTCCAGGCTTAGGTGCCGGACGTTGGGCACAATGTACTCCGGCACAATGGAGGCGTTCGAGGGCGTGATGACCCGCACCATCAGCAGCAGCTGCGTGCACGAGCGTATGGCCGCCATCCTTACCGTGACAGCCTCGTCATCGAGCAGCGAAATGACGAACGGAATGACGCGGTCGAGCTTGGTCTCGTCGGTGAGCCAGCGCGACGAGAGGTGGAGCAGCAGGTCGAGGGCGTGGCACTTGGACGAAGGGCGGCGGCAGTTTCGCACGTTGGCAAGGATCACCGAGAGCACGATCAGCGCGGTGCCATCCGCCTGCAGCGGCCGCTTCCTCGGCGCGAGAATCTGGCTCTCGAGGCCGGGAATCTGGAGCTGGACGGGCACGAAGCGATCGGCGGCCTCTTTGCTGAGCCGGTCGTGTTGCCGTTGCCTCGCTGCCGCGGCATCGTCGTCGGCCCCCTCGTCTTCGGTATCGCGGTGCAGGTCCAGGCTCGTCGTCGACGATCGACGCGGAAGCCCTGTCGCCTCGCGTGGCGTACCCTTGGCCATCTCGTCCCCTCGACCGCCACCGTCGTCGTCAAAGAATCGCATGATGGTGCTCCACTCCTCGTACAGCCGCTCGATGCGCTCGTCGGCCTCGATGTATAGCCGATCAGACGCGCGAGCCTCGACGTGCGGGCCGGCACCGGTGACCGAGGTGCCCGAGATCGACGGCGTTGCGGCAGCAGCGCCCGCGGTCTGCGAGACGATGCGGTTGCCCATGCCCGACGGCCCGCTATCCTGCCGAGAGGCCGGCGTCGAGATCCGCTGGAGTTCGACCAGGTAGTGATGGTAGAAGTCGTAGAAGCTGGCGGGAAAGGCCCGGTCGTAGCCGTCCAAGAGGTACTGGTCAAACGACTTGCGGTCCTCGGGCCGGAGCGCAATCATGCTGCGGACCAGGTCCCGGACGTGGACGTCGGGGATCTCTGCGAGGATCGTCTCGACGTCGGTGTTGCCCTGGCGGTACTTGAACAGCTGGCTCAGGGTGAAGGTTGGCGTGCCGTCCCTCCAGAGCTCGGCAATGACGCAGCCCATGCTGAAGACGTCCATGGCCTCGGTCACCTTGGCTTTGCGCTTCGACAGGCCGAGCGAGTCCATGTAGGACGATTCGTCGAGGCGGCCGCCCTGTGCGTCCGTCGGCGCGTGCATCTCGTCCAGGCCCGCCGTGCCGCGCGCGTGCGAGTGCAGGTCGGTCCCCGCAGCAGCAAAGAAGCGCTCGGGCGCGACGTAGCAGGTGCGGCGGCCGGACGTGTCGTAGAAGAAGGAAAAGTCGGCGGGGTCGTCGAGGGGGAGGTAGGTGGGCTTGAAGGAGGCGGCAAAGTCGGTGACGTATACCATGAGGGACGAGGTGACGAGGATGTTTTCGCACTTGAGGTCGCCGTGCGGGATCTTTCGGCCGCGGGCGTCGCGCATGGCAAAGAGGAGCTGGTAGGTGATCCACTTTTTCTCGACGGGGCTGAGAAAGGGGCGGGTGCTGATGCGGTCGTAGAGGTTGCTGGCGAGCCACTGGCGGATGAGGTAGCCGGCGTGCTCGGTCTCGATGACCTTTTGGTAGGTGAGGACGTTGGGCACGTCGGCGAGCGACTCTCGCTCGATGCGGAGGCGCTTGACGAGGTTGGCCAGGCTCATGGTGGGGTCGGGCTTGATGTAGGTCTTTACGACCAGGGATCCGCCGCGGTGGCGCGCCTTGATGGCCTTGAGGAAGCGCGACGAGCCCATGCTCTTTTCGTACTGGACATCGTTGCCGACCTCGGCGACGAGGTTCGAGATGCCGGCCATGCGGGCGCCGCTGGTGGACGCCGTCTGGCCCATGGTGGCGGTGGCGGCTAGACTGACCTCAGCTTCCGGTCGGAAAGAATGCAGCGGCCGTGCTTGCAAAGGTGATCCGCTCGGGGGGTCGTTGAAGTGGCCAAGGGGAGAGACGGATCAGACGAGCGGTGCGGCGGTGATTGCTAATGTGGGGCTCATGGCGGAAGAAGACGGGCGCAGTGTTTACGCAGATGGGCGCCTATGGTTCTTGGAGACGCCCTCTGATCGAATAGCAAGCAAGGATGGTGGAAGGATGGGTGCGGGAGTGAACACGGTGGTGGCGGCGGGATAGGAGGAGCAGCGCGCGAGCCATCATTGCCCAAGTTGGCCGGGCCAAACGAGCACGGGCCGGCCAGGACCCCACGGCTGGACAACGCGCACCCTTGCTGGCGGGCCTGCAGGCCTAGCCTCTCTGTTGGACTTTTTCTGGGCCGAGGGCGAGCGAGCCGCCGTCAGGCTGAAAGGCAGCCAGGTAGGCAGGCCAGGCGCGCGCGCGTGTGGAGTTTGAGGCAGGCAGGGGGAGCCAGGCCTGGCCTGGCCTAGCCACGCCCGCCCGTAAACCAACACACGCGGCCATCATCAGCGGCAAAGGCAAGCCAGGCAGGCGGGCAGGCAGCGGCCAACAAACACTTTTTGCCCGCCGCCACCACCACCGACGCAACCACCATCACCATCCACTACCCTCACTACCTCTCTCTCTCCCTCCCTTTGGCGTCACGCTCACGCAACCAACCAAGACCGCTGCATCCACTCCCGACACACGCGCACCATGTCGCTCGCACCATCGACGAGCACCGGCACGCTCGCCGCAGCGCCCACCCGCTCCCACCTCTCGCTCAAGGGATCGACGTCGCTGGTCCACGAGTTCTTCACCTACTGCGTCCAGTCCATCCTCTACCAGCGCAACATCTACCCGTCCGAAGACTTCAAGACGGTGAAAAAGTACGGCCTCCAGATGCTCGTCACCACCGACGACAGCGTCGCAGACTACCTCGAACGCGCAATGAACCAGCTCCAGGACTGGCTCGAGCGCGGAAAAGTCACCCGCCTCGTCGTCGCCATCGTCGAGCGCGAGACGGGCGAAACGAGGGAGAGGTGGCAGTTTGACGTAGAGGTACTTCAAAAGAACCAGGCGCCCGCGGCGGCGGCAGCAGAGGGCAAGGAGAACGAGTGAGTCGCGGCGGACCCCGGCACGTTTGACCCCCGGGCCGAGAATGTCGATCTCACCCTCCGCTAACGATCCCATCGCTTCGATCCCCTTCGCCTCATCGCCAGGCTACCAACACCAGCAGAAGGTGACAAGGCAGCGCCTCCAGCGGCAAAGCAAAAGACCGACGCGCAGATCCGAGCCGAAATCGCCGCCATCATCAAGCAGATCACCGCCAGCTGCACCTTCCTTCCCGTCCTCGAAGAGCTCTGTGAGCAGGCCGGCGCGGCCCATCCCTCTGCTTGCCTCGTCCGAGTGGCTGCTGACACGAGGACCCCCCTCGGATCCGCCCGCTTCTGCACCCCGCAGGCCACTTCCAGATCCTCGCCTACACAGATCGCGACACCGAGGCGCCAGTCGAGTGGACCGAGTCAGACGCCAGGCTCATCGCAGAGGGCCAGGCGGAACAGGTCAAGCTGCGCAGCTTCAGCACCCATGTACACCGCATCGACGCCATGGTCGCATACAGGCGGGGCGAGGAGGACGAGTAGTCGCACCCGGCCACGCAGAAAGGGCACATGGCCGAATCCGATTGTCATCCGACCCAGGCGCACGCTCCAATGTCGACAGCCAGCGCTTCGCCGAGCGCCGGCGAGAGGCATAGCTGACGTTTTGGTATTGACACGAGCCCATCAGTCAGTCGAGCTCATCCGGCTGGAGGAACGACAGTGGCCGCGACGAAGATGACGACGACGACGTCGCTTCCTGCTCGCCCTCTGCAGGGGCGCGCTGCCTCGCCTCGGCAGCCGCCCGCATCCTCTCTCTTCGCTGCTCTGGCGTCTCTTCGTCTTGGTCCGTCGCTCGGCCGCTGTGCTGCTCCGGCTGCGGGTCCATACGGCGCAGGAACGGATTCGTCGAGGGGAACCCGCCAGGGATCGCCGGCTCGTCGTCCCGACCGTTCGACACGGATCCTTGGCCCGCTGCCGTGTCCGTCGTTGCCGTTGAGGCGGCAGCGCTGGTCGACTGCTGGCCACCGCGCTGCTGTTGCTGGTGCTGCGCACCATCCTGCTTGACAATCGAGATGCGGCAGACGGGGCAGGTGCCGTGCATCTTGAGCCAGGGCACGAGGCAGTCTTCGTGGAAGAGGTGCCCGCAAGGCATCATGGCAAGGTCCTCCTGCTGCTTTTCCTCGTCCTCCACGGCCTGCTCGGGCGGGTCATCGCTCTCGTCCCTCTGCTGCGCTGCTGCGGGCTGCTCCTCCGGGAGGAAGTCCTCCTTGCACGTGGGGCAGTCTCGGTTCTTGGCTTTGGCTGTTGGGCGAAGCGAGGGAGGATCGAGGCCGCCGGTCAGCTGCGAGGGTTTCCGCATCGACACAGGGACAGCTCGTCGACCGATGCTTGCACTCACCGACTCTGTCCGCATCGCTCAGCTTGAACCGTCGCAGCTTCTGGATCTCCTCGTCGCCGGCGGGCGGCGGCGCATTTGAGCCCTGCGTCTGCTCCATGAGCTGCGAGATGATGTCGTCCAACCCCTGCTGGCCCAGCACGTAGTCTCCCCACTGGCCTCGAGCGCCACCGCCACCGCCACCTCCGCCGAGGAAGTCAAAGACCAGGCCGCCACCATCGAGGTTGCCGCCAAACAGGCCAGTGAAGAGGTTGCGCAGCCCGGCCAGCTCCGGCGGCAGGTCGTCGCGCCTCGGTCCGCCATCGTCCAGGCCACCCTGGTTGTCGTGATTGAAGCGGCGGCCGTCGGAAGCGGAGCCAGCACCGCCCATGCCGTCGTCGTGGAAGTGCGTATCGTTGTCCTCTCGGCCAGCGGCGGGCTGCGGGTCGAGGTCCCGAGGCCCGAAAGCGGTGCGGAGGAAGTCGGACAGCGGCGGGACGCCCTGCGTCGTCGTGCGTCCGGCCTGGCCGCCATCTCTGTCGCCTTCTCGGTTTTCCTGTCGATGGCGATCTGCCGACGATCCGCTGCCGTACTGGAAGCCCCACTGGATGTTGAGCGGGCCAAACTGCGAGGTGCCCTGTCTCTGCTGGAACGACCCGCGGTCGCGGCCCGACCCATCGTCGTCCGGTCCGGGGTTGCTGCCGCGGCCTTGGTCCCTGGCTGCACCTGGGCTTGACGGCTGCTGCTGCTGTCGGCCCGTCGCTCTGTTGGCAGCCACGGCACCGAGCAGGCCCTGTATCAGGCCACCGAGGTCGGGCCGCGCTCCGCCAGCGCCGCCACCGAACGGCACGCCGAAGCCGCCATCGGGCATCCTCCCGAACGGCCCTCCGGCGCCAGCGGTGTGGGCCATGTATGCTGCCTCGTCGTCGTCTTCGTCGTTGAGCTCGTCGCCAAAGAAGGAGTGGAGGTCGCGCGGGTGTCCGCCGGAGCCTTCTTCGATGACCTCGACAAACTGGCCGTTGCAGCGCGGGCAGGTCGGGTCGGGAGCCATCAGAGGGCGCACCTCGATGCCGCACTGATGGCAGAAGACCAGAGACGGTCCGCCGCCGCCGCCGCCGCCGCCGCCGCCAGCTGGTCGGTCGGCGGGTGTGGGGTCGGACATGGAGCCGTGTGCAGAGCGTGGCAGGTGAGGGGGCGGTAGAATGCGGTACTCGTGCTGGTACTGATCGGTGATGGGGTCCTGTGGCTGCGATTATTCGAGGTGGCGGGGCTTGTTATGGCTCGACGGGGATGATGGTTGATGAGGGGTAGGCAGGGTGTCGAGCGGCCACCTGTCGCATTCAGGCAGACGAGGCCACGGCGGGCGTGCAGCGGGGCTGAGGCCGAGGCGCAAACGGGCCGCCCCGCGTGCGTGCGTCGGGATGGGCCGTCCGCGCGTGATGATGATGAATGTGGAGGGGTGCGCTCGGGCGAGCCAGGTCAAAGCGGTTGGAGGCCCGGCCTCGCCCTTCGCAGCCCTCATCACAGCCCTCAATCACAACGCCATGCTGCGCTCGCTCACGTATGCTCTCCAAGCCAGACTGGCGTCGTCTTCCATCCTGCCGCACTTCGTTCGCCGCACATTCTAACGGGCTCTTCTATTCTGGCCGGCCTTCAGCTCCCCTCTTCGATCTGGCCCTCTATCGCCTCCGCTACGACCGGCGCCGCTGCCCTCTTCTTGTTGCTGCCCTCTGTCGCGACGGGGCCGCTCGCCTCGCCCGGCACAGAGGCCGACGCCGCCACCGGCTCCTCCGCCCTGCGCTTGGTGCCGAGGGGAGCAAAGAAGCCCTGCAGCTTGGTCTGCCGCTCGTCATGCGCCACCCGCCCTATCCCACCGCGCTGGCGCTTGACGTTGGCGAGATGTTGGACGTCGTTGGCCTTGAAGAGCGTCGTCTTCGCCCTTGCGACTCCTCCGGCCTCTGCCGCCTCGACCGAGAGGGAAAAGATGCCCGTGTTGTGGGCGAACGGAAGGAAGTCTGGCTGGCCGGGTACCCGCCGCAGCGTCGTCGGCGGATGCAGGTTGAGGAACGACGAGATCCACATGCCATGGCTGACGAGCACCAGGTGCGGCGTTGCCGCCGCCGCCGCCGCCGCCGCCGTCTGCGCCCCGGCGACGCCGTCGATGTCGTCGACGCGGGTATCCTGCCGTAGCTGCTGCGACAGCGCCGTGGCCGCTTCGATCCACTCTCGTCCCACGCTGCGCACCCTCGCCTTGAAGGCTGCCTTGTCCTCGCCCTTGCCCCTGCCCCTTTCGAAGCCAGCCACATGCTGCCGGTTGCGCGTGCTCTCATAGGGGCCAAAGTCGCGCTCGGCCAGACCGGGATCTACGATCAGGCGCAGGCCATCCCGCGTCGGCGGCCGCCGATGTGCATCGAGCAGCCTTGCGGTGCGGGCCATATCGTCCGACGAAGCGTCCACGAGGGTCTCTGCCGGTGCCACACCTCCGCACGCCTTGTAGACGGCTTCGGCCGTCTTTCTGGCCCTGCCTACCGGGCTGCAGACGACCAAGGTGGGCGGCGGCAGGTCCAGCCTCGACGCTCCAGCCTTGGCGGCCCTGCTTGGCGTTTCCTGCGCTTCGAGAGGCGTTGCAAGCGGATCGAGAGTCGATGCAAAGGCACTGGCCAGAGCATCCACCTGCGCCTGCCCAAAGACGGTGAGGGGCGAGTCGGCTACGCCTTGGAGGAGGCGTGCCAGGTTGGCCGTCGTCTCTCCATGGCGGATCAGGGTGAGGATGACGGGCGGTGCCGCGGCCGATCTCTCTACGTCGTCGGGCCTGTCTATTGCTGAGTCCGTGAGCATTGATGAGCAGTTCCCTTCCTCGAGCGTACGGTCCTGCCAAGGCAAAGGTGGTGGTGTCGTCTCTGACCGGATGAGGGCCAACAGTCCCACCTCTGGGGAGCTCGCGAGGGTGGCGTAAGAGGCGCCAGTCGAGGCTGGGCCGCGTGGAGGGCGAGTTTCCGGCGGCGGGAGACGGAAGTCGAAGCTGGCGGGCTTCGCTCGGCTCCGGTCGGATGCGGGGTGGGACGCCAAAAAAATTCTTGAAAACGCAGCTTTGACGGGTTGGGCTGGAGCGTGCCCGCCGAGTCAGGGCCAGCGTACCACGGCCGCCTGGAAGAAAGTCAGCCGGTCTGGCTCCTCGCCCTCGGTGGGCTCCACTCGCTTCACTCCCTCCCTCTCTCTCTCCTGGTCTTGCTCCTGCTGCTGGCCCACTCATACCCCTCCCATCCTTCTCAACCTCCCCTCTCCCTTTTCGACCCGCCATATACCAGCTCCGTTCCCTACCCATAGGCCTCGCCTCTGCCCAACATGACTGAGGCCATCCACAGCCAGTACGACTCGATCCTCATCCTCGACTTTGGGTCGCAGTACTCGCACCTCATTACCCGACGATGCCGTGAGCTCAACGTCTACTGCGAGATGCTGCCTTGCACGCAGAAGATCAAGGACCTCGACTGGAAGCCCAAGGGCATCATCCTGTCCGGCTCGCCGTTCTCGGTCTACGACGACGGCGCGCCCCGCGTCGACCCGGACGTCTTCACCGCGGGCGTGCCCGTCTTTGGTATCTGCTACGGCCTCCAGGAGATTGCCTGGAACCACGGCGGCAAGGTCGACCCGCACGACAAGCGCGAGTACGGCCACGCCATGGTCGACATTGTCAAGACGGGCAACGCCCACCTCGACGCCCTCTTCCAGGGCCAGGAGGGCAAGGTCGAGGTTTGGATGTCGCACGGCGACCAGCTGTCCAAGGCTCCCGAGGACTTTGAGATCATCGGCCGCACCCCCACGGCGCCCTTCGCCGCCATGGCCCACAAGACCAAGCCCATCTTCGGCGTCCAGTTCCACCCCGAGGTGACCCACAGCGCTCGCGGCACCGAGCTGTTTGACAACTTCATCACCATCTGCGGCTGCAAGCGCGACTGGACGATGGAGACGTTCATCGACAAGGAGATCAAGCGCATCCGCGAGATTGTCGGCCCCAAGGGCCAGGTGCTCGGCGCCATCTCGGGCGGAGTCGACAGCAGCGTCGCCGCCCGCCTGATGCACGAGGCTATCGGCGACCGCTTCCACGCCGTCATGGTCGACAATGGCGTGCTGCGCGCCAACGAGGCGGCCCAGGTGTACGACATGCTGTCCAAGGACCTCGGCGTCAACCTGACGGTCGTCGACGCCTCCGAGCTCTTCCTGGGCAAGCTCAAGGACGTCGAGGACCCCGAGAAGAAGCGCAAGATCATCGGCAACACGTTCATCGAGGTGTTTGAGGCCGAGGTGGCCAAGCTCGAGAAGCAGGCCGAGGACGAGGAGGCCGAGGCGCTCGCCAAGGGCAAGCCGCAGGAGGCCAAGGGCAAGTTTGAGTACCTGCTCCAGGGCACCCTGTACCCGGACGTCATCGAGAGCATCAGCTTCAAGGGCCCCTCGGCCACGATCAAGACGCACCACAACGTCGGCGGCCTGCTCGAGGACATGAAGCTCAAGCTCATTGAGCCGCTGCGCGAGCTGTTCAAGGACGAGGTGCGCGCCCTCGGCCGCCTCCTCGGCATCCCGGCCCACCTGGTCGGCAGGCACCCCTTCCCCGGCCCGGGCCTGGCCATCCGCATCCTCGGGCCCGTGACGCGCGAGCAGGTCAAGATCCTCCAGCACGCCGACAGCATCTACATCGAGGAGATCCGCGCCGCCGGCCTCTACGACCAGATCAGCCAGGCCTTTGCCGTCCTGCTCCCCGTCCGCGCCGTCGGCGTCCAGGGCGACAAGCGCACCTACGACCAGGTCATTGCGCTGCGCGCCGCCGCCACCACCGACTTTATGACGGCAACCTGGTTCCCCTTCCCGCCCGAGTTCCTCTCCAAGGTGTCGAACCGCATCACCAACGAGGTGCAGGGCGTCAACCGCGTCGTCCTCGACATCTCGTCCAAGCCCCCGGCCACCATCGAGTGGCTCTAGGCGGGGCCGAGAGTGGGGCACACGCCCTTTTTCCCCTCATCCTCTCTTCCTCTCCTAGATTGCCTCTGCCATCCCTGTCCCACTGCGGCTTCGGCCTGTTCATTCTCCTTCGTCAGCATTGTTTTAATATTACATGATTTTGAGTCCTCCATATGCTTGCTGCTATTTGCCCCGGTCGATGCGCTCGAAGCTGACGACGGCTGAGCCGCCCCGCTGCCACACGACCTCGCCGGTCCGCCTGCCGACCGGTGGGCCACGAGCGTGGCCCGCTGCTGGCTCGGCGTCATCGACGGCGGCGGCAGCATCAGCGGCAGGGGCATCGGCTGCCTGGTCGAGCTCCTCTCCGTCGCAGAGGAAGTCTTCGACGCTGCGGAGCAGGGATGCGCGCTTCTCATCCTCTGCGGCGTCCCTGCCGAGCACGTAGCGCTTGCTCCCGGACTTTGCCGTGATGACGACGTTGATCCGGGATCCCTTGAGGAGCTCCTTGCGGGCCTTTGAGAGCTTGTGAGAGAGGTCGTTGCCAGCCACGGTCCAGGTAAGCTGCACCTCCTTCTGGCCGGCGGCCGAGGGGCTCGAGGCCTCGTTGGCCTTCTGCTTGCGCTTGAGGTCGCGCTGGCGATTGAAGTCCTCCTTCTTGTCGATGAGCTTGCAGATCGGGTACTCTTTCATCTCGGCCACGGTCCTGGTCGAGTCGCCCGGCGGGGGCGGCGGGGGCGGCGGAGACGCATCGTCGGCGGGGCGGACGGCGGCCACGACCTGTTCGATGCGGTAGCGCGACCGGTCGAGCTTGGCGAGGATCTCGAGGACGGGGAAGGGCCCGGCGAGGGAGCCAGTCTTTGGATCGACGAGGCGGACGTGCTTGGCGCGCCGGGCGATTTCCTCGTCGCGCAGCGGTCCCTTGCGCGGAGGCAGGTCACCCGGTTTCGGCTCGCTGCCGTCGGCGTCGTCGTCGGCGGATCGATCCGACGAGGTGGCTGTGCTCGAGGATGGGGTTGCGCGGTTGCCGCTGCGAAAGGCAGGGTGGCTGATCTTGGACGAGCGCGACGAGGACGGGCTCGCCGAGCCAGACGGGCGGTTGGAGGCGTATCTTGTCCCCGGCTGCGTCGCTGCGCCAGCCCGTATCGGTGAGAGCGTCGGGGCTGCCGAGGCGAGAAGCAGCGGCTGTCGGCCCGCAGCCGCGCCAGAGCCGCGCCGGAGCGCAGATCGCGCAGTCGCAGCCAGCGGTGTCGATGCCAGCATGACGAGGGTCGTTGAGTGGTGTCACAGTCGGCGTGAGGAAAGAGGGGAGGTGGTGTCGTGGTGTCATGGTATCGGTCTGGCCCGGCCTCCTCGCCTCGCCTGCCTGCCTCCACGCGTGATCGGGAGTCGGCGCTCAAGCCGAGGCGTTCGCGCTGTCGGGCGGGGCGAGCAAAAGCGCAGCGGGCGGTTGGGGTGTTTGGGGCGGGCGCTGAGGGCTCGAGACCAACACCTCGCTCGACCTTCTGGGCTTTGCTATCGTTCCACGACCAAACTCATCTCCTCATCCTCACCCTCTTTTCGCCACCGGCCCGCCTAGTCTGCCGGATCGCATTCTTCACCCACGCCAGCATGACGACACCAACAGCCTTCGCCGACTATGAGCTCAAGGAGCGGCCCCAGGATCCCGTCTCGGCTATGGCCTTCAGCCCCAACCACGCGCCCGAGCGCGCAGGGCAGCTCCTCGTCGCCAGCTGGGACCGCCTCGTACGCCTCTACGACCTCTCCTATGCCCAGGACTCGCAAGGTGTACGCCTTGTCCAGGTCTTCGAGCATGAAGCCGCCGTGCTCGACGTATGCTGGATCAACGACACCTTGGCCGCAAGTGGAGGCTTGGACCGGAGAGTGAGGCTGTGAGTGTGATGGTGGTCGCAGCAATCCAGCAGGGCCTGTCAAGAGGAGCGCGACGAAAGCTAACATCGACCGTGTCCATTCGAACCGCGCGGCCAGCCTCAACCTCGAGACGGGACAGACCAACATCCTGGGCAAGCACGGCAATGCCGTCAGCCGCATCCGGTTCTGCCCGCAGACCGGACTGCTGATCAGCGCGAGCTGGGACCGGACGATCCAGATCTGGGACCCGCTCTCGTCTCCGCCGCGCCACCTCCGCACGCTCTCGGTGCCGGACAAGGTGCTGGCCATGGACCTCTCGCCGCCCTTTGCCTCCTCGCCCGCCGAGACCAGGCCCGTCTCGGCGTCGGCCAACGGCGCAAGGGTCGAGGTGGACCGCACCCCGCGGCTCGTCGTAGGCATGACTGGTCGCGGCGTCTGGATCTACGAGCTGGACAAGCTCCGCCAGACGCTGGACCGCGCCCAGGCCGGCCAGGAGGTCAAGGAGAGCGACTGGGAGCCCGAGCAGAAGCGCGAGAGCAGCCTCAAGTTTATGATCCGCGACATCCGCTGCATGCCCGCCGGCGACGGGTACGCCACCAGCTCCGTCGAGGGAAGGATCGCCGTCGAGTTCTTTGACCCCACGCCCGAGGCCCAGGCCAAGAAGTACGCGTTCAAGTGCCACCGCCAGGCCGTCGACGGCATCGACACCGTCTACCCGGTCAACGCCATGGCCTTCCACCCGGTGTGAGTACGCGGTCGTGCCCAAGGGGATCGCCCGGGCACGAACGTGCGACCTGACATTCCGACCTCCCTCCTTTTCATTCGCGCTTGCGCCTCGACCACGACCCGCACAGGCACGGCACCTTTGCCTCGATCGGCGGCGATGCCATCTGCAGCATCTGGGACGCGGCGGCCAAGAAGCGGATCCGGCAGTACCCGCGGTTGCCCTCGCCGCTGAGCGCCGGCTGCTTCAGCAGCGACGGGATGCGCCTCGCCATCGCCAGCGGCGCCGAGAACATCGAAGACACGCGTCATCCGGGCCCCGGTGCGGGCGAGGTGGGCGAGGTGGGCCGGGGCGGAGAGGGCAACGTCCGGATCCACATCAAGGCGGCCTGGGAGGATTGCAAGGTGAGTTGCCGAGTCGCTCTCGGCGCGGGACGAGGCGGTGCACGGTCGCTGACCCACCCCCCTGGCCCATCTTCTCGATTCGACGCAACCGACAGCCAAAAGTCAGGCCCAACCCGGCGTCCTAGCGCCGCCGACTCGACCTCCATCGACGAGTCTGCCCCAGGGGGGCCTGGTAGGCCCCCGTGTACTTGTAGCCCTCTTCCGCCTTCCAATCTGCAGCCCGCCCGACATCTGCCCACGAGCACAGCACACGACACACGGACGGCCCGCAGGTATACCACTCGATTGCACTGCGCACTGCGCCGACACGCGGGACAGACGCGGCGGTGCTGGCGCTCGTCTCTGCCGCCGCCTACTGCTGACCCATGGCCCGCTCGGCGGCCTTGACGGACCTGGTGAACATGTCGAGGAGCTCCTGCTTGTCCTCCAGGCCGACGCTGATGCGCACCAGGCCGGTCTCGACGCCAAACTGCTGCGCCCAGTCGAGCTCGGTGTAATGAGCCAGGATAGTGTAGGGGCTGGCCAGCGTGTAGTTGGTCCCCAGCGAGGGGCCCTTTGCGCACTGCAGCGTGTCGTAAAACGCCTTGGACGCCTCGAGGCTGTGGAAGGTGAGCGAAAACAGACCGCCATACCCTCCCCCGGCCGCCGCCGCGGCCGAACCGGACCCGTCGTCGTTGTCGGCGGGCGGCTGCATCTCGAGGCCAGGCGCGAACGCCTGCTTCCTGCGGCACTTTTCGTAGTTGTCCCTCGCCACAAAGCGCGGGTAGAAGACGCGCTTAATGGCCGCGCCCGGCCGCTGCCTCTCGCCGTGGAGCATGTCGGTGAGGGCGCGCGTGTTCTCGTCGATCTTGACGATGCGCTTGACAAAGTCGCGCGAGTTGCGCTCGAGGAACAGGGCGTCCTCGTCGAAAAAGGTGTCTTGGTAGTGGGCGGCCAGCGCGCGCCTGAGCCGGTCAAAGTGGCGCGAGCGCGGGTTGAGCACCATGCTGCCGCCCATGACGTTGGCGTCGCCCGAAAACACCTTGGTCAGCGACGAGACGAGCACGTCGGCGTACGGCAGCACCTCAACATTGACGAAATTGCCGATCGTCTCGTCGACGACCACCAGAAAGTCGTACCGGTCCGCCAAGGTGCGGATGCGCACCAGGTCGGGCGAGCGGAGCAGCGGGTTCGAGGGAAACTCGCAGAAGAGGGCCAGGATGGGCGCCTCGCCGGCCGTCGACGTCCGCCGCGACTCGAGCAGCTTCTCGAGGTCGTCGAGGTCCGAATCGAGGCCGTTGCCGTAAAAGTGGCAGCCGGGCCCCCACTTCTGCAGGATCTTGAGCGTGTCGGTGTAGGGAAAGCCGAAGCAGATGCTCTTGCCCACCGCGGCGGTGGGGTCGTCGAGGGTGCGCGCAAGCATGGCCAGCTGGTGAGCATGGAAGATGGACGACATGCCGGTCGGGTAGAGGTACACCTCGTCCTCGGTCACGCCCGTCCCCGTCCGGCTGGTCTCGCCGGTGGCGTCCGAGGGCGCCTCGCCGCTACGTTCGGTACGGTCGGACAAGAGCGTTCCCGCGATGCGTCGACGAAGTGCTCGCTTGGCCTGCGGGGCCGAGCCAGCGGGCAGGTTGCGGCCGTACCGCTCCTCGAGGTAGGTGGTGAGGTCGGACGTGATCCTCTCATCGGTCGAGGCAGCGGCAGCACCGGAGGCAGGCAGCAAGGCCGATGCCGGCGCGCCGGTAGTCGCAGCGTCGGATGCAGTATGCTTGGGCGGCAGCAAGCCGCTGCTCGACGGCGAGGGGGTCATGCTGACGGGTGTCGAAATGCTGCCGTTCCGAGCGTATCGGTTGTAGAAGCGCTTTCCAGAGTACCCGCCGCGGCCATCTGTGGTCGCTGAAGTGTCGGTATGATGCGCATGCTGCTGCTGCTGCTGCTGCTTCTGGGCGAATGCACTGTCAGCGCCGGCGGCGGTAGTGGCGGCCGCAGTTGGCGAGCCGATCGTTTCGTCTTCGAGGCTTCCGCTCTGCTCGAGGAGGTGCAAGCAACGCTCGGCCTTGCGGCTCGAGATGCCATCGCCAGTATGCTGCCAGTAGCTCTTGGCCAGGGGGAACAGTTCTCCGGGGAAGAAGGCGATGAAGATGTAGTGCGTGACGGGTTCGTTGGCTGGCTGCGATGCCGGGGGTTGAGATGGACCGGGGGCGGAAGGGTCGGGGTTCTGGAGCAGCGCAGGTTCCACGATCGAGAAGCGGACGACGCGAACCGAGGCGGGCGTGTGCGGCGACGAAGGCGTCTGGAGCTTGGCATGCTGGCTGCGGATAAAGTCCCGGCAACGGTTGGCGACCACCTCGGTGGGGAGGAGGATGCACTGTTCGCCGGGCTGGGCAAACTTCTTTGTGAGGTGGGCGGCGAGTTTCTGGATGCTCCTGTGGATGAAGAAGCGCGGGTAGCCTGTCTCCATGACCTGCGAGAGGCGCCCCTCTTCGTAGTCGACATTGTCCTGCCAGAGCGGGAGCGAGACCGAGACGGCGTGGGGCAGGTTGGCGGGGATCGAGGTGCCGACGGCAAAGTCGCGCTGCGAAGCGCCGTTTCCGCTGCCGTGGCGCGGGAGCGGCGCCGGAGGCACAGCTGCTGCGATCGAAGACATGCTGGCGGAAGAGCGAGTGGGGCGGCCAGGGAGGTCGAGGAGCGAGATCGATGGTGGTGGCAAAGGTCGAAGAGGAGCCCCGCCCGACTCGGTCCGTGCCTTGGCTGCGCTGCGCTGCCCGGCTTCGGACCTTTGCCGAGTCACGGCGGCGGACGACGTTTCTTCCTATCGGCCGGGTGACGATGGCCAGCAGGTCAGGCTGTGCGCTGCCTGCCCGCGCCTGCTGACGTTGGTGCCGCTTCCGCCGGGCTGCGCTCGAATTCAAAACCAGGCAGGCAGGCAGGCAGGCAGGGCCGGGCCAAGCGGGTGGGGCCCATCGGCGCGCGCGCACCCCTTCTTCCCTTCTACCTCCATCCATCGCCACCTTCCCGCCTCCCTTTTCACCCACCTCTGCCTGTTGCCTGACACCTCGTAAGGCAGCCAAAACGTACAGCACCGCCTCGCGATTGTCTCCTCGCTGAGAAGGCCGCCGAGTGCCCTGGCGAACGACATCGACCAGCTCACCTCAAGTGCCGCACATTGCGCTGCCGCCTGCTCCTCTGTGGGCCCGCAGTTGCCTTTCCCTGCATCCCTTCCACTCTTTCTCCTTCTCTCCATCTCTCTCTTTCCGTCTCCGTCTCTCCGTCTCTCGTTGAAGATATCTTGCGCACATCGAGAGACAGAGCACACACTCACGACCCGCGCCTCGTCGATCCAGTGAGCGGACCCAGCGCCAAGACGTCGCTGCCGCGGCCCGCGAGCATCCTTGTCCGGACCCCCGCCTGCATTCCCCCTTGTGTCGTTCGACTCGTCGGCGATCGCGCAGACTGAGCACTCTCTTTCCTGCCGGTCCACCAGAGACGAGTAAAGAAGCCGCTGAGCATTCGCGTTCGTTGAGCCCTGCTGCCGTGCCGGTCCGCTCCATTTGCTCTGGCCGTAGTATCCTCCTCGTCCGCCCTGGACCGCCTTTGCTCGTGTGTTGAAGGCTTTGCCTGCGGGATCCTCCTCAATCTGCACAGGCTGCCCTGCTCCAAGGTCGGCGGCGAAACACCGTCCGAGCTTTGGCCCAGCCGCCTTGGACTCTCTGCCCACGGATCAGTGCTTCAGAGGTAGAAGCATCGCCCTTTGCCACGCTCGTCATTGGCTGCTCTGTCCTTTGCCTCGTTTCGCTCGCTCCGCTCGTCGAGTCTGGTCCTGGCTGCCGTCGCTCAGACGTTGCCCATACCTGTCTTCTTGGCTCCAGAGCACTGAGCCGATCGTCTGGCTGCCGGACAAGAGTCGCTCTGCTCGAGGGCGACGTTTCATCTAGCTGACGGGCACACATCCAGCTGTTTGTCCTCCTCGTCGTTCGCAAGGACCAAAGCGTTGGAGCTCACAACGCAGGACATCCGCCTCTCGCCGGCCAATCGAGCAAGCTTCGGCCGCCGAACGCCCATCAAACGAGGTCGGTCGCGCTTCACGATACTTCTCCGCCACTCGCACCCGCTTCGGCTGGGTGAACCTCCTTCCGCCGTTTCGCATCGACTACTGCCGCCACAATGTACGCCGGTCAGAACTTTGGCGCTCCCCCGCAGCCTCCGTACGCCGGGCCGCCGCCCACCTACGCTGGACCGCCCCCGACGCACCCGGCGGCGCACCGACCAACCCCACCTGGCCAGGCCTATGGCGCGCCCCTTCAGTACGGTGGCCCCCCGCCCCAGGCCTCGTCGATGGGTCAGGGGCACGTCGGCGGTCACGACCCTCTGCTGATCGCCACCAACCCGGATGCCTTTGCTCGCATGTTCCGGGAGCACCTCGCCGCGCTCACCTGGAACTCGAAGCCGATCATCAACAACCTCACCATCATCGCCCACGAGCACATCCACCGGATGGCCAGCGTCGTGGCCAAGTCGCTCGACGACCACATCATGCAGGTGAGTCCTGGCCGCGCATTCGTAGGCCCGCCTGCACCGACCCGATTCACATCCACGATGCTGACCGCACGCTTCTCGACCTCACCCTTGGACCACGGCAGTCGCACCCCTCGATCCGGCTTCCGAGCCTCTACCTCTTGGACTCGATCTGCAAGAACATCGGCCAGCCCTACACCAGCCTCTGGGCAGAACGCATCGTCACCATCTTTCTCGAGTCGTACCGCCTGGTCGACCAGCCCACCAAGATGCGCATGGAGGAGCTGCTGGCCACGTGGAAGGACGCCGCACCCGGCGGCCGCCCGCTGTTTGGCGAAAACACCCAGTGGAGCATCGAGCGGCCCCTGTTTGGCAGCGCCGGCATGCCTCTGCCCGGGCACAGGCCGACGCCTCCGCCGCCTCAGGCGCAGCACCACCCTCACGCGCACCACGCTCCCCCGGATCACGGCAAGGCACGAGCCATCGAGAGCATCGACCGCCTCCTTGCCATGGGCGCCCAAGAGCTGCGGGTGGACCCGAACAATAGCGCCATCCGGGAGCGCCACGAATCGCTGACGCAGCTGAAGCTCGTGCTCCAGACGGCGGCCCTTTCGCCCGAGGAGATGGCCCAGGTCCACGCGCAGCTTGACTCGTTGACGGCCAGCGGCAGCAAGCCGCCTCCGGCACCCGTCAACGCGACGCCGCCTCCCGCACCGGCGCCGGCGCCGGCTCCGATCCCAGCAAACCTCGCCAGTGCGCTCGCTGGCCTCGGGAACCTCGGCGGCTTGTTGGGAGCTCCGTCTGTCGCCACAACACCGCCTCCAGCGCCTGTCGCCGCTCCGATGCCCCCGCCGCCCGCTCCAGCTGCGCCCGCAGCTTCCGGTCAGCCTGATGCCGCCAGCGCGCTGATCGCGAGCCTGATGCAGGCAGGCCTCCTCCCCGGATCCGGCGCTGCTGCTGCTGCGGCGGCACCTGCACCTGTAGAACTCGACCAGGACGACGAATACGTCCGATCGATCATGTCGCTCGACATCAAGGTGTCGGGCCCCGAGTTTTCGAGGGAGCCGCCGGCCCTCGAGCTGCTCCTTCACAAGCATCTGCCGCTGCAGTGCAGGCAGTGCGCCAACCGCTACCCTTCCGGCGGCAAGGGTCAGAAGGGCATGGACGAGCACCTCGACTGGCACTTTACCCAGAACCGCCGGGCCAAGGACTCGCAGGCGCGAGGCCAGAGCCGCTCGTGGTTCGACAAGCTGGACAGCTTTATCCGCGGCGGCTTTGACGATGCCGCGCCGTCGTCCAAGGCGGGCGACGAGGCGGGCGCCAAGGACGGCTCTCTGAACGCGGCCCAGGACAAGGCGCTCAAGGAAAAGTTTGCCAAGTCGTTTGTCGCCGCGCCGACCGACGCCGAGCTGAGCGCCAAGCCGTGCCCGATCTGCAAGGAGAGCTTCAAGAGCCAGTGGAGCGAGGACGAGGAGGAGTGGATCTGGCTGAACGCCATCGAGGTCGACGGAGTGGTGAGTGTGGTTCGGGGCGCCGTGAGACGAGCGGCGCGCAGCAGTGTACTGACAGCCTGTCCCTCCCCGCACTCTCCTTTGCTCTCCGCGCAACCCCTGCCACCTCAGTACTACCACGCATCGTGCCACTACTCGGCCAAGATGCTGACCGAGAGCGTGGCGCGACGGATGAGCTCGCCGCCTGGCGGAGGCCGCCAGAGCACGGGCCTGCTGACGGCCAAGCGTGGCACGTCGCGGTCCGCGACGCCGTCGAACGGAGCGCAGCGGTCGGCGTCGGTAGGCAACCCGATAGCCAGGCTCAAGGGCGAAGAGGGCATCGCGAGCTCCACCGACGGCGGTCCGAACGGCGCAGACGCCTTTGGCGGAACGAGGAAGCGCAAGGCGTCGGTCGGCGAAGGCGACGGGCAAGCGCAGGGAGCCGCGACGGAGCCTCCGAGCAAGAAGGTGGCGTGACCTGCCGGGCCAACGACGGAAGGTGGCCGACAGCGCGCCGGCATCATCGATCGCGGGACAAGCACGCCGCATCAAGCCTCCCAGGCCGCCGCATCAGGCCTTGCAAGCACCTAGCCTCTTGGCTGCGGCCCCACGTGTCGGGCTCCGGGGGCGATGGCGTTGGGGCGCAGAACCAATTCTCACCCCACGGGCCTCGACTGTACTCTACGCTAGACCCGCCTGCGCGGCAGAATGCCGAAAGATTGAGCGTCGTTCACGAAGGATGTTGATGATGATGATGATGATGATGATGATGATGATGATGATGATGATGTTGATGATGATGATATAGGGGCGGCGTCGTGGTGTCGCAGGGCGAAGGGGCGAGTCGGGTGGATAGGACGAGGTCAGCGCGGCGGGTCTCTTTGGCAGGCGGGGCGGGCGGGAGGGGACTTTTGCGTGGCCTTTCGGGCTGGTCGGTGCGCGGCGGCGGCGGCGCGAAGGGGACAGAGCGTGCGCCTCCCTTTGGCTGGCTGGCTGGCGGGCGGGCGCCGCTTGGCCCGCAACCTCCATCCCATTCCATCCTCTCGTCCTTTTGCCTCGCTCATCCCCGCCCCGCCCCCTTGTCGCTGTTTCCAGTGCTCCTCGTCGGCCGCCACCTCCCGCGGACAACGCCATACAGCTCGCCAGGCAGCTGACTTGGCCCTCTGCTTGCTTCACCTCGATATCCACCCGCCGCCGACGACCAATGTCGCTGCACTGTTAGGCACCCTCTGGAGCTCCCGGAGCGCTCAGAGCGCCAGACAGCCTTGCCACTCCTTATATCGCATACGTCTACCCTCCCGCGCCATCCCTCGACATCGCAGTCGCACTCACCATGTCTCGACCCCATGTCCCGCCTAAGCCGTCGGCCTACGACTCGGCATCCTCGGGCTTCCACCCGTCCTTTTACGGCCCCAGCGGCGGCGACGACGACGATGCACACCTATACCCCACGCAGGCACAGGAATGGACCGGCGCGGGCCCTTTACCGCCTGGCCGACAGCCGCCACCACCACCAGCACCACCAGGGCAGCCGTACGGCGGCGCCGCTGCGAGCGCCCCCTACCTCCCCGCCAGCAATGTCACTGGCAAGATCGACGGCCTGATGGAGGAGCTGGCGTTTACCATGGACGGAATGGGCGTGGCCAGCAATGGCACCGGCGGCGGCGCCAGCAACGGCGCCAGCTACGAAACACAGCCGCCCTTCCGGCAAGGCTACGCCGGCGCCGCCTACGGCCGCGACTCGTCCGCCTCCGACTACAGCGACCCGTCGCAGCGGCAGCAGCCCTACGGGTTCCAGCGGGCGGCGGCGGGATCACAGCTGCGCTACCCGCCGCCCTCGTCGGACCAGGCGTCGAGCCGACCTCAGTCCTCGTCGGCCAGCGGCATCATCAGCCTCTACGCCGCCCTCGATC